CTTTGTTTGTGGCCCAATAGTCTGTCAATTACAGTGTTATAGTTCCCGTTGCCGTTGTAAACGCCGTTGTTATTGTTGTTGGTTTATTATTTTAACACTTTCGAGAAAGAGCCCGCTTTGGTTTTGGAGTCGCAGCAATGCGAGGTGCGGAGCGTCATCGACTGAACGACTGGACTGAATGGTGTGCGAGTTCTCCGCTGTCTGTGAATCGCTGTTAGTTTCCAGGAACCGCAATCGCATGGCCCACTCCACTCCACTCCACTCACACTCACAATCACTCCGATATACTCGGATATGGGTGTATGTACGACGCCGACGCCAAGAGTCACCCAGAGCGATGCCAATAAGGCTGTGGCACAGCCTTAGGAAAATCGGCAACAACGGCGACCGTGACGAACGCGGGACGGGGTCCAAGGAAAACTTCGGCTTCGGCTCTGGGCATCATAAATAGTAGATAAACAAATAAATAAGGTGGCGTGGGGAACTGCCTAGATATATGACGGGCATATATCTTTCGAACCGCACCCGCACCCTCATCCTCAAAGGCACACGCACCCCCACCACATTCGATATTCCTCTTCGATTTCGGGTCTTGGTCGTGTGGGGGTTGCAGCTCCGTTCCGTTCCAGATACATAAATTCGCCGGCGACAGGAATCAACCACCGACCGTGGACGCAAACGCCCCCGCCACTGCCCCTGCCCCATATATCCGTATCCGTATCTATATCTATATATGTATCTGTATCTGCGCAGTGCGAACCGCAGAACGAAACAGTACCAGTCACTTGCCACAGATACAGATACGAAGCTCACGCAATGAACCGCTCCGTGCCACGTCGAAAATCAATCACCATCGACATCGACATCGACGGATGCATTTTATCGTGCGCAGACTCCGTTTTATGAAGACCGTCTCTTCGGGGTGGACGTTCATATGTCGCATGTGCTTATTTACTTTCCCAGCACTTAGGGGTTTAATATAGGGAGCATTAATCTGCAAATGTTGTCCAGATGAAAGGACGACCTGCCGAATTAAGTTTGACCCTCAATGAAATCGAAAGTCCTTAATCTGGACTGGAATAATTGCAAATATCTTTGAGATTTCGCAGAGCCAACCCAATAAGGACTATTTACGTTCCAGATGCTCCTAAAAAACCCAATTAACTAATTGCTAAGCATTTGTATATTACCAAAACCACGTTTATAAATTTCGTTTCTGACAATTAGCTTTTTATTCTATAGTTATTACAAACATTCTGTACCATTAAAATAATATACTAAGGAAGGTAAAGTTAATATCAAGCATATTATATTTTTAATTAATTTGTATTTCAAATTGTTATAACTTGATTGAGATTTACTTACAACTTTCTAACTCACTATATCGAATTAAGAGCTGTAAAATTTATATAATCAAAACGATGTTGTGATGGTTTGAGGCCACAAAACACTCAGATTTTTATGAAATTTTAAGATAGCTTAGATAAATTGGGGTTATTCAAATAATTGAGAATGTTTTAAGTTGATAACATATGGGCATAGCAATTGGGATTGAAACAGACGAATTACTTATCCAAAATTAATTAATAATAATAATAATAATAATAAGCTAATTAAATTATCCAGCATAAATTTTCAATAACCTGAGCTACTCATGTGAATATGAAAATCTAAGTTATTCGGAAATGGAAAGTAAGTCCCGTAATAAAATCCACCTCCTGTCTACGAAATGTCCAGATTGTGTGGCCTTTTGGGCGACCTAACTGGGCATGGATGTGTGCTAATTTGAAAGCCAACAAAGGCAGGGGTCTAGAACGCTCACAACGGGCACCTTTCCATACCGTTCTTCGGCTGTGACCAAAGGGAGGGGTTGAGAGGGGAGTGAGGGAGAAGCGGTACCGGACACAGCGCCATCGACACGGTCCAAAGAGCCGAAGCGACGCCTTGCCAGGTGTTTACCCGCGAAATGTGTTGCAAGCTTTGTGTCTCGTGGACAGCGGACACTTCCTTAACCGGTGCTAAGACAAATCGCTAAGTGACTGGGCAAACAACGCGTGCTGGAGTCGTACGACTAGTCCAAATTGTTTAACTTACCTCCCTCAACACTTCCATGCGAGATTCAAATAGGGCCAAGAACAAAAGGTATTCTAACATCTTTAAATTCTGCTAACATTTCTCAATTTGTCTAATAATAATATTTCAGACGTTTTCAGATGGTCACGTGTTTGGTCATGTATTTTGTAACTTCGTTTTTCCCCGTTTCTGTTTATTTTGATGGTCGCGTATTTGAACAGTACCATTCCAAATATATTTTTTATAAACTGCCAACCGGAAAAGTATGCTTGGTCTTTTAAAAACATTATAATAAGCAATTGAGATCTGTACATAATGATTAGCAATTAAAAACTTTAACTTTATTCTTTTATTTAATTCCTTTATTAGCTTAGTCAAGATTGGTCAATAAATAAACTCATAAGCTTAGATATAACAAGAAAGGAAAGCTAACTTCGGGCGGAGCCGAAGTTGATATACCCTTGCAGAATACTCTGTAAATTATATTCTCCAAAATTATTCATATGATGCATTCTTAATACTCATAAAAAATCCCAACTTCCTAACTTTAAAAACACCAAAGTTATGACATTTCCAATCGTTCAGTTATATGGCAGCTATAGGATATAATCGGCCGATCCTTATGAAATTTGGTAGGTCGGATTGGCTGGCCAAATATAACACCCATAGAAAATGCCGACTTCCTAACTTTACAAACACCAAAGTTATGGCATTTCCGATCAATCAGTTATATGGCAGCTATAGGATATAGTCGGCCGATCCTTATGAAATTCGGCATGTCGGATTGATTAGCCAAATATAAAACCCATAGAAAATCCCAACATTCTAACTTTACAAACACCAAAGTTATGGCATTTCCGATCAATCAGTTATATGGAAGCTATAGGATATAGTCGGCCGATCCTTATGAAATTCGGCATGTCGGATTGATTAGCCAAATACAAAACCCATAGAAAATCCCAACTTCCTAACTTTACAAACACCAAAGTTATGGCATTTCCGATCGTTCAGTTATATGGCAGCTATAGGATATAGTCGGCCGATCCCGGCCGTTCCGACTTATATACTGCGTGCAAAGGAAAGAAGGGTGTGTGCAAAGTTTCAATTCGATATCTTTAAAACTGAGAGACTAGTTCGCGTAGAAACAGACAGACGGACAGACAGACGGACAGACAGACGGACAGACAGACGGACAGACGGACAGACGGACAGACGGACATGGCTATATCAACTCAGGAGGTGATCCTGATCAAGAATATATATACTTTATAGGGTCGGAGATGTCTCCTTCACTGCGTTGCACACTTTTGACCAAAATTATAATACCCTCTGCAAGGGTATAAAAATACCGACTGAGTTTACTCATCCTGCTGAAATATTTTTATACCCGTTACTCGTAGAGTAAAAGGGTATATTGTATTCGTGCAAAAGTATGTAACAGCTAGAAGGATATATATATATATATATATATATATATTTCTTGATCAGGATCACTAGCCGAGTCGATCTAGCCATGTCCGTCTGTCCGTCTGTCCGTCTGTCTGTCCGTCTGTCTGTCCGTCTGTCTGTCTGTCTGTCCGTATGAACGCTGAGATCTCGGAAACTATAAAAGCTAGAAGATTGGCATTTTGCATGCAGATTAGGAGTTCCTAGGAGTTCCTACGCAGCGCAAGTTTGTTGCAAAAAGGTGCCACGCCCCCTTTAACAAAATTTAAATATTTCGGAAAAGTAAAAATGCAGTTTTATTGTGTTTATCAATACCTATCGAAATGTAGAAGAAATTTTTCAAATCGGACCATTCGTTAAAAAGTTATGCGTGATCAAAGTTTCTATCTCCATCTCCCTCGCACTCATTTTACCTGAGTAACGGGTATCTGATAGTCGGGGCACCCGACTATAGCGTTCTCTCTTGTTAAAGCTCAATTCTGTAGAAATAATTGCTTCGTTTCCTTGACAATTTTTTTGTGTACTTAATTTCGCAAAGTTACTCAACTTACATTATTATTATTACAATGATTTGTATTATTTATCCTTATTTCCAATTCAATAAGTGTGTTGTTGGTAAGTATAAATATAAAACGCGAAAGAAAAATTTTAAATCAGGTTGTCGTTTTTTTAGTTTTTTAGTTCTTGGTCTAATTCGTTTTTATGTTCTTTTCAATTACACAAGTATTATTGTAATGTAAATTTTTGAACTTCGCTAATAATTAAAGTGAACAGTACAAATAATTACAAAGTTTTTCAATTCTAATGAACTGATTCCAATTTAAATATTGATTTAATATTATAATATGTGTAAAGTGCATCGAGATTTTTAGTATTGTAGAGGAAACTTTTACCCAAGTGTCTTTCTTAAGGTTACTTGGACCGCAAGAAGATCTCTAGAGATGTTGCACAAATGCCAGCCTGGACAAATCAGTCACGCATTGGTTTTGCACCCACACTCCTTGCTAGACGACTTCGAGTCAAATATTTTGACGGTTTGTCAAAGAAGTGACAAGACAAACCCGCACCGGAACCGATAACGCGGTGCCCCAGAATTTGGACGCGTTGTTTTGACTTCGGATTCGGACTCAACTCAGTTTCTTCTTAAGTGCCGACCGTGTTAAAGGGGAAATCACACATTCAGCCCGATTTGCATTTGCTTGCGACTCCGGGCTCGGTGATTTACGATCTCGAATCGATCTGGCACCGAAAACACGGCCACATTCGGGCCAAAACATCTTGGCAGTTTTCAGTTTTCAGTTTCTGTCGGAGGTCGAGGTGCGAAGTTGTCTCCCGAGGCAGCTACTGTTTGACCCTCTCTATGAGGACGGGGTCCCCGCATCGAAACGGAATTAAAGATGGCCATTGCCGCGATATAACCGCTGGCCTGGCACCGGACGTCTTGATACTTATGGCGAGAAAATGGAAAATTCGATGTCGCCATTAACATTTATTGCTACTTTGGGAAAACTCGATTACACCACCACCGCGCGCACTGCAATGCCATTGCACAGCCGCCATTTTATGAGTCGCGCCTGGGCACTTATGGCATCATCAGGACCTCGAGGGGATGATCCGGGGGCGGATTGGGTTGGACACAAGGATGGCAGGATGGCAGGATGGCTGAAGAGCTGGAGAGCTGGCAGTCCTCGTAAAACGGATTTTGCGCTTAGTCAGGATGCGTGCAGCAGTTTTATGGACGGCCCCGGCACTCGGAAAACGTATACAGTTTTCCATTTACAACCTTCGCGCTCCAATGCGCCTGCAGCCTCCGCTGGCCGCCATAAAATGCCGAAATGTTCGCAGTTATAAAAGTTTATGAGTGCAGGCACCCAAATGGGTATTGCCCAAGCTCTGGGATCCAGGACACAGGGTGGAAACTTGTCAGAACTTGGCACTCGGCCAGCTGGGAAAGTACGGAAATGGATAAGCATGTGGCATTCATGGCCGTCACCGTGTTCTGGCTGCTCTTCGCCGTCCTTGGATTCCTGGTGTCCTACCGCTTCGAGGAGCGTGGCATAATCCGGTGCTGCGTGATCCTCACGGCCGTCTGCTGCTACCTGGCCTGGCTGGTCACCTTCCTGATGCAGCTGAACCCGCTGGTCGGACCGCGGGGCAACCAGCGGGTGATCATGGGCATGATGACCTACTGGCCCAACTCCTTTATCCACGATCAGAAGGACCCTTGATCCCGCTGGAGCTTGTATATTTTTAGTCTGGGAAAAATGTTAGTTTTCGTGGAGTCAATATGGATGTGAAATGCAAAAAACAAGTTCGACGTATTGTTTGTAAATAATTTAAATGAAATATCCTTCTTTTGGATCGCCTTTAAATCTAATAAAGTGATAATCCTGATCTGCTCCAGTACTGTCAATGCAGTTATTCTGATAACAAATCAAAATTTATCAAAACTGTTTCCATAAGGCTTGGCTTGTTACCTTCATAATTTACAATATATTTTACCACAGACCAGCGTTATATAAAATATAAATATATGTTTGACAAGAGTAAGTGAACAAATAATAATAAATATGTCTCACTATTATTGTTATATATTTAAACATATACAAAATGATAAATAAAATATTATATGCTGAAATATAGCTTAAATTTGTAAAAAAAACATGTGAAGTCAAAATAAAAAACAATTGAAATTTGTACTTTCTTCAATTTTTTACCAAAGTTTATTAAAATATATTGTACCAAAAATAAAAAATATTTGTCTTAATCCGGTGATTGCAGGCAGCATTGCAGCTCCTCCACGAAATCGACGATCTTCTGGAAGTTTGGATGCTTTCTCAGGCACTCGGCAATGAATTCGACGGAGCTGCCAACTCCCAGGGATTGGGCAATATTCACGCCATAAGTCAAGGTCTCTTTGGGGGACTTCTTCTGGATGTAAGCTTGTTCAATCAGCTCGGGGCGATGGGAATGGATGATGGCGCACAGGGCTCGGCCGCTGGTCCACGAATCGCTGAACTCGTACATGGGAAGGCCGTAGGGTTGGACCATCCGTTTGCACCAGCGGAGCAGCTTGAGACGTCGGTCGCCGAATGTTTTCCCCAGATGCTTCGGTGTCGAGTTGGTTTTTGATACGTTAGATGCAACTGAAGCGACGGACGGGCGGCCATTCACTGGGATTGAAGCCACTGATCGAGACGGATCGCCAAAGGTTTTCCCCAGGTACTTGGGCACCGAAGTGGGTCTGAATAAGTTGGATGCCAAAGTACTTGACTCTAAGGTGCGCTTATTGACCGACACATGAGGGTTCTCCTTTGACAAATCACGTACCAAACACGGTGTCGACTCAGTGCCGGACTTGTATATCTTGTCCCACAAAAACTCCGATAGCTGCGGGTACTTCACCGGCTGCTTTAAGAAGCTGGGACCTTCATTTTTAAAACTGCACACACTCCTTTGCTGAGTGGGACCTGAGAAAGCCACTTTGGTTTCCGGTGCTGGCTGGTTCCTTAGAGAGGTTCGTTTCCACCTTTCTCTAACTATAATTAGATTACTCTGGAGGGATTTCAAAAGTTGACTCCACTTCACGCTGCATTCCGGGAATTTAAGCCGGTTGTAATAGAAAAATGCCCTTAAGAGCTTGTCGATAACGTTCAGAGTCTGTTTCCTTAAATGCCGCATTTTACTAACTTCTGAATTTGTGAAGAAATTGCTGTCTCCTTTTATCCCAAGCAGCAGCTTCCTCTTCTCGAAGCAAAGTTCGTCCATTACCTTTTTGATATCAGACATAGTGGTCTTGTTGTTCACAAAAGTAACTTTGGACTCCCCTAGCTGGTGCTTTAGATTTTTCAGAGTTCCTTGCTCCGATTGATTTTGTCTTGATGACATATTCACGCAATTTCGACCTTGGCTGAACATTCTGCATTTTCTTTGCTCAACTTGCAGATTTTCCTTCGGTTCCCTCTGCTCAATCCATCGGTTTTGGTAACCCATTAGTTCTTCATTCTGTTCGCTGATGACCTTTAGCTTGAGCTTAGATTTCGATAGACTTTTCTTGAGTTTCCTGACGCGATCCTGCTCCTCGGCGAGCCTTAATTCCGCGGCATGCTGTTCCTTACGCGCCTGGAGGACAAATGTTCGCTCCTTCGATAGCATCAGCTTGTGGCCTATCAGTTCCAGTTCCCGCCTTATTTCCGCATTAATCAACTTCCGGCGCAAGTCATTCAACTCGTCCAAGGGACTCGCTTCCGTGCTTTCCTTGTCCGTGTTTATATGCCCTAAAGTCTTGATTGGGGCTTCTCCGAGAACAGTCTCCAGCTCGAAAATAACCGTTTCAACGTTCACCTGAAAGATGATGTGGTCCGCCTTGTTTATCTTCCCTGCCGACTCACCCAATGGCAGCACCAAATACAGACGCTTTATTTGCTGGTAGCCTGAGAATAAATACAAATATAGGCCTCTGTCATTCCTCACAACCACTTACATCGTGACAAGATTTCCGCGTTAGTGGCCCTGACCTGATCGCTGAACTCGTCGCCTTCCACGATCTTCTCCCTCATGGCCCTGATCAACAGAAGTATCTTTCCCAAGCAGCTCCTCATTTGGATGGCTCCCTGGCTGCTCCAATCCCCTGTTTCTTCCTTCAAAAGCATCCCATCCTTCAAATCGGACAGTATGGCTTTTATCTGGCTTATACGTTCCTTCATTACGGAACCCATAGCCACTGATAATTGAATGAAAGGAAGTGTGATACGTAAAAAAAAACCACTAAGAATTTAAAAAGAAAATGATTCCAGAAAATATCTAATACAAATTTTAAATTAGAAAGTCTAATATATTTACAATGTTGGCAGATCGAAAATATAAAGCGATGCCACTCAGAAAAAAACATTTATGAAGTTGCAATTGTTTTGTTACATTTTTCTGGTTTCTATATGCCAATACTTGAAATGTTTTGTTTTGAAATTAAGCCCCAATGACTTGTATAAATCCAGAAGGTTTTGGATCAATACGAGCGTTTCATAATTAATTATTATTAGAACCAAAAACGGAAAACAACTAAAAAAATAACATTTTTAATTATAAAAAATACTGATCAAATTACATAAACCAAATAAGACATCCAATCCATACCTATTAAAATGATCAGTTGGCACCTAAAAAACAAATTGTAAAGGTCAATATTGATAGTTTTTGCACTGCGCGAATAGGTCGCTTAGAACAGTTCGGCAGATATATGACACTTGCACTTTTAAATTAACCAAGAACGTGTACTTTTGTTTCTTAAAAGTAGTGTTTTAGCAGTTGTTATTCTTTTAAACATTTTCCACTCGGAGGAATTTTTAGCAACACTTTGTTCCTTTTTTATAAACCAAGATAAACGAAACATGTGAGGCCTAAATAATTATACTTTCAAATTTTCTATTTGTATTAGTAATAATTTTAACATAAAATATTTTATTTCTTATTATAAGTACTTGTAAACCTTCGAGAAAACATTTTTTGGTCTCTAAGCCACTTAGTATAATATGTTCTGGCATTGGACATTCGTCAACGGAAATTCAACAGAAACTATATAACATTTTTAGAGGAATTTACAACCATTAAACAATAAAATCGTTTACGGAATTCCCAAAATGGTATAAAAAAAATATTTTTTAACCCGAAATTGCATATAATGGTATTTAGTTTCGGGCCGGATGGTTATTTTATGGATATCACATTGTTCACACCGTGAGAATGGGATCCCGACCTTCAAGTGGCATGTCACAACTACGATGCTCTGATAACAAAGTGAGAATCTACATTTCTAACTCCATGCTTAATCTATCTATTAAAAATTCAAATATTTTATATCTATTCCCAGAACTGGTTAAGCAATACACTCAATAAATACTCGTTTTAAGATTATCCCCCTCGTCCCGCCTCAGCAAGGAATTAAAATTTTTGTTTAAAAAGGCAGCGTACCAAATACAACAATTTTAAAATTAATATTTAAACTAACAAAATTATTTCTCATACAAAAGTTATTACATGTCCTTCCTAAAACGGACCCAATGAGTCTTAGATATTGTTGCTTCAACGGCTTTATAAAAGTTTTTCTTTTCCCTTGATATTGCACTTGATAAACGATATATTTTATAAATCTAGCTCACATCACGAAGTACTTGTTAAGTTAAAATTTGTTATATCCATTCGACCAAACTAAGTGAAAACACAAGTACACGGCCTGAATTTTCAATAAGAGACTGATTAGTAATAATTACAGATGTAATGTCCGCACACATATCATGATATTTTCGATAATTGACCAAGCAACATATTTATTGATTATTAATTACACTATTGTACATTTTTTTTCTTTGTTTGTTTGTTTGCATGTGGGCTAAATGATGATGCAGTTCACCTGAATGCTACTTAAGAGCAGGATGCTGCTTTGTTGGTCACTAAAGTGCCCCAGTTAGCCATTACAAAATTTCCCCAGGGGTGTTTGCGTTGGGGGAAACAGCACTGCTTGCAGTCATTATGGCAACTGCAGCAGTACTCGTAGCTCCCCCCAGAATTATAGGCAGTATAGTTCCAATTGTCCGTCGAGCATAGCTTCCACGTCCTCGATCGCGGGCAGCAAGTCGATTGGGTAAGATAAGGATTTAAAGAAATTATCTATATAATAACTAATTATAGTTAATTCGGTGAAAAATCGGTTATTTTTAAAAAAAATTTATTGGCGATACGGATAGTCTCAGCTCAATTTTGTTTTTTGCAAGTGATTGGGCAACATTTAAACAATATGTGTGATTTTTTCTTCCAAAAATATTAACAATTGACTGAGATACAGGCAATCTCCGGCGGCGCCTCAAAGAAAATATGTTTTGCGGTGTACACGATAACCGGTCACAGAATCATATGAAATGAAAAAATCTAATTGCATTAGTTAAAGAAAAAGATTCCTCAGGTAACGCTGTCGAGTTTTTTTTTTCGATTTTTTAAAGCACTTGAAAGTCAAAAAAACCGATTTTCGCCTAAAACGTCGAGATATTTGATGTTCTAAAAATAATAAATTAAAAAAAACTCGACAGCATTACCTAAGGAATTTAGTTGAGAACAACTGTGCAAAAATTCAAAACGATCCGTCCGATAGATTTAGCAGGATCGTGTACACCGACTTTGAAAAGGGTAACTTTTCAGGAGAACGTTTTAAAGTTTTGGACACCCATACAAATCGAGCTAACTTACCTACGTTCAACTGCCCATAAGTTCGGAAGCTTTACTCGGATCGATCTAAAACTTTAACATAATATTCTCAAGATGAAGTTAAAGAATGCATGCAGTATAAGGATATTTCGTGCCAATTAGACTTTCAATCCGATCTAGACAGCTTTTAAAACTAGGTCGGAATAATTAAAAATTGTACTTTGCATTATGTCCACATCAGCCTAATTTACCAACATCAGTTTTTTGTTTTGATGGGTAACGACTTGTTATTGTCCTTTAGCCATATAAAACCGTTGTGCTAGTGATAATATCAGCAAACTCGGCCGAAACTCTACTTAGTTATTATTCCTATGCTAAAAAATGTTTTCTCATAACTCAATAACACCAGAACTCGACGAAGTGTAGACCCAGCCTAATATACCCGAACGCTGGGAACGAAATCGATTCAGATATATTTAAATCAATGTTTTCAGTTTTCTTAATTTTTCGATGAATTCTTAAAGAGTCGATAAGTATAGCTATTATTAACGAAACGCCACCTAGAATCGTAGCAGGCAGCTTGTGTTTATGAGCGGAATTTATTAAGATTAAAATAGCGCCATCTAGGCTGCTGACTTGCATATTAAATAACGACTGAGGTAAAATGTTGCCTGACAAAAGCTGGTAAACTAGGCCTGTCATTTCACTATGGAATCTATTTTCATCTAATTCACCAGGACGTTGGTATCAATTTGACGCCTGGGCGTGTACGCTTTACACTATGGTACATTTTTCAGGACTTCGAGCGGTGTGGCTTGGTCCGGTTTCTGCTGGTCTTCATCAGCGCCATGAATTTGGACAATTGGCCATGGGACATGGGACATGGTATCCCGAAACTGGCATGCTAATTGTTATGGCTTCACCGAATTTGCGCTGGAGGAGGGCCAAAATGACCGTTTACCAAGGAGACCGCCATACGCTAATATAGCGAGTCTTAAATTAAAACAAATAATTCATTTTCTTTATACTGCTTCTAAATAATATCGGTATTACAAAGATAGAATAACAGGATAACACATTAAATACTGATTAATATCTGTGAATAAAATAAACATGATATAAAAGTGTCACTTTTAGTGGGAAGAAGGCAGTCTAACCTGTAGTAATTGGCTTTAAAAGGCCCGGCCTTGTTTAAGCCCATGAATTTGGACTGTTCGTCCGTCAGCTCCGTGAGATGAGCATCGAAGGTCGCCAAATGCAAGCTGGCCACGTACTCGTCTGGAATTTTACGCTAAATTACATAAGGAATTCTTTTCGAGAAAATCCGATTTCCTACCCATTTTCTTTGGCAGCAAATATACATCCGATTTATATCTTCCTGGCGCCGAGAAGAGCTCAATCAGGGCCAGGGCCTGAGTGGATGAGGCGACGGATACGACGAACGAGGAAATTGTGGAGCAGGAGAGATTCACCAGCCTTCCCTCGGCCAGCAGAATGATCATCCTGCCGTCTGGCCACCTAATGTGGTCAACTTGGGAACGGACTCGCTCCCACGTAAGCTCCGGGGTATGCAATCCATTCTGAAATGGATTGACAACATTACAATGTGTATAGGAAATTGAGGTAAAACTAAACACCCACCACATCAATCTCCGAGCAGGAATGACCCATATTGCAGAGGATGCAGCCGTTCTTCATCCGATTCATGTGATCCCGGGTGATAACATTTTTGTTTCCCGTTGCCGTGACCACCACATCCACGTTCCGGATGACTTCGTTTAGCCGCACCACTCGGAACCCGTCCATGGAAGCTTGTAGAGCGCATATTGGATCCACCTCCGTGATGTACACAACGCAGCCTTGCCCCTTCAGCGACTGGGCACAGCCCTTTCCCACATCCCCGTAGCCACATATCACCACCTGTTTTCCACCAAACATAATGTCCGTAGTACGCTTTAGACTATCAGGAAAACAAAAGAATTCAATTTTATATACTATGTTTAAAAAGCAATATTTAAGTCAGTATATAATATAATCAAAATTTTACACACTAATTAAATCTGACCAAGAAATTGACTTCCTTTTATTCAAATTTAAAATATTTTACTTTAATTCAGTTTCTTTGAAAGCCTATTTAATCTCTCTCTAATAAAGACATCCCTTTCTAAAGATGGTAATGAATATTTGAGCTTACCTGTCGAGGATGGAGTCGCGACACGTGTAGAAGGTGTCAAACTTGTTCTTGGTGACCGAGTCGTTGACGTTGATGGCCGGAACAGTGAGCTTGCCCCCCTTGGAAAGCATGTACAACCGATGCACCCCGGTCACGCTCTCCTCCACAATGCCCCGGATGGCCTTGAAGTAGTCCGGGTACTTCTTCAGCATCAGGTGAGTGGCATCGCCGCCGTCGTCCAGGATCAGGTTTGGCTGCCAGCCCTCCGAGTAGATGGCCCTGTCCAGGCACCACCAGAACTCCTCCTCCGTCTCGCCGCGCCACGCGAAGATGGGGATTCCCGCCTCCGCCAGAGCGGCGGCCACAGCGTTCTGGGTGGAGTAGATATTACAGGCCGCCCAGCGGACGGTGGCGCCCAGTTGGACCAGTGTCTCGATCAGCACCGCCGACTGGGCGTTCACGTGGGTGCATCCCACTATGTGGGCCCCCTTCAGGGGCTTCTCCTCCTTGGCCCTCTTCCGCAGCGTCATGATGCCCGGCATCTCCGACTCCGCGATCTCGATCTCCCGCCGTCCAAAGGCGCTCTTGGAAATGCTTTTCACGCAAAAGTCGGTCCCGCCGGCGGAGTTGCGCTGCTGGTTGTCCTTCGGCGAGATCTCATCCTCGTCGGAACTTCCTGTGAAACAGGCTATCAGGGAGATTCGGATGATTAATTAAAAACATATACATAAATATGCATATAAAGAAAAGGTAGTAAGAAGGTTAGTTAACTCAAGGTCAAATTTATGTCGCTTGTTTATGCCAACACAAATAGACAATCCAGATTTAGATTCATTTCAAATCGAAATTGACACTTGTCCTCGTATTGGCTGAACTTCTCACAACCCAGTATATAGGTATTAAAAAAAGACAATCTTAATTTATAAGAAATTTATAAAAGTGAACTTACTGGAGCTGAATGAGCAGGTGGAGACATCTGAAAACCGTCTAGCTTCTATACTAGATTTTTTCACAGCAGTCTATTAAAAAGGAGCACATATATGACATTATTAATCTAATGGAATCAAAAGCATTTAATTTATGATAGTATTCCATGTTTACTTTTGTCTATGTTGGCATAAAAATTATAATGTTTAATCAGACTTGTGATAAAAAATGGTAAACAGACTTTAAGTAGATGATGAGCTCATTAAATTAAACCAATGGTACTATGGGAATAAATGATAAGCTCATACTATTTATAAACGCTTTTAAACAACTTTATAAAGATGGAGCAATACCTAATAATTACATTTATTCTCAGGTGTTTTTATGAATATTTTAGAATCATCTTTAAGTGTTAATAAATTCAAATACAGTGACCGATATCTAATTGATTACACTCCTTTAACTAACTAGACATTTATAATATGCCGTATAATCAAAGTAATGGCACCGATTCACAAGTTCATGATTTTATTGCACTTTTCAATTAACAAATCGCTATATTATTATAAGGCATTCGAAATCGCACACATGTGTGGTATAGGGATTGATCAATTTTTGATGGGAAACTTATTTGTGGGCGCGAATTTGCGTCGTTTCCAGTGAAATCTAGATTTAAGTGCAAAGAAAAGCTGAAGCTGAAGGGAATACATTCGAAACTGGTCGCTAATTGGCGTCGTTTAGCATACCGGCGATAATTCGTCGCGCCAATTGAATCGGGGAGATATGAAATCGCGAATATAGATCCAGAATCCGGACCTCGGTCGGTTGCTTCCCGGAGTGTATGTAAACAGTCGAATTAATGAAGTCCACCATTGAATACCTTGCGCATTGTGTCTATTGTTGTTTACGTTTTGCTAGCCATGTGGAATAAACATGCACTGCTATCTACAACATTATATTTTTCTACGATCTTAATAAGCCGATATTTACTGCTTATTTATGCCCAGCAGATCAATCCTTTGATTAGAAGTTTGAAGTCTGCAAAGCTAATAAATGTAAGATTTATTAGATCGATTTATTATGGCCATGTGGTGTGCTTTTTGTTCTATCAGAGGCTTTTGTTTAATTAAAAGATAGTTTACAAAGTGAGGTAATTTCGCTACTAAATTAGCTTGACCCCTATTACAGTGATCCAATTAAAGCTGTTCTACTGGATTTGTAGAGCGATCACTTTCACGAAGGGTATGAGAGACTTCGAGGTGAATGGCTCGCCTTAATTTATTGTTCAGAGAGCGCCTTTGGGGGCTTTGTTTGTTTGTTGAGTTGTCACGTGCTGTTTTCTTATTAATCGCCAAGTTCAGCGATTGAAACAAGTTGTGTGAATCCTTAAGTGGCTAATAAATATTCAGTGTGATATTGCCATTGTTATATTTACCTTATCAGCCAGACTCAGGTCGGCAAACGTCGTCTCTGGCATTTGGGACATTTTGGAGGCACTGAGAGCCGATAAAAAAAGAAAACAAAAAGTAAACCAACAATTCGAATAAAAACAAACAGACGCAGTCATTGCCAGAAATTATTCATAAAAGAGCGAACGACCTTCGGGGCTTACATTTAGACGGATTCGAAACAGGTTATATGCTCGGCTTTGTAGCGCTTTATTCCGACTTCTTACGTTCTATGCACCCCAGAGACCGGCTCTAATCAGCCAGTGCAGGTGTTGGATATCACCTAGACTTCCAGTTTATGTCCTATGTTTTTGGCGGAGGCACAACGTCAGTTCTGGTGGAGATCTCCGGTCAGACTAGATCGGCCCGCGTTTCGAACTCAAACGAGATCGCCGATCGATCGATTCCGAATTCAATTCCGATTCCGATTCCGATTCCGTTCGCTTCACTTGTCAAGATTCTTCTCCTGCTCTCGGGGCCGTATGACTTTGTATCTGGGGCGATCTCCGGCCGCAGACGTCCGCTCGCGACTGGGGCAAACGACGAACTGGCTCACTGCCCCGGGTTATTAGGGAGCAGCACGATCGTATAGAAATAAAGAAATACGGCAAGTAAAAAACGAGAACGAAAACAAAAACCGAAAACACAACAAGACCACGGAGCGAGGTATCAGCACCGGTTCAAATAAAAGATCGCCACATTTATGAGAATCTTATCATGGCGCGGGCTCTTATCGCCCTGTCCCCCGTTGAGCTCCCCACCCTCTACCTCCACGCTCATCCCCTTGGGTACTTATCGTGATCCAACTTCACCCCATGCAGTATTCCCGAGATTACGGAAATCAATTTCGACTCTGACGTAGGCAAAGTGTCCACTCGGATGAGTGGATTTTATTATAACGACTGGAGTCCGAACTCACTACTTTAAGTCGAGTTGCCGTTCTCAAAAACAACTAAAGCTAAATCACCAATTTCTTATCTTTTAGCTTCAGGCAAATTAAATTTTAAAGCTATTGCCTTTCTAATGAGATAATAATAGACTACTATAGGTTTATGGGGTAATCCTTATCAAGTCTTTAAAAAAATATCAGCTAATCATTTTAGATTTACTCGGGCGCTATCAGGCTATTAATAAAAGACTCATTCCCTGTCAAAAATGTCACCGATTTTTCTTAACTAAAAGATATTATGAATTGACCAAAAAGGAGGTGCGAAATATTTTTTTAAATACCCAAGTCTATTTCGAGTTAGTTGTTAATTGCACTGCTACTGGATTTAACTTAAATCTACGAGCTCATGCTTTTGAATATGGAATACAATCCAATAAATATCTTTTATTTTATTTAAAAAATAAAATATTCGCAAAGCATGAAATTCCAAAAATAAATATTTGAAAGAGAACGTTCAATAAAATTCAGCACAGCAAATGATGTAAAACATGAACTAATATTGATGGAATATATATGAAGACCTCCTTATTCATTCTTTTGTAGACTTTAATTAATTTTTTAAAGTAGTTGGTGTGTTTACATATTCTAACACAGGGGTTGTTCGTTAACTTTGCTTTCTAACGTGCCATTCGGCCATTTTTCGCTATCGTTACCCAATGATTTGATTGCACTGCATTTTATGGGATGTCCGTGCGCTTTTAGCGTAGCCATAAAGAGGGAAGAATTTTAATCAAGGCACCGATGTGGGAATTACGCCATCAACCCCCATCGGGAATCCTGGCCAAGGGATGCTAGGTAGGGGATGCAGCATCTGCGGGGGATGATTGTTACCTTAAATTGGTCCAGATTCAGGGGTTGGGATATTTATTGTGTGCATCTCATGGTCTAATTGGTCGCTTTCAATTCTGAGTAGTGTTTCCAAAAGAAGTGGCCTCAGCATTGTGCGTGAGGAACATTTATCACAGCGGCTTCTGTAAAGAAGTCTCGGGGTCATGTAATCCTGTCTTATTGCATTAAGCAGTTGCGTTCTCTCGGGATTCCAATAAAAAAGACAGCACTTTAAAGGGCAAGTATTTCGTTTATTCCATAAACTATCTTTGTGAACTTTCATAGGACTACACTTATGAGAATTTACACATCCTAAAATACAATCCACATTCCATAGTTTGGCATTCGCAGTCACTGTCGCACTCTTATTGCACCGAGAGTTTCTCAAACTCTTTATTTACAAAAACCACACAGTCTGCGTTTAGGGTCTATTTACAACGTACGTACTATTTACAAATAGTTAAATCTACGCTTGTTTATGTACAAGAGTCTACTTAATACCGTCAAGGCTGTGCCTATATACAAGATCTCGCCTCAGAGCGATCCCACCTTCTCCATGAGATACCAGGGCAGGAAAACGGAGGCGGCCACCACGGCCACACAGGTGGCACACATGGCCACCGTCGCCGAGAGGCTTGTGATCGAGAAGTGGTCCTCCCTGTCCTCGAGCTCCTCATGCGGATGCTTCTCAAACTCCAGGACCTCGACGTCAAAACGAAACCGGACTTTCGATTCCGGCGAGTCCTTGCGCCACACCAAATGGCCAGAGGATTCGCGGCGCTCCAGACTCCATTTCGGATCGTGGACTGGAAGGTAAATCAAAAGTAAGCCGTTTTAATTAGGAATAAAGTAATTAGATACTTGTTTGTTTAATCTTCAGACAAAACTTTTCAGTCTAGGATTCCCACAAGTAAAGAAAAATATATAATTATAATTTCTTTTTGAAACTTTAGCATAAAATTCATAAAAAGTTTTACTAACCATAGAAATAATACGGGGATCTGTCCTATTAAAGTTAGTTAATGAAAGCTGCTAAAGTCAAATAAGTTTGACCCCCCTTATTATACACACCGGTTTTTACATTATACAAAAATAAATATTTTCCTAGAAGTATGCTTTAAAATGTATTTCCTGACATCTCGTTAAACTGACCATGACATTTTTAATGAAAGTTGTTAATCTGCTATTTTTAAAATTATGGTTTCCACATGGATGTGATCTGTCTACATCTTACAAAGTATTATATCCTATTTTTTGATGTCAAGTTAAATGTTTTAATTTAAATATTTACCTGATCCAGTCATTGTGCCTTTTTGGGAGTAATTTAAACTCGAAACCCTGAAATGGCACAAAAAATATCATTGAATAAATTAAATGGATTGCATTGCGTATGTAGACAGTGATTTAACTAAGTGTTTGTTATTGCATTTCGAGAAATGTGCTGGTACGCATGAGTAATCAGACGTTCTAGGTGAAGTTCGACCATCTAATTAGCATTCCAGGCACACGACCAATTAGTGCTCACACTTCCCGACAATCGCGAAATTGAAATGGAACACGGCGGTGAAGTGTCTGACCCTGTCCTTCTATTGCTCAAATGTCGCCAATGAATAAATTGGACGCTGCCCGGAGCGAGCTATATTTTCCCATATGAATACTTTGTGTATGATATTCCATTAACCCGCGTGAGTTCGCATAGACTTTAGTCGGCTGAAATTCCACTCAGTTAAGAGTCTCGCATACACCTTTGTAGGCAGGTGGGGAAGACGCCACCTGACTTTTTACTTTTTACTTTTCCCTTGTTTGCACGTTGCTGGCATTGATTTTATTTTATTTTATTGTCTATTTAGTCATGAGAAAAGGTGGTCCCACACACAAGGGCATACGGCAAAAATCAATCACTTTTAACACTTTGTACCGGTGGCAAAAAGTTTATCACATGCTGTGTTTAAGTAATCAATAATTGTAAATATTGCAATTTTGATAAGCACTAAACGAGCGAGTGACCAGGAAATTGCCAAAGAATGGCTTATCTAATTTTCAGGTTTTATTGAACTGAGTGGTATTCTATAAAAAAGGTGCGAAGCAATTTATTGGTCTCAATTTAGTACTGGGAAAAATGATAATATTCCCTAAATAACTTTACTAGAAAAAAACATTAATAGACAACTTTTAAAAATTTTTTGCTTCAATTTAATAAATAAAAACTTTACCTTAAGAGGATTTGTTTTTATATCAAGGGTACAACTATTCGAATTCTTAAAAATACTATTGGTAAATTTAATTATTTTAATTGATTAAGCTCAACCATTTCCGTAGATTTGTAACTTACAATTACGTCAATGCCTTGGACCCTGACAATATTTTAAATAAAAAGGTAACCTTGCCTATACATATATCCAAAAGATAGACTCCAATGTCGAAAAACAAGACGATAAGTACTGGACTTTAATTTAATTTAGCACTATCCTTATCTTTAGGCTGTAGGGATTCGACTTGTATTTAAATTTTTAGGAAGTCTATTTGGGATAAAAACAATTCTACGATATTGAAAAACTCATCAATGGGCATGACGCAAATGAGGGAAAAACAAAAATAAACGAAATTAAAAAAGCAACAAACAAATTAAAATTTTCGTATTGCCGTTTCGGATACCCGGTACTTAACAATTATTTTTGGATTGTTCTTTCAGTTGGGATCGTATAATAAATCAAAACTAGCAAACAAACATGTGAGAGTCTCAGTCTGTTTGTAGAAAATAAATAAATCAATACGCCCTGTTGTTAAGAGGTATGTAAGAATCTGAACACATGCTGCCTTCGTTTTTGAATGCGGTTTTTGCATATTTTACTTAGTGCTCGTATTCCGAAATGACATCGAGAAAGGTCGCAGCGCCAAATTAGCATTCACGTATTGTGGGTTGCCCTTGAATTCCGGCATAACGACAGCTTACAAAACCGATTCTCCCGTCGTTACAATAGTTCCACAGGATCTATTTTATTTGCTTGAAAACTGCGATATTCAACCCATCCAGTGACAGTACAAATAAACCCTTGATCTGGGTATTTGCTTACGTTGGGGAGCACTCTGTGAAAGTGTCTAATATTTACCGTGACACTCATAAACACTATACCTATACTGGTTTTGTTTCTACTCCGATCAGTCAGAATTTAGCACATTTCGCCACCGAATGATAAACTTTGGCGATTGCGCGCACGATCGGCACGGAAAGTGATCGGAGTCTATGGCGATTTGCGAGTCAGACAAGGCTTTTTAATGGACTTTGGTCTTATACAATGCGATTCTTTGTGACTACTACGCAAGTATCTGCATTAAAATACCGCTTACATACGAATGCCCCCGGGTTCGATCGCTTTTGCATGGCAGAAAGTCTCGTACGATCTGATGTATTGGTGCTTTTAATTGGTTTTCCTATTTTTGTTGCTCCTCTGATAAGATTCACAAAGAAACGGCAACGTCAGCTGAGCACTTTTAATCAATGAACTCACTCGTTTCGCAGATGCCCATTTCCACTTGAGCACGGCCACAGTGGGCACTCGCTAAAGCTGGCACCGTGCATAAGGGTGTCGCCTTAGGTTTCGGTTTATGCTTTTGGCATTTAAGCTTTAAGCATTTAAGCAAAAACCTGCTTTGGCCAATGCCATTTATTATGCACATCCACATCCACATGCACATCCACGCTCCACTGTGTCACAGTAAAGACGCTTAAATAGTGAAATAGTTTTCACAAGTGCGAGTCGCAATCCTACACAAATCAACATTCAAATTCACTGGAGGTAAACACGCGCCTGCGATAAGAGCAAAAGACCTCTTTCGGTGAATGGTGTATGTTTGTACATACAGAGTACATCGTATGTTGTCAGTCAGTCAATAAATATTAGGGGGTTAGTACACAGGGAGAAATTATGTCCCATACAGCAAGCTCCTTGAAAAAGGTCAATCGACTTATCCTAAGCCGAAGTCAAAAACGTATTTCTTTCATATTTTAAAAATAAACCGAAGTTCAGAATGACTAGGAATTATCAAAATTTTACGGTGTTACAGAAATCTCTTCCAACCGAATTGGGTTGAAAGAGATTTCATTGATTATTCATCAATTTTACAAATATGTTTTAAATAATAATTAGGTTATACTAAATGAAATACAAATTTTCAAGATTCATTTTGATTATTAATTAAGACGAATTGATGACGATTCCCAGCATTTTTAATTGGTAGGCATATACATATATGATACATTTCAAGGGAATTATTCACAAAATGCTGTTAATTTTTTTTTTAAATTCCCCAATTTTTCACAATTAATCTCGAACTGGTGACAAATGTCGTTTAAACTTTTAATTAGTACACAAACTTAGTTTAAATATTTTTAAAATAATATTACACAAATTTATAGTGATATAGTAAACAACTGTTGATTCATGTTGTGCATGGAATAAAATTATAATTGTTTATCGTAATGTCATAGACAAATAAAAACGAATTGGGAACGAATTTAGTCATATTTTTCCCTGTGCTAGAATCGATTTGATGGTTGTTTGGGTGGTGCCACTGGCAACCCGAGTAATCAATAAGAAACTCAATTTTGTTTTTGTTATGCTCGCATGCTCAATTGCATGTTTATGTAAACGCCGTAGTGTTTTTTGTTATTACCGCTGCGATTTGAAGTGACTCGATTTGCAACTCGAGGCCAAGCGCCGATGGAGAATTAGTCAACAGCTGTGCACCGCCGCAAAAAAACACTCGCACACACTCTCGAAAAGTCGATTCGATCGATCTTGCTGAGCTTTTGCCGCGTGTAGGCCGCGCCGAACTATTGGGGTCTAGAGCGTGGAGCTGACTGCCGCCGACAGCTCGCCATGCTCCAGTCCAGCCCCATCGCCAGCGGTACGAGTACCAGGCAGCTTTGCGAGCAGTACGGCTGGGGGGGGGGATTCAGAAGCGCTGAGAGCGAAAGTCCGCCGGGGGCTCGCCGCGCCTCCGTATTGCATGGCGCTCAGGCCATGCCACTACATTGTTAGTGATATGGTAGTGCTTTGGACACTTGTTCGAGTCGCTTACGAGTGCCTATGCATAGGTAAATTAACTTAATGAATGAGTGAGTGATTCGTAAGTTCAAAGCTTAGGGAAAAACCGCAAACACGTAAACTTGGGCAGTTACTATCAATTAATAGGTGTAACCACAGTAGTGCTTCTTTAGGCAAAACCAACCATTACATTTCTATAAAAATAAAAACTTAATATTACTCTTAAAACTTGGACATTCTTTGATTTATGGAACATTTTATCTTTTACAATTATTTATTTACAATTTTAAGCTCATTTATATTTATTTATAATTTTAAATATATTATTATTTTTCAAAAAAATTAGTTCGTTTGCTTAACCAGTTTAATATAATAATAGTTTAAATTCAAAAATTGTATCAAACTTTTAAATTAGGATTACTATTCAGTTCTATACCACAGAAAGGGTTTGTTCAGATAAAATTGTAAGTGTTTTTTGTTTTAATATTGAACACAATTTAAAGTTTAACAAAATAAAAACAGGAATGAAAGCTATAGATACTGCTTGTTAAATAATGCCTAAATAAATAGGTAAACAGCAGATGGTTACGAACGTAATCTTTTGTCGAGGGGCAGCCACTGACCTGAAGCCATTGGTCAAAGCTATGTCCTTTAACCTTAATTTCGTGGTAACTTCAGCTAAAATTGTGTGATTAGAAAAATCCCTTGTGGCGAAAAATATTGAATACCAGTGGATTACAGAATTTTGCTACTTTTTATAGTGGGTGTGGCCAGTTTTCCCGTCTTTCACAGGGACATGTCTAGATCAGTTCGGCTGATAGTCCTGATAATGAGTATAACCTTATAGGATCGGAAAAGCTTCCATCTCATGGTGGTATACCTTTAAATGAATTCAATGTACCCGAGTAACGGGCTTAATTAATGTAACTAGTGCCAGTAAGGCTAGATTAATGTCACATAATCAACATATTTTCACGTTTTCTTTATGTTTCCGCCTGCAATCGACTTGACAATCGGTCAGCGCTTCTAGCACATATGTATAAACAAAAGTACAAAAAATATTTCCATGCGTACAAAGGGTGAACAAGATTTACAAAGTTTATTAACGCTTTCTACACCCTTACTATTACAAATATTTTATATATGTACATATGAAAATTAAATCAATAGTAGAATGTTTTCACCGAAAATAGTAAACCAATTATTTTAAGACACGTAAATTAAAAAGACTGCTTTTGAGAGTTTATGACTTTCATAAAAGGCACTAAAAATAGTCGTTGAGGGTAAAGAAGAGCATAAGATAAGCTGCTCTTACTGAAAGTACATTAAATTTGATAAGAAGCTTTGTAAGTGGATAACCAAATGGTGCACAAAACATTCATAGGAACTAACATACCACGACAATAGAAAATTCCAGGCAGGGTATCAGCATCAACAAAGAGAAAACAATAGAGTTCTGTTCCTCGTACTTTGTTTTGTTGTTCTCGACCTATGTGCGATTGTATTCTTACTTACTAATCTGAGCGAGTCACAGTACACTAAGAAAAATAGGTAACTATTTGAAAGTATGTTTTTATTTCCATTCTGTTTTTTTGTTTGTATATATTTAATTAAATTTGAATCATTTTTATTTTGTTCCCAATAAATTGTTAATTTAAAAGTTATTAAAGTAAATGGAGCATCGCTCATTTTATACTTAAATAAAATTAAGAAAAGAAGAAGTTATGTACAAAAATGAAATATTTATCTTTGATCGTTTCTATCGCAGCTTTATCATATAGTCGTCCTATTTCTATAAAAGTAAAATCGTAATTCTGTAATAGTTAAAAATCGGACTATATCGGTATGTGTTAAGAAACAACGAAGGTGTTTTTATTGTTATTTTTTCCCGATTGTTCCTATTGGACCGATTTAATATAGTAGGCCGATCCGGTCCAACCCTGTAAGTGTATCACCTGCAACAGAAAGATTTTTGGAAAAGTTTTATCCAAATACCTTTAAAACTGATGGACTAGTTTGCGTAGAAAAGGACAAATGTACGGACGGACAGGCAAACTTGGCAAAATCGACTCGCGTGGTAATGCTGATCAAGAATATTATATACTTTAAATGGTCTGAAATGTGCCCTTCGCTGCATTGCAAACTTTTTATTGAAATTGCCCTTTGCAAGGGTAATAATATATAATAATAATAATATAATATAATAATATATAATTTTCGGAAAATATTTCACATTGTTTTACTATCTTAAAAGAGGAAATAACTCGAATATATGGAATATTTTTGCAAAGTGTATTTTGAGTGCGCTGGGTAACTGTGACCACCGAGATGACAATTGTTTCAATATACACACATATTCGAGTGTTTACTTGGCGAGCGGAAGACTCAGATAATCTGAGCGGAGCGAGAACCAAGTGTCACTTTTTTCTCAGTCTTTCATTGACGTTGGACCAAAATATACCCGGCCTCCCAATCCCAATTGGAATATACTGAGAATAGGATTACTTACTAGTTATGAGGACAAAGCGCAGTAATGTCTGGAACATCGACCTCTGAACGCTCCAACTCCGAAGACAGGTGAGTCGTTGCACTCCCACGAATTCAGAATAAAGCCTCCATAATCCGGTTCCAGCCCATCTAATCCCTGCCTGACGGAGGTGCTCAGGACCTGTGCAAACATCCAGTCGCTGGAGAGCTTGAACTACGAATATAACGACGTTTTTCTGAGCGGTCCCAACAACGGTCGCAAGATGCTCTCGCCGAATCCGTACTCCTTCATCTCAACCAGCAGCTGTCCCAGTGAGGATGTGTCATTCACGGAGAGTATTTTGGAGGACAACGGTCGTATTTCGCTGGCCTATGAGAATTTGAAGACAATTCCCAAGCGACTGGCCGACAAATTCGCAACACAGACCCGGTATCTAGACCTGAGCCACAACGATTTTCGTAATCTGCGGTTTTTATCGTTCTTCGAGGACCTAGACACTTTGATTTTGGACCGCAATGTTAACCTGGATATAAACACTTTTCCTTATCTGCCAAGCCTAAGGATTTTGTGGTGAGATCTAAGGATAGCTTCAATAAAATCCCATGTAATACTGCCTTTTTGTTTTGCAGGATCAATAACTGCGACATCGCGAACATAACAGACTGGATTCACCGCATTGAACGCCAGTGTCCCGCGCTAGATCAGCTCTCCTGCATGGGCAATCCTGGCATCCGCACCGTTTTTGGGGGACAAGGACCCCGCGAGTATATCCTGCAGGTGCTCCCCCAACTGAAATACCTCGATGGACTCCAGGTTTGCCCCAGCAGCGGGAATGGAGGTCACACGGCGCTCTCCTCCTCGCAAGGACATGGTCGGGATTCCACCAGCAACTCGGAGAAGCCACAAGCCGCACCTGCACTCACATTCAAGGACTTCTTCCGGTCAAAACATTCGAGGAAATCCCACAGTGGACGGACCTACGTCAACGGCTCCTCGACAAATTGAAGTGCTTCGCCGAAGTGAGGGAGGGGTATTCCACTGATTGCATTCTGTCCCATTGTTGGACTATTTTTAACCGTCCGCTGGATTATCAGCGCTGCCCTCGGATGCCCTGCAGTCGTCGATTGCACCTACAGAACGATGCAAATAAATATGCCTATGATAATTGCCTTGCACATACGTATATCAATATGCAATTGTGTGGCGATGGACACGCACCAGCCTAGTGAGAATTAATCTAGTGCATTAAAGCAATTTTTATAAAAATGCAAGTCAATGGACTCTATGAATAGTCAAGTAAACAGGTCGTATATGTATAATGAGCCCCATTTTCAGAATAAATGTTCATTTTAACAGCATTATGAATGTCGTTCAATGTCTGATTAATGTTACAGAAGTGAAAACGTTGGCATTAACCAGCAATGAAATTAATTTGTAAAATTAAGGTCAACAAAGAGAAAAAAAAGAGCCCTGAAATAAAACTGAGCAGTGACATTTCAATGGTTTCTACGTGTCAATCACAAATAATTGGTATAACAAATAAAATCATCATGTACTGATAATTGATTTTTCTAAATTTATTACAGGACTATTTTCGCATACCTCAATGTTCAAGGTTATAAATGATCCGAGCTCTAAGCCGTCACCGATATTTTAACATCAAAAATACTAGCTCGGATGCCACTGACTATAAAATTCTTTTTACTCCCGCTTCTTTAAATGTTTATCTATGTAACTTGCTTAAGAAACAGAAACTGGAAACCCATTTCTGAGAATATTTGGAATCATTACTTTCTGGCATCTATTGCACAAATGATGTGATATCCATAAGTGCTTATATTGGTCAATTCGATTTGATTTCCAGGTTTCCTAAGGCAGCCTCCAATGACAGAATCAGTTTGTCGTTGTTCTTAATTGTGGATTGTTTGGTGGTGTGTTCCGAAACTTGTTCAAGAGCCCACTGACCCAGCTTTTGCAGCTCCTTGCGCTTTGAGCTCACTGCTCTGGAGTTGGCCAAATAGTTGCAGCACAAGTAAATGCCATATAGAGCCCGCAAGTTGTGGGGGTTCAGCTTCAAGGCTTGGGAGTAGTAAGTGCGAGCTGTTTCCACATTCTCGACGCCACCCTAAAAAAAAAATTTTATTAGAAGGACTATTCTAAAAAATAAGGAGTATCTATGCGTCACCATTGTGTAGCGTATTTCCGCCAGCCGCTGATGTATCAAATGGCTATGGGGATTATGCAGCAGAACCTCCTCCATGCAGAAAGCCGCCTTGCCGAACTCGCCCTCAGCCAGATACATGGAGCACAGCTCGTGCCAAGCCTCCTGGTCAGACATAAACCTGTGAAAATTAAAAAATATATATATTTTGATGAATTTGTGTGCAAGAATACTGAGAAAACCGTGCAAGCTTTATTCACAGAATACTCAAAAAACCCGAAAGATGAGCCTATCGCATGAATGACTAAAAGTGTATGGGATTGTCTTTTCTTTTATGGTATATATTCCACATTTTAATTTTTGAGTTCCCTAAATGTAGTTAGATAAAGTTTAATGTGAAAATATAGTACACATATTAAATTAATGAAAAATTATTATTAAATTAATTAATTAAATTATGAAAAATTAATGAAAAAAAAAACAATGGAGGGGAAATTAAAAACTAGGCGCTCATTTTTAAAACCCCACACTTTTATAAGCCAAATTGGCCATCCTATAATCTTGTTTCTTATAAGGTCTGCCTTTTAAGGTCTTTTTTTTAACTTCGTGGTGTGCAAAAGAGGGCTTAAACCGAAAAACTTAATTAATTAAACTGATCAAATAAAAAAATATTAAAAACAATATTGCTCGCTTCTTTTAAAAGGTATAAATTAGTAAATCCAATGCTTTGGGTTGTATCAAAGGTCCCCTTCGAATAAACTAAGAACCTACTTCTTCAGATATTCGTTGAGCTCCTTGATTGCATCTAAGCGACGGCCGCGTGCCTTTAGGATAGCAATCTTGCGCTTCCTGGGCGCGGCATTGGTCTCGTCCTTGGCGATGATGACGTCCAGTACCTCATCGGCTTCGTCATATTGCTCCAAAGCCTCGTATCGCATCGCCTTGAACTTCATTACACGCAGGCTGCCCGGGAACTCCAGGGCCAGCTGCTTGGTGCACTGGGTGGCGATGTCGAAGCGGGCGGTGTCCAAAGCCGCGATGATCACTTGTTCCAGAATGAGATGGCGCTCGTTGCCGGTCTTGTGAACCTTGTCCTCCAGAACAGCCACCCACAGCTGCACCACCTCCTCACTGTGGCGGCCCGTCTCCTCGCGCCACTTCCTGAACTGATCCCGCACATCTGTAAGGGCCCAAGGATTAGGACTCGGCACTTTTCATTCATGCCCCCATTCTCGGTCCATGAAAACTTGGGACACATGACAAATGGAACCACTGACGTGGGCGCCCGCATGGAGCCGCGAAAAGCGGAAAACTCACCCGACCAGCTCATCTCCTCGTAGTTCAGCGACATGCTCAATCAGTCGGTTTTGAATATCACCTCAATTTGACTTAATTTTTCAATTACGATCTATAACTAGCGATTTCCTTCCTGGCACAAAATGATAATAGCTAAAAAAGTGTGGCAGCGGAATGGGCCGTTAAAAAATACCTAATTTCAGCGTAACGGGGCTGCCAGCCTAGCCCTATATCGAAGAGGTGTTGATGGTATCGAAATTTTAGGTCACAGTGTGACTACCTTATATGCTAATAAATCCACAATTTTACGTATTACTGGCGCGCTTTTCAAAGTTTGGGTTTACAAGTGTTCCGCAAGTAATGAAGTCATTATTATTAAGATTAACTTATTATTCCCTGTAGACTTTCAAGCCATAAGTTCAAAAAAGATATAAATTTACCTGTTTTAACTTCTTTCATTCACGGTAGAAAACTAATTATCTTTCTAGTCGAGAAATATTTGTAATTTCCCAATGTTTCATCATAGAGGAAACATGGCTTTCGTCTTGAGCGCATTTTCCAGCAAACCTACTATTTGAGGTCAGTTTCAAGGTCAGTAAATAACTTTCCGTTTGTTTTCACCATTAAAATTTAACTTTTTACATGCAAAAAACTCTGAGGCAGGTGAAAATTTACAAAAGCGCGCCACGAACACCTGAAGCTGGCAATTTTCAAGTATCAAGCAACAGTCACACTGTGACTCAAAATTTCGATACCGTCAACACAAAAACTCTCGGCTGTTCGTATAGAATTGTGAGCCGAGGGCTAGGGCGGCAAATTGCTGGATTCCGAGCGTCAGACGATTTGGGGCATCCAAGAGCACCGGAAGAAATCTAGAAATGGGTCCGCCGAAGCAGATAAAACGAGCCTTCCTGGGCTTCGACTTGAGCACGCAAAAGGTGAGAACTGGAACTGCCCACGTTGTGTTTTTGTGCCTGAGATGCGGAGGCGTCTACAAACTAACTCCATCTCATCCGGCTTCGTGGGAATGGTGTTACTGGAAAAGGTCAAACGGAACTCGGGAACCTGTTTGCCCCTGAACACGAAACTATTCTTATCAGTGACAGCGACCCGGGCTCTATTCTCGCTTATCTGCCAAAGCCCCGAACACCAACCGTTTAACTATTATGGGTTGATTATTAAAATTCATGTTCGGATGTATTGGCCAAAGGCATTATCTTAATAATGCCGCAATAACTTTCACAATTCCTGAATGACGCCAGCGGTGACTCCTAGTTGCCCTCTGTTCGGGTTTGATCGTTACTTTCAAGGTGTGTCTCTGCTTCCGTATCTCTAATTGCTGCCCCTTTTCTCCTCCTAGCTCAAAGCGGTCCTGCTGAATTGCAAAATGGAGGTCATTGCCGCTGCGGAAGTGAAATTCGACACCGACCTCCCGGAGTTTCGGACCACGGGCGGAGCCAACAGCGGAACCGAAAAAAATGAGTGAGTCTGGGATTAAATTGGGTCCTTATAATAGACCAAATATTTTGACATTTTTACACCCTTGCAGAGGGTTGATCAGAAGTTTATAACTCAGTTATAGAGACATCTCCGACACCATAAAGCGTATATATTCCTTATCAGGATCACTAGGCGAGTTGATATGTCCATCTTATTCTATACCGAATGCGAGCTCAGTTTAAAAGCTAGCTAAATCGTTTTATTTCTGTTTGAAATGGCGCTGAACTGACATCTATATCCGTCTTTATCTATATATATATATATAAAAAATCGGCTGTTTTTAAAATTTTTGGGTTTCTTTTGTCTAATTTTGAATTTTTATCAAAGTCCGATTGCTAAATACTATGGATAATATATGTTTCTCTGCCGTATGGTTAAATGCAGTTTTTTTCGCAGTGTAAAATCTATCATAAAAGTAGTTTATTTTTTGAGTGTACTCTGATCATTTTAAAAGATCTTGCCGAACAGACGACTAATCCTCTAGCTTTTATTGGAACCATCGAATAGAATTTGGTTGTATTTAAAAATTATGCGTATGTCAATTTTAAATAAGACTGCGGAAAGCTTAAGTAATCTTCCTTTCTCGTTTATTATCTGTAGATTATAAACAGTTGTCCAAATCTTTAAGGCTTTTTAAAGTCCTTGCTGTACAGAAGTTATTAAGTAAGATAGTGAATATTAGATTTTCGTTATCACTCTGTAAAATATATTTTTATCAAAGTTAAACAAAAGAAGAAATGAAGCAAACTTCGGAAAGCCGAAGTTTATATACCCTAGCAGTTATTACAAAACGACTACATTTCGATGTCTATGCCTATATTACTAAAATCAATGAAGCTACATATTTTGATTTTGCGTTGCATTTTTCCATAGTTTCTATGGCAGCAAAAACTAAAAGCGTAATTCTGATATAGTAAATAATTACTATATCTCCAAGGAATATTTTTATAAGTAGAAAAACAGCAAAATACATTTTTTTTATTTTCTTATTGGAGCTCATATAGCTGTCCGATCTTAATTTAATAAAAAAACGGTAATTCCATTGTACTTAAATATTACCAAATCAAAAACAACAAAGATATACTTTTTTAACTTTTTTATTCCGATTATTCCTATGTGATATGCTTGTAATAGAAAGACAACTTTTATGAAAGTTTCAAACAGATTAAAACTGAGGGATTAGTTTGCGAAGAAACGGACATGGCTAGATCGGCACTCCTGGGGATGCTGATCAAGAATTTATATATGTACTTTATAGAGAGGCAAACTTTTGACTGAAATTATAATACCCTCTGCAAGTGAAAGAGCCAACTAAAGTATTTACTACTAAATAGTTAATTTCAAATAAAAATATTATCCAATCCCAAGAACTTTAAATACATACATATGAATATTAACTTAATTCGATATAATCTTTTCTACCAGATACTTTGTACAACCCGTGATGTGGGTGAAGGCCATGGACATTGTGCTGGACCGCCTAGTGATGCAGCAAGCTGATCTTAGTACAGTGGTGGCCATCAGTGGCTCCGGACAGCAGCATGGTTCGGTGTACTGGTCCAAGCACGGCCTCAAGACACTGCAAAGCCTTAATTCTGACAAGTTCCTTCACGCACAAATCGATGACTCAGCCTTTGTAGTCAACCGTACTCCTATTTGGATGGACGCCACCACCACAAAGCAGTGCCTAGAGATGGAAATGGCCGTGGGCGGCAAACTTAAAATGGCAGAACTAACCGGCTCCAAATGCTACGAACGGTTCACGGGCCCCCAGATTAGAAAGATTTATCAGAAGCGCTGCCACGCCTACGACGAGGCCAAACGAATCTCATTGGTCAGCAGTTTCATATCGTCGCTTTTTCTAGGCTCTATTTGTCCCATCGACTTTAGTGACGGCTCCGGTATGAATTTGTTAGACATTCGAAAGAAGGTTTGGTCCCAAGAATGCCTTAATGTCTGTGCACCCGATCTGGACGAGCGTCTGGGTCCTCCGATCAGTCCGAATACCGTTGTAGGCAACGTCTGCAAGTTCTTCGTTAAGCGATTTAGTTTTTCGCCTGATTGCAAAGTGGTCGCCAGCACGGGGGACAATCCTTCGGCGCTGTCTGGAATGCTTGTGAACGAAAAATGGCTGACCATTTCTCTGGGCACAAGTGACACCCTAATGATGAGCTTGAAGGAGCCACTCAACTGGGAGGAGGGTCATGTTCTGTGTCATCCAACGATAACGGATCAGTATATGACACTGCTATGGTACGGATTGACGGGATATAAAGGAAATAAATAGCTAAGTCATATTTTCTTCTTTAGTTTTAAAAATGCTTCATTGGTCCGTGAAGGAATCAACAAGTCGATGTCTGGCGGCAATTGGGATAAATTCAATGAGTATCTCGACTCCACGCCACGTGGAAACTTCGGAAACATGGCCGTGCACTTTAATGATATGGAAATCATTCCCAAGGCACAGGGGGTTCTGCGGTGGAACAAGGATATCAAACCCCAGTCACCTGAGGCAGCCAAGGGTGTTACCAAGTAAGCCCGACTGTATTGTTTTTTTATGGAAACCAATAACTCAGCAGTTGTTAAAATTATGAGAGAGTAGTCATTACCGATGCCAAAGATAAAAAAACCTTTAAATTGTAATTTTTAGAGGTTTTTTTGTCCTAGATGTATTATTTACAATGACTTTTTACGTTCAAGGCCCATAGATGGATTTTTGATATACCAAAACAAAAAAGATTTAGATTATTTTCTAGTTTAAAACCATTTAATGGGTATTATAAAACTCTTTGGGATAATTACTGATTCTTTACCTTTTTTCCCAACAGATTCAGCTCGGCTCAAATAGAAATTCGCGCTCTAGTTGAAGGGCAGATGCTACATCACCGGGCTGTTGCCGAAGACCTTGGCTACCGCTTTGGGCACGAAACCCATATTCTTGTCACGGGAGGGGCATCTGTTAACAAATCTATCCTGCAGACTACCGCGGATGTGTTCAATTCACCTGTTTATACTCAGGTGGGTCCTTGTTTTCCTCTGTCAAAAAATACAATTTAATCCAAATTTGTTTTCAGGATGAAGGACATGAAGCTGCCTTAATGGGCGCCGCTTACCGAGCCGCCTATGCTCTTTACCTTGAGGAGCTGGGTAAACAGGAAACGCCCCTGCGTTACCGAGATTACATTCTTAGCCTGACGACCAATAAGCTGAACCTTGTCTGTGAACCACACAAGGACAGCCAGGAAATCTACGCTCCGATGCTACTTCGATATCGCGAAATGGCTCGCATATTGGCCAATCCAAATGAATAGACTTACCGTAAACCCAACGCAACATTCCGTTTTATACTCCGAGCATTCCCCGAATTACTCTCCTTTTTAAAAGTCACCTGAAATTGATAAAACTAAAGTGCAATTAACAAATTCTGTGATTGACAATTTATTACAAATTTTTGCGAAACCATATACAAATAAATTTCTATATATGGAGCAACTCTAGTTGTGTCTGACGGTACTTTAATCTTAGAACCTTCTACTTTTTGCGACCGCCTCGCTCCTTGACTTGTAAATGCACCGTGGTTCCATTGACCAGATTGTAAAAAGCCATGGTATTGCTGTCTTTGAAGAACATTCCCTGAATAGATCGAGGTATTGTAATTAAATTTCTTGATGTTAGTATTGTTTTTTACCTCATAGAAGATCTTCTGCTTGGCCGGCGGCATGCCAGTTTCATCCTGTAGCTTTGTCTTGAGGTTGGTAATCGGCTCAGAAAGTGCCATGGTTACGGCAATCATTTGGCCATTTAGCTTCCACTCGGATTTGTCAGAATTGGGTACTAGGACCTGAATTGTAACAGGGCTCTGAAAGTGACAAAATGTGTTTATATAAATGGTTTAATTTTCACATTTGAATTTGATTTCAAGTCCAAACTTACCTTGTGAGAGGCAATAAACTCGGCCTCTGGAATTAGATTATCCTCGGTACGGATCTTCTTGGAGGGCGGCTCATCCTCCATTGACATTAAATCAACAGGGGGAGCAGGTGCAATCTGCGGGGGCCCTCCACCGGGCTGCATGTTCATGTAGCCTCCGGCACCTGCTCCAAACGGCGGTTCTGCAAAATATAAGTGATAAGCTCTTGGAGCAGATCGATATTGTTAATTTACTTACGCATCATGGGTGGGCGCAGTTGCATCAGCTGCATCACCGGCTGTGGCTGCTGCGGCGGATGGTGGTGGTGCGACTGGTGGGGCGGCGCCTGCTGATGCGGCGGATGGTGGTGGTGCATATTGTGGTGACCGTGATGACCACCTCCACCGCCACCTTGGTGGTGCTGATTCTGGCTAGAGTGACTGTGTTGCGACTTGGTTGACGGCTGCGGCGGGGCTGATAGCGTGGCCTTGTTGCCCACCGGCTTGGGCCCGATCTTCTCCTTCTCCTCGTCCGGCAGTAGCCCCTTGACCTTGTGGATCTGATGGATTTGTTCCTCCAGCGTAATATTTGCTCGGGCTGCCCGCGTGGCTGCCTCCACACTGGACGTGTGTCCGTCCCAGGTGACGCGATCGTCTTTCTTGGTCTCCTCCTCACCCAGCTTCTTGCCGATGACCGTCTCCTCATCGCCCACACCGAAGATATCTGTACGGCGCTCAGCCAGTTGCTTGAGACTCGCCTCGATGGCTGTGCCCGCAGCGAACACATTGTCCTGATTGATTTTCTCCACTGTGTGCTTGTCTCGCTGCTCCACCCAACGCGGGTCCAGCAGACCGATGCGCATGTGCTCCGATACCTTGGAGGCTGGGATCTTCTCTCCCGTAATCGGAGAGATGAGATATTCATCCGTGGGCATGGGTGCCGGCTTTGGTTGCGTTGCCTTGGGATCATACTTCTTGACCAACACCTTATCATGTGTAGGCGGCAGCATGGGCGCTACTGCAGGTTGCAGCTTGGTCGTGGGAGTGTCCTCGTCGCTGGAGGCCTCGTCCATGTCCTGTACCTGGGTGTTGTCCCTCTTGGCCCCCGTTGGCTGGCTGTAGGATGAGACGTTCTTCATCTGAATGCCGACGCGGTTCTCCATCTGCGAAAGCTTCAGTCCGCTGTCCAGGTGGCTGGTCACATGGGAGTCGCCCTCGTCGTCCGATTCGATCTGCATCTCTGTGTCGCCCTCCTCGTCCATTAGGCGTTCCTCCATGAGTACACGCGCACCCACTTCGTCCGGGTTCGTGGGCGGCGGAAAGTTGCCTGATTCAAATGGCTGATAGTCCACCGTCTCTACCACTACAAAGTCATGCCAGTCAATCTGGGCATAGGCCACGCGTTCTCGCTCGATCTTTTCCTCTTCACGCCGACGCTGTGCTTCCTGGTGGCGCTGCCAATTAGCCCGGTACTTGACGTGGTCCAACACCTGGTTCATGCTGCCCCTACCCGGAGCACTTTCTGCGCGCAGCTTGCCTAACAGATCCTTGGGCGGTATCAGCACCTTGGTGTACTGCTCCAGGAGTTTGGTGAAGTACTGGAAGAGTGAGTGCTGGGGACGCAGGAAGTCGAACTGGAAGTTGCGCTGTTCCCGACTCATCAGATTGGTGAGGAACTGGCGGCCATTACGAGCCACAAACTGAGCTGTAAGTTTCACAATGTCCCTGTATGAAAAGTGTAATGCATTAGTTGGCTACCGAGTTGGCTTAATGGGATTCTTACAAATCCAAAGCCGAAATGGAAGGCGGATCGGCGATGAACTCAAACTCTGGCGGCGGCTCCTTGGGCACAAACTGTTGCTCCACAACCTGCTTCAAGAGCTCCTGCTGACGCTGCTGAGCAGCACTGGTCACGGCCAGTTGCTTCATGCCCGCAATGGCAGAGTTTCCGGCATCTGAAAAACACAAATTACATAAAACAGAGGTTCATGACGGGTTACAATCCAAACTTGCCATTGCCCTCGCGGAACTCGTTGACCTTGTGCCTGTAGTAGGCGTGGTAGGGATCGCCACCGTTTAAGAAATTAAACTTCGGATTGCCCAGCTCATTTTGCCGGATCCGGGCCTCGAACTCCGGCCCATTACGAGCCACAAAACTGGCGGTCTTGTCAACGATATCTATTTGTTAAAGCATTGCTACTGAGTACACGGAAAACTGTATTAAATTAACATTTGCTAGGAAAAGTAAAGAAATATTTTGTTTTTTATTTGCAAAGGATGCTTCTGACTTCCGGCGGCGGGTAGATAATCCCGATGATAGGACCCGACATCGACTTGGGCTGATCATTGCTGAACTGCTCATCGGCGGCTTCCGCATCTAAAGCTGGCATGGCTGCTGAAATCGTCCTCTTTTATTGATAAACTTGGAACAACTTTACGGGAAACGAAAAAACGCTTGTTTAGATGAAAATATGGTTTTAAGTGTGACCGTATCTTGTCTTCAATGGAATCCACGAAATAGCTCCTAAAATAATACTGCAAAAATACTTTTTGTATTTTAGTAAAATACTATTATTAGTAAATGGTTCTCAGAAAGCTTGATCCAATTTTTAATCTATTGGAAACATAAAATTTGATGACCGACAACGGATTTCCTACATTAAAGATTTTATCATTTTATATCTGAATTTAAAAACATCATTGCAAAAATATATATATATATAATATTACATCTTTGTTTTGTTTTTAGTATCTAATTAAGCTTTTTAATAGCCAAATAACAAATAAAGTTATTAATAAACTACAATAAGTTCCGATTTAGTGCTTGGTACTAACTAAGCAAACTAGTTCCAAATTGGACCTAGAAAGGCACTGTTTAAAGTTATCGATTAATTGCCGGTCAGTTTAAATTATTTGTACACATAAGCATTCCAAATTTCTTATAAAAGCTTTAAACTTTTCATTATTTATTTTTCTCAGGAGTAAGATAAAATTTAAAGGCGTGGGCACAAATGAATCGCTCAGGTGCGGTCATGATTTGCATATTACGTTTGTGTTGCACGGCTTTGTAGGCGATGCACACACAAACGGCTTGATTCACGAAGCCAAAACAAAAATAACATTTGTTTACGTTTACTTGATTTTTTCATCCGATGAGAGAGCACGCTCCTAAGCCAGACGATGAGCTCCATTGTGCGTGATAACGATCCGACTCATTCCCATCGGCTCGATTCTGTTGAGATTTGACCCAAGCTCAGTTTTCTACGATTCGCCGAGCCGTCGGCACGGTTTAATTTGTCGGAATACGCTGACTTAATCCGATAGAGTCGCAGTTTGGATCACTTCCTTATCAAAAGCTAACGACGTGACTTAAATTCCATTGACGTATGGGAATTTTGTGAATCACAACCAACCGTGCCTGAAAAATCCGTGTTCTAGAACAAAGAACGCTGCAATGGGTGCAAGTGGAATCAAGTACATCTGCCTGCTGGCTCTCATAATAGGAGCATCATTATTGACAATAGGCGATGCAAAGTGTAAGTGTGATAACAAAGTTCCCCTTGCATTCACAAATTTAAGTTACATTTTTAGCCCGAACATTTAGTTTGCTAAAGTTATAAAGATAGTAATTGAATAGACAAAAGTACGGTGAATATAATTTAATTATCGCATTATCATTTATCATACAGCGCAAGCTATCTCGTGTTTATGCTAATTTCAGACGAGAGGATATAAATAGCAAGCTTAAAAATATAGTAAGATATTCGGTTTATAAGCTGGTCCAACCAATTAGGTCGACCAGATTAATAAAAGTGTCAATATTTTAAAGTTCATATTTCAAAGACTTTCGAAAAGCGGAGGATAGCCTCACTTTCAAAACTAATTATAATTTTATCGGTAGTAAATAAAAATAAAACCGCCGGTATCATCTATTTTATCATCCTGCTGTAAAAATGTACTTTCCCTCTTTTTGCCGGTGCAAAATGATCGATGGTCAAAGCTCACGCGTTATATAATCGGGAATGACTACTAGTGTTTTTTCTAAGCACTAATTGAAGTAAACATTTAAAAAATACGTATATTTATTGACAAAGATTCCAATAAAAAATATTGACTCTTTAATAAAAACATGCATGTGTTTCTTATCTCTAAATAAGGAAAACCCCAATGTGGTACACAAATGCGATCCAAATAGATTTTTATAAACGTGGAAGCAAATCAATGTTTGTTTACCAAGTTAAATGCAAAATGCATTTTTAATATGGTTTTAATGCTGATTAGCATATTTGAACCTGTTATTCCTTTTAAGAGGGGATGCATACATTCTCTAATGATCAGGCCATTTCAATAACAATTCGCACAAAATCTTCTCTAATTGTTTGATCATGACCCAAGTAAAATAGTGTTCTTAAATTGTCTCAATTAAATTGTTGACAGCGTTTAATTTGTGGAATATTTCACAGCACAATTGAATTAGAAGAGCATGAGTGAATTCTTTCTAGAAAAAGTTCAAATAATTTAAATCGGCGTCAAACAATTTAGTTCCCACGAATGATATTAACAAATTTAAGCTTTTGTTTAAGAATGTTTAAAGATTAAATTATTTACCAATATTTTATTTTACCATACATTTTTTATAAATTAAATTTTTAATTTTTAGCAAGACAGGATGTTGTTGCAAAGTTAAACGGGATTCCTGCGGCGAAGTGGTTGCAGTTAGTCAACTCAGCTATCGACTCAGTGACAAGACAAAAGCGGTTTGTAAATCTATAATTATTTATATAAAAACGATTTTAATTTAATGATTCGCACTAATTAATTTATAAGTGACACTCTCCTTTGAATATACAAGAAAATATAAAATACACAAAGAAAATAATTTAAATTAGCTTTTTAATAAATAACTTTAATTTTTATTATGTTTCATGGATTGGTTTCAGTGTTTATTGACTCACTTGGAATACCATGACTGTGAAATCTATAATTTTCTTTTAAGGCACATTTTTACTGACAACATTATTTTGAAATTTGTAGCCTGGAGGAAAATCTGCTGAATTCCGACATCACTGTTAAAAACGGCAGCCTTTCCCACGTCCAACTTCTGGATACATTGCCGAACCTAGCCTCTAAACAGGACAGTGAACTCGCTCTGAAGATCCTGAAGTCCAGTCTGTACGTTTTCAATAGTGAGTGCTTGCCCAATGAAATCGACGGAGATGAGTGTCGCAGTTACCTGGAGCAAAAACCACTTCCCGAGGGCAGTAGTCTGCGAACCGAGTGCGAGAACTTGCTCAAGGGAAACCGGGAGGGTCATCACGCCTTTAGGAGGCTACTAGTGAGCAGCCACTACAAGAATGGATTCTATGATGTATGTATTGCCTACAAAGAGCCTGGAAAGGATTTCTAATTGAAGCGTGATCTCTTCAGATGTTCCCCAACACAGGTAGACTTAATACCGTGCCGGCAGCTTGGTCCATTAGTAAGGGCCTATACGAGCCCGATAGCATTCAAACGGCCAAGCAAATAAGGTTCGAGAACAACCCGAATTTGGTACTGGCACAATGGGCTCAGTTTGTGGAGCACGATCTTAGCAAGCCCGTATCACAATCGATGAGTAAGTTCGTTACAGAATTTTTTGTTTTTGTTTTCAGACGAATTTTGATAAAGCATATAAAATAACATAACTTTGTGTATACTTATCAAAAAGAAATGGACTTTAAAAAAATGGACCTAGAAATTCAAAATATAATTATACCCTTGCAGAGGGTATTATAATTTTGGTCAAAAGTGTGCAACGCAGTGAAGGAGACGTCTCCGACCCTATAAAGTATATATATTCTTGATCAGGATCACCTCCTGAGTTGATATAGCCATGTCCGTCTGTCCGTCTGTCCGTCTGTCCGTCTGTCCGTCTGTCCGTCTGTCTGTCCGTCTGTCTGTTTCTACGCAAACTAGTCTCTCAGTTTTAAAGCTATCGAATTGAAACTTTGCACACACCCTTCTTTCCTTTGCACGCAGTATATAAGTCGGAACGGCCGGGATCGGCCGACTATATCCTATAGCTGCCATATAACTGATTGATCGGAAATGCCATAACTTTCGTGTTTGTAAAGTTAGGAAGTTGAGATTTTCTATGAGTTTTATATTTGGCCAATCAATCCGACTCACCAAATTTCATAAGGATCGGCCGACTATATCCTATAGCTGCCATATAACTGATTGATCGGAAATGCCATAACTTTCGTGTTTGTAAAGTTAGGAAGTTGAGATTTTCTATGGGTTTTATATTTGGCCAATCAATCCGACTCACCAAATTTCATAAGGATCGGCCGATTATATCCTATAGCTGCCATATAACTGATTGATCGGAAATGCCATAACTTTCGTGTTTGTAAAGTTAGGAAGTTGAGATTTTCTGTGGGTTTTATATTTGGCCAATCAATCCGACCTACCAAATTTCATAAGGATCGGCCGACTATATCCTATAGCTGCCATATAACTGATTGATCGGAAATGCCATAACTTTCGTGTTTGTAAAGTTAGGAAGTTGGGATTTTTTATGAGTATTAAGAATGCATTATATGAATAATTTTGGAGAATATAATTTACAGAGTATTCTGCAAGGGTATATCAACTTCGGCTCCGCCCGAAGTTAGCTTTCCTTTCTTGTTTTTTATAATTTTTGTACTTTAATAATTAGCAAATGATACATTTTTTTTAATTTGTTTAAAATATGTCAATTCTTTGGCTTTTGAACATATTGTTCTAAGCAATTTTTTGTGGAGTTAAATAAGAAAATTTAGATTACCTTAAGGGGGACCCTGCTTTAGAGGCTTCAAAAAATCGATTTTTTTGCATAAATGTCTGAACTATCCAAGTGTCCATGTGTCCCTAAAATTAAGTTACAGGAGAAATAGTGAGCAAGCGTTACGATTTTTATATAGGAAAACTTTGACGTGCGATTTCTCGGTTTTTCATTTTTACGATTTCTTCTAACCGGCGGGAAAGATTGTGCAAACATTAAACGTCCTATCGAAACGAGACAACATTTATTGGAAACGGGACTAAATTCTCTTCTAGTTGAACCTTAAAATAGTTATGATTAACCCACTTTTTCAACAATCTAATGTAATTTTTTTTTTCAAATTAAAAAAAAAATCATTAATTTCGTTGAATTGTAAAATTTTTGTTACTAAAATAATTTAATTGATTTTTCCGTTCCCAGGCAGTGGAGCTCCGATCGAGTGTTGCAGCCGTGACCAAATCAACCTTCAGCCCCGGCATCACCACCCGGCCTGTGCTCCTATTATTTGCCAGCCCAGTGAGAAATACGAAGTGCCAAGCTGTCTTAACTATGTGAGAAGTGCTCTGGCCGTGGCCGATTGCAATTTCGGTGGCGCCGAGCAGGTGAGAAGAATTCACTAGTAATAGACCATGTGAATAGCACTGACTTGCCACATATTTTTTATAGCTCAATCAGGCCACGGCATCCTTGGACCTATCGCAACTCTACGGCCTCACCTCGGCGGCAGAGAAAAAGTTGAGGGCCTCGGAGGGTGGTCTATTAAAGTCAACACCACGAGGAGAGAACGACAATGCCCTGCTGCCCATTGCCAGCGACACGGAAGGACCCTCCTTCTGCGCCAGGGAAATCATTGGAGATGGCACCTGCTTTGCGGCTGGTGACTCGCGGGTCAACAGCAATCCCTTCTCGATACTGATCTACACGATCTTCATGCGCAACCACAACCGGCTGGCAACCGAACTCCATCTGAGGAATCGGCGGTGGAGCGACGAAAGGCTCTTCCAGGCAGCCAAGGCGATCAATGTGGACATCTATCGGCGAGTGGTGATCGACGAGTGGCTGCCGGCGGTGCTCGGCGAACGCTTGGCCGCTGAGGTTAAGACAACCCGATATCCAAGTGCCCTAGAGGTCTCCAATGAGTTTGCGGTGGCCGCCATTCGATTCTACTTCTCGATGCTGCCCAATGAGCTTCAAAATCTGTCCAAGGATAACATTGTCCATGGAACTGAAAAGTAAGTGGACTCACCTAATATACTATTTATTATCTTTACATATTCCCGGAAGAAACCTTTAAAAAACAAAGCAGTTGAATGCTTTTTCTACTTGTTTAACAAAAATTAAATTAAAAATTGACAAAATCTGCTTTCAACCAGTATTCTATTAAAATTCACTTAGAATTTGGATAGTATTTATTAATAAAAGCTGCTTCCACCAATTTTACTTACAAATTATTTAAAAGATTGTATTCCGAAGAACTTGTCTAAAAAATAAAAACATGAGATGTAGGCAACCTTATAATCCAAACAAATCCTGCTTAAAAATTGATTGTCACCCAAATACTTAATTTATTGTTTAATTACATATTAATTCCCTACAGGAACAACGAATATATATTAATTAACAAGAACCTGCCGTCGACAAGCCTATTTGAGCTCAAAGAAGAAATCTACAAGCCACAGCTCGAGTACACATCCAAAAAGCTAAACGATATCCTCGAGAGTTTACTCAATCAGGAGTCCATGAAAATGGATGCAGCCTACTCTGGTGGTGTAAGTCTTTCGACTTTCGGTATCTTGGTCCAGAAAGAATCAATTTTCCCTTGCAGATCGTTTGGCACAAGGACACCAAGCCCACCCATGCTGATATCCTGGCCTTCGACATCCAAAGGGGCAGAGACCACGGCCTGCTCCCGTATCATCGCTATTTGGAGTCATGCAGCCTTTCCAGACCCGTGAATAGCTGGAAGGACTTTGAGCAGTTTATTCCCAAAGATGTAAGTTTTTAAATTAATGACTTTCAAAATGAATTTGAATTTCAATTCCCCAGTTCTTTTTTCAAAAAGGTGTTGGATAAGTTGAAAACTATATACAACAGTTGGTCTGATGTGGATCTAATTGTGGGTGGAATTTCGGAGATGCCTGTTCACGGATCTGTTGGCCCCACCTTCAGTTGCATAATCTGTACGTCTTTTCTTAAACAAATATTAGAACCGTCATTTAAATAATTTCTATATCAGCTGAGCAATTCGTGCATGTACTTAAACAACACGTGCAAAAGGCGGACCACAAATACGCTCAATTGGTGGAGCAATATCGGCATTTGAATGGAACCAAGCTCCTGTGTCTGAGCTCCGGCCTCTTGGCGGTTCCCCAGAATATCTTCCAGTTGCCATCGGCCAGGTTAGTATAGATATTCAAACAAAATAGATTACCTGTCACCTGCTCTTCGGTTGACTCACAGCAGTCTGTGCCCAATTTGATTCCCATTTGATTTTAGACTGAGTACCGATGTGATAAGCTCGGCAACGGCACTTATCTACAACAGTAATGATTGTGTGTTTTTGTGTTTCTTTACAGTAATCGACTGGTGTCTTGTGAAGATGTCTAGAGGGTGATACTACTCCCTTCCTCAGCCTTTGCAAACCAATTTTAGATTAAGCTGCGAAGCCAAAAAAAAATTGTAAAAGACAAAGCTTAATAAAATACCTCAATATTCTGATTCGTATGGCTATTTGGGATGTTAAGGATACATTCTGTATAAATAAACATGGGGCTGCAGATCGATTGTTTTTCACTTTTAATAACTCTCAACTCAGAAGCGTTGAAGTCACGCAATATTACTACAATCAAAGTTGTTACAGAAAGTGTTGCGGCATTCGTCATACGAGTATTGCCATTTTCAACAATTTCCATTTTTAATGGGGGTCGCTTTTTTCTGTTATTACGTGAATTAGTTTGCAAACATCAATAAAAGGCAAGAATGTCACAATTAGCAGCAATAAAAGTTATTGCCCAATAAACGAATAAAGCTTATTCCCCAGGCCTTTTGAAAGATTGTTTTAAAGCATGAAATTTATCATAACTGGCTTTTTATATACGTATGATTCATATGCAAATGAATTTTTCGAAGATAACAGTATAATAACGATACGTTAGATCTTTTAAAAATATTTACTGTAATTTAAATATATCAATTATTTCGATAAGCATTCGGATGATATTGTCATACGACTTTTGCCAGCGGATACGCACTGATTTATTGATGGAGTACTTTAAATAATGAGTGATTCAAATTAAAAACTGAAAGATAATTTGGAAATCTGTAGAAAGTCAAAAGACTGTAGAACTCCAATTTCATTTGGTACGTGGTTATAGTACAGTTTTGTTTTATATTTTCTAAGCATCTCCTCCAAAAGTATATTTTTTAGAAATCTAAACTATATAATATTTTTTTTTCAACCTTGTCAAAAACTCCAAGCATGCCATTGCTTAAAGAAAACCTCTACAGCTTTAAAATAAAAATCTAGATAAACATTTGGGATGTATAAAGAGTGATTCATATAAAAATTTATTTTTAAATATTATTGAAGCCCTTTGTTGTTGATTAGCTCGACTGTTAGATATAGGGGAGGTAGATATAGGGAGGCTTAACACTTGGGGATTACCTTGACATTCGGCAAAAATATGCGAGAAATGTTGTGCGGAAATTCCTGGTACACCTGTTTGTCGATTATTGGGAGTATTTGTTGGTCGTCCCCGCTGACCATTTGAGGGTCTAATATCAAAAACCAAGGCAGCCCCATCAGATTCTTTCTATAAGGAATAGTTTATTTGTTTCTGTTGTTTCTGAGCCGCGAGATAAGATTGCCAAAAGTGCCAATGAGTATGGAGCGATACGATGCACAATCGCGGCACAGATAAGGCACACTTTTGCTTTTGCGATAGCGCACCGCTGAAACAATTTCAGGCAATCAATTAATGAGCAGGGGAAGCCAGCTGATATCGCCAATTCCCTTTGGGCCAGCTAACGTCAGTTAGTTGGAGTTGGAATTCGATTCGCAGCGGGTCGAGAGTGCGAGTTCGGGCCGAAGAAAGAGCAAATAAATAAATAAAGAGCACAGTGGGCAGTATAAGGTAACCCATCGGTTCATCGAAGCCAGTAAATCAAGATGTCAAAGATATGGCGCAGACATCGGTATCTCGGGATCTGATGTCATGCCAGTGAGAGCAGTAAATAAATCCCCAATCAAAGCATCAACCGTCCGGTGGCGATTGATAATTGACAAAAATCACTGCCTAAAAATACGCGATTAACTCTTATATTCGGGTCTTTATGTAATAAGCTTTCATTAATGATTGCTTCATGTTCCAAGAATTTCCTCGCTTTGTGATAACTGCAAAAGTAAAATAATACCAGCGAGGTGCAAAAGCAGAAAGCAAAGTCAATGGCAAAGTCAGTTCCTAATTGCCTTTATCTAATCGGGCAGGTGGCTACCACACAGGGGAATGGGGTGTTCTCCTATGTACTCATGTACTTCTGCATGTAAAGGTATCTATCTATCTAAATCCCATTGCCCACTCGGAATCAATAGTTTCCCAGAGCGCTTTGATTCCACATCGACGGAATGGTCAAAGCAGGCAATAGGACCTTGAAATACTTCCGACCCATATCGGTTAAATATGGGTAAATATCCTGCAGCAGAGATCGGCGCCTAGATTGTCTACACATGCCAACCATAGTCTGCAGTTTCGGATACAGTACAATAATAAAAGTGCCTTTCAGTAGAAAATTAACATTTGATTGCACATAAATATGTTTTATATTTCAAAATGTACTTGGGTACCCAGAAAAGCAAACTCTTAATTAATAAACGATGATGCTATACACCAAAGCATTGTTTTTGAATTTACAATTATTTTATCAGTCCAAAATCCTTTTAGGTAATAATTGAATTGGAGTTTTTCCCCAATGTTACTGATTCTTGGAATCTAAAAGTGCAAACACTGAAATGGCCTATTGACAATATTCCGTTTACATGCGTTAGTTGTTATCAACAAAAAAGTAAATTTAAGCAAATAAAAAGTGAACCGTAAAGAATTGCGCAGTTCAATTTCTATTTGTGTCTACTTGTATTGAATCGGTGACGACACAACCAACAAATGATATGAATAAATGATAGTCGATAGCAAATACCAGTGATTCTTATTGCCCCTTTTTGGTGTACCTTAGGATGCCACGCAACGGCTACGAGAATGGAGCCCCTGCTGTCGATCAGGCAAATGGGCACTACGACGAGATCAAACCCACCTACGCCCTGGAGCACCTGGCCACTTTCAAGCTGAAGAACGAGGCCGAGACCAGGCTGCCCAAGGAGAAGATGAAGCTGCTGATCGAACTGGACAAAACGGGGGGCATTTGGCCGCACAAGATGTTCATGAGCTTCAACGGTCAGTGGCTGGTGATGCTGGACAGTGAGATGAAGGAGATCGAGAATTTCCCGGGCAGTCTGATCACAGAGCCAACGGCTTTCATCAGCGAGCATCCGCAGGAGGCCTACAACAATATCCTGATCTTCTCGGTGCCGGGAATCTCACTGGGCAACACTGAGATGCACATTTTCCAGGTGAGCATGGGGTATTTACTCTGCCCGGTGTTCTGGAATAATCAAATCTATTAAATTTCTTAGGTGGCCGATGTCAGTTCAGTAAATTTGGTAGAGGATCTGAAGACGGTGAGTTTTATGGATACAAATTTAGCATTCTCTATAATCCAACATCTTGGCTCTTTCAGCTGAGCAAGGGAACCCCTGTAACAGTGGATCGCAACAAGACGCCCATTCTGCTGCCCAAACCGGATAGACCTCAGAATCAGCAGGCCAAGGATCAGTATGGCATAGCTGCTGCAGTGGCCGGAATCGCGGCGGAAAAGAACGCCCAGGACAAGGAGCAGACCGAGAGGGATGTGCAGGTGATCAACCACTGCTTCGAGGACATCGAGAGGTTCATGGCCAGGCTTCATTATGCCGCCGAGGCCCTCAACGAACTGAAGTTGCGCAAGGAGCAGCACAACCCTCACGGCGAGGGACTCCTGGTCCTGAGATCCCGACCACCGATCGAGAGCGAGTTCCACGACATTCTGGCCAAGGTAAAACTGGCGCTGATATACTCCGTCCGGCTGCAGAACCACTTCACCAAGTCCACCGATCCGGTGCACAATGTCTTCATCTCGCTGCAAACCATCGTGACCGTTTGCAATGACATCTACGTGGATGCGGGTCTTCCGGAGTCGGTGGTCAATCCCCTCCTGCGCCGTGAGACGATCGGCTTCCTCAACGGAACCCTCGACTCCAACGAGAAGCAGCTGTGGCAGAGCCTCGGTCCCAACTGGACGCTCCCCAAGGACCAGTTCAAGGATCACAAGAGCTCGTATCATCCGATTTTCTACGACGATTGGTCTCCCGATTGGGTGGTGGATGAGGAGGTGCAGTACCTGGCCCCAGCCCTGAAGAAGTCCACAACGCCATCGCCAGTTCTGGTGCCCGTACCCCCGAGCCCGGGCCTCGGAAATCGCACCTGGTTGAGTCGCCTGGAGAGCCGCAATGTCAAGATCGCCGAGGTGACCTACAACAAGTCCGCCACCAACGACAGGGAACTAAAGGTCACCACGGGAGAGTATTTGGAGGTACGTAATCAATAATAAGCAAAAGGTAACACATTTTAATATTCAATTATATTCAATATTCAATTATGGGATATATCCCATCATTTATAATTCAAATTTCAAGTGCATTCAGAATGTCATCAACATAACTTTAATTGTTTTTAAATCTTTGCGAGTTTGTTTGTATCGATTTTTTCTCCTTTTAAGGTTACTTTTTTCATTCACAACTGCAACTGATTAAACTTGTTCTGACATTTTTAATTTGCTGTTACGTACTTAAAAAATATATTCCAGTTTAAATAACTAAGGGATGCCCATAAGTGTTGAATCACAGAATTCCTTGACGTCAAACCAGAAATAATTAGTAGCTTGGGGAATCACTTAAAATGTTTTCTTTTTATTAGGTACTTTTTTATAAGCCCGTCATAAAGATTTCAGATATCTCGAAGATAACAGACTTATACTTTATAAAACACGTTAGATAGGGCATGACCACAAAGATATACCAATAATAAACGGTGTATAAGCTACATGACTCAAATGTTTAAGTTTGAGCGAATGCTCAAGAGATTTTTAATGAAAACTAGGTTAATAACAGGTTGTAAAATAAACCATGGCTCACTAAACTTAGTTTTTATTTCTGAAAAAAAAAACATGTGCTTACATTAATCTTATCGATTGAGCAATTACGAGAACGCTTAACTATGGTTTATTAACGCTTTCATAACAATGTTATGCCAATATCAAACTTGTTTACTATGGTTATCTTTCGATTCTAAGATTATCGATGACTCCCGCAACTGGTGGAAGGCCCGTAATTCCTACGGAAACATTGGCTACGTGCCACACACCGTGCTCACGCCGTACAACTTTGAGCCCGGAGTAAATGGAAGGGACACGGAGTCCCTGGCATCGATGGCTCTGACAGAGAATGGCGGCGAGGAGGCCAACCCCCCACAGTACCGCAACACAATGGCCATGTATACCGCTCCCGTGGAGCCGGTGGCCAACGGCAAGGCGATGCCGCGTTCCTACTCCATGCCCAATGTGCCCGTTCCACCGCCGATGCCTCCGCCAAGCGACAGCCAGCCGCCCACGCCCAGTGGCACCCTCAAACGAAACATGGCGGCGGCAGGAGCCCTGGCAGGTGGGTCCTTGTTTCCATTTTATGGTATCCTCAAGGGGTCTTTAAGTTTTGCATCCAAGCTAGTTTCACAGTCATTAGTAGTTCTCAATGAATACTAAAACAGAACAGTTATTATTTTGGTTGATTATAAACAGTTCAATTTCCGTGAAAGACCTTTAAAAAAATTATAAAAAAAACTTTTAACTTTCGTTTGAATTTTCAATTAAAAGACGGCTTTTGGGATTTTTCCTAATGTAATTTAATTTGGTAAGAACCTTCTTGATTCTGAGAGTCTGCCGGATTTGAAAATAAGGTTTTGACTAGTTTTTTGTAAGGTGGAACTTTAAGAAACTCAATTTGAAATCTAGGATTTAGTATTTATATAAAAACCCTGTATTTCCACAGCCATGCGAGCTCGTAACGATTGCGATGCCGATGACCAAGCCTACTACATGCAGGACGACGTGAACGACGAGCTGCGTGTTTTGCTGCAGCAGAGGGAGCGACGCAAGGACCTCGAGATCCTGAAGACGCCGGAGATCTTCATCACGCAGAACTCGAAGCCCCGCGAGGTGGAGGAGTGGCTGCGGGGCAAGGGGTTCTCGGACGTGATAATCAAGCGCCTGCACACGCTCACCGGCGAGGAGATATTCGCCCTGTCGCCACACACCATTGAAAGCTACTTTGGCCAGCGGGAGAGTCGCCGCCTCATCTCCCAGATCGTGCTGCAAAAGAACTTCTGCGAGGTGGGTCCCCTGATATACATATAGCGCTCTTAAAGGTCAAATTCATTTACAATTAAATTACCCTTTTCAGTACAAAACCATTCGCTCATCGGAACTGTCTGCCAAATTGGCTCGTGCTCGTCAGAAGGCCGATCAGGCTAATGGCAACCCCAACGAGGTATTCTAAGATTCCCATCGTCCCAATTTGAATAGCTGGAGACCGGAGTCACAACAATGCCCCAGATGCGCTAAGTTTTGCCATTTATTTATTTATGTGTAATATTCCTTCATTTATGTTAAACAGTGTTCATACGTCTACATTAAAAACCCTGACAAAAAGTTCGCCATGATTTTATTTGTACTTTATCTATTTAGTTATTCATGTATAAAATAATATGGGATTCCAAATTTCCTGAAATGAAACGAGAATATCTTTCAAAGCTTTAATTACTATGCATAATTACCTTATTCAATGCTTTGACATGATTAATTAGTCAGGAATTATCATTACAGGAACCTTAAAAAACTGGTTATTGAACTGCTTTATTGCAATGTTTATTGGTTAACCCAGATACCTTTTATGTCTAACTCCATTTTGAACTGCAGACGTCAATCAATCCACTTACATAATACCCGAACTGAGATGGATATACAAAAAACATGATTTTCAATGATATGAAGAAGTACACTGCTCTCTACAGACACCCACTGTTAGACGTAATTTAAGTGCAATAATACCGACAAACCATAAGTGGCAATCTTCATAAATTCTGCATCATAAATGCATCCTAAAAGTCTCATAAGTGGGAGTTCAAAACCGGTAAGGGCGTGACTCGTCATGTGCTTCTTATCGGGTGCATATTGTGGGGAAAACATTTGAAAATGTAAGTCACGCGCCTGCTCACCCAATATTTCGGATCTGTGAAGTCACATGTTTCAAGGCTCCAACCGGTCTCTTGTTCGCCTGTGTAGACATATGTACGTTCACGTGTACTTAGTCGTTAAAACATTAAAAACACAACATTTGTTCGGTACAGATTTGGAATTTAATTTTTCGAGTTTGTCCAGTTAGAGCCAATGTCCAATTGTTTCGCTTTCTGCGGCGGTTTTGCCAATTAGAACGAATTAATTTTGCAATTACGCGCCACGCACAAACAGGTCCACGGGTTATTTGGGTTTAATAGACGGTCAAATCGATTCAATTATATACAAATTTATTGTAACGAACAAACAAAAACCAAACAAGTTATGAGTGATACCTGATTTTTTGTCAACCTTTGTTACGGATAGGACTTTTAATTGATCGGTAATGCATTTGACAGATGCAATTGTGTGTGAATGTAACGTTTCTAATGCTGACTTTTTTCCAATGCATGTCGAATGTTTCCATGCAACTATGTTGGCTCCACATTATTCGGCCAGTTAATGTTGGCAGATAATTACTAACTGTTTGGTGATTTGGTAATACGATTGATTTAGACAGCAGCAAACATTCCTGGCAAGAAAAACTTTAAACGCTTAGCTCGTTTCTGTTGGGTGCTCTTAGATCATTTTGTGGAAGTAGCAGTCAGAGTATCTTATGTTGGTGGGTTGAATCCGAGAGTAAACAATATTATTGACTTATAAAAGAACCAAAATACAGTCAAACTTCCTTCAGACAAATCAATAAATTCTATCTATTTAGTTATAAAATACATTTCAGCTTTTTGTTGTTAATGAAAATGTGTATTATATTTTAAACAAGAGAGAACGCTATAGTCGGGTGCCCCGACTATCAGATACCCGTTACTCAGGTAAAGGGAGTGCGAGGGAGATGGAGATAGAAACTTTGATCACGCATAACTTTTTAACGAATGGTCCGATTTGAAAAATTTCTTCTACATTTCGATAGGTATTGATAAACACAATAAAACTGCATTTTTACTTTTCCGAAATATTTAAATTTTTAAATTCGTATATAAGCGATTGTGGGCGTTAAAGGGGGCGTGGCACCTTTTTGAAACAAACTTGCGCTGCGTAGGAACTCCTAGAATCTGCATGCAAAATGCCAATCTTCTAGCTTTTATAGTTTCCGAGATCTCAGCGTTCATACGGACATACAGACAGACAGACGGACAGACGGACAGACGGACAGACGGACATGGCTATATCGACTCGGCTAGTGACCCTGATCAAGAATATATATACTTTATAGGGTCGGAAACGCTTCCTTCTAGCTGTTACATACTTTTGCACGAATACAATATACCCTTTTACTCTACGAGTAACGGGTATAAATATCAATAAAACCAAACATTTTAATTAAGCTTTGGTGGTGTCAAATGATTTAAAAGCTGGTAGTCTCATAGCCCCTTTAGATTTATTTTTTGGTGTGGTGGACTCACTGCATTTCTCAACTGTTGCAATCCCACAAAACACGTTGCATACTGAACTATGTCCCCATTATTGTACATTAAGCTCTAGGACGGCCCCAATGTTTAATTAATGAAAACAATTAGCCATAACGACGGTCACGCAGAGCCAGTGACACACTCAAGACGTTGGTGGCGAAACATTTTCGAAAGAAAAGCTTTCTAGGTCACAGCTGTGTCCCCACATTACAGAAGTAGGCACTTAAAAAGGTCACACGATGTCTGATCGCCTGATCACCCGGTCGATAGAGACCAATAACCAATAACATTAGGCACAGGTTAAACATACTCAAGATATGCAAGTCCTGGCCAAAAGAGACAACCGTCCGAACATAAATTACATAAAGCATAAGGCAGCGTTTTCAATAGCGCTATTAAATTGGAGCAGAGAGCAAAAAGCAGGCAGAGGTTTGATTTACACACTCGCAGATACAAGTACAGTGGAACCGGCCTGCTCTCCGCGGATATACGGCTCCCAAACGCTAACGCCAACGTTTGCGCAGGCGCAGCGCGGCGGATTCGTTATAAAAGGCCCAAATTCAGCGGCAGCGCACTTAGTTCGCCTTGGGCCTTGCCACAGTTAACCAACCGATCCGAACCACAGTACCACAGTACTGCAGTGCAGTACACATCCAATTTAATCGTCCACGGATTAGCATTAGCGCTAAGCCCCCAATTTTGTGGGCAGGTGCAAAGCTAATTAAACTGTGAACTGTTTTCACGTCAATAGTAATCGCGAAAACCAACATAATTCGAAGCAATTTGCTCACCTCAGCGTGGAATTCGCGATTGCGCACTCGAAATTGGTGGATTGTAAATACGGTGTTTGAGTACCACGAGGGAATACCCCTCCGGCCCCTTCACCAAAATCATAGGCAATAAAAGTGAAAGAACTACATTGTATTCGCAAACAAATTGTTGATTAATCGACGGGAGAAAGGATATTCGCTTGAAGCTACTGTAAGTATGGTTTCTGCGAAAAGTGCGGTAACGCAATTTAATAGCAGTGAATATACACAACAATTATATGACCTAACAAACCTGCAAGACAATCTCAGATTCCCAAAAACTTTAAATTGATAACAAAGTAATAAATCAAACTTCAAATAATCGATTAAGTGACTTTAACCTCTATTTAAAGGAAAGTGATTAGGTGCATTTTTATCATAAAACACATTACTCCGACGTATATAAAAACAAACTGCTTTAAAACATTTCACAATAAACAATATTATATATTTTTTTTATTGGCAAATAAGATAATAACTTTGGGCTTTGTGTTCTTTTCAACTTTTATTTGCATTTTAAGTAAAAGTTGTAATACTTTGTTTAAAATCATACTTTTTGTTTTGATCAAAAATATTTATATTTATTATCATTTTTTTTCAAGCCATACTTTAGAAGTTCAGTAAATAAATAAAAAAAAAACACTTTAAACAATGTTTATTTCATCTGGCTCGAAATAAGGGCAACAAAATCTAAAAATACGTATTGTGACCAAAATTAGGAACCCAGTTAAAAATATTTAAATTTGTTTTAATCAAACCTGTTCTAAATATTTTTTGCTATCAATCATTTCCACTTGCAACCCATAAGTCCCCAAAAAACTTTAGAAAATCAATAAAATAAATGAGATTAAAAGTTAATGATTTCTTTCTGTAAAAGGGAAACCACAATCTGATCACTGTTTATTTATAAGGGTACCAAAATTGAAAATTACGAAATATAATAGATTTGCATCAAAGCAGTTTTGTTTAAATCAATTTTAATGATTTAAGTCGGAGGTTAATTAGATTTATCTCCAATCCGAAAATAAGTAACCGCATTTGCACAAAGTTTCTCTTATGCACTGATTTCAATATAATAGCTTCAAGTGATCCAAATTCGGCAATCAACAAATAAAAAACCTTAATTAAAAATAACTTATTTTATTTGCTTAAGGAAAGGACATTTATTTAATGAATCGTCATTACGCCAACGTTTGTGCAAATTACCTATATCTTTTAACAGCTTTGGTTTTGAAACGAAATGAGTTGTTTAATTAATGACCAATTATGAAGCTCAATAGATCCACGTACTTAAAGCACATACCGGTTTGCAAGACTGCTCTAAATTACACATTTTAATATAAATTACGGTCAAACGTTGTGATTTAAATCCGCTTTATGCCGTTAGCGGTAAACAACTGACCCAAGCGTTGCGTTGAAAGTAACAAATCTTTTAATTACAAGCAAGACAATTATTTTGAGATCCAATGCGAACGACCTTCAGGTTTCCGTTACTGGTCTTTCGGCAAAGGTTTCCAGTCGACCAAAAACCAAAAAGCAAAAACCACATTGATCAGCACCCGCTGCGGCCTTTGAATGCCTCGAATTGATTTCTATTTATTGCATTCTGAGTTCGTGTTTTTGGATTCGGCTTTAGTACTTTGATATAAATCTCCGTCTCTGACAGCTGTGATATATGCTCTACGTGATGGACAATTCATTTTCCTTTCTTCTGTCCATTCGGCACTCGGTAAATTATTCATCTAGAACATTTAAATCGATCATTTGGATCAGGTTTTCGATCGGTCATGACTTATTACGTTTACGGGCTTCACTTTCTCTCTCGATTGGAATCTTAAGCCTGTTATGCAAACGCAGCCAATATGACGTGTGCCTTAATACTTTCATACATGTTGTTGCATTTGACGACTTGCCATTCACCTGGTGGTCTTAACGATACGGTTTTCAAGCTGGCATTTAGCTAAAACCCAGAAGTCATTTACGATCTTTGGGTCGCAGGTATGTAAATTTGACAGGTGTTGTATCCGTCTTAGTCGGTCGATCTCACATAAAATTAAATTATTGTATAGGAAATAATGAGACCTGCGCTCCGAGTCACGACATCTCCAACAATGGCAGATATTAGTTTGGGAACTATTTTATATCACCTGAAAACAAGAAACAGCTACGACAGCCCCATTCCAATTAGTTTAGTTGCACATAATTGGGCGATATATGCATAATTCACTTCTGGTGTTCAACTTAGCCACACCATACTTAGCCATAATTAGGACAATCCAGTTACATATATCGATACGCTCCAGAAATACGTGAGCAATCCAGTTAACTACCAGGAGAGACTAACGATAGTAAAACCTCACCTAATTAAAATAAATATTTCGTATGCTACGCATTAAAATGGCTAAAAATAACTTGAGAAATAGCTACTGGTCACCTAGAGAAGTGGGCGTTTTTACGGGCGTTGCACCCGAGCTCGTGCTTAAGTTGGCTTGCCAAATCGAAGGCGCTGTCTGAAATTGCTTTGGACTCCTTCATGGCAGACAGAGCGGCGCGTGCGCACCCCACATGGCAGGTTTTTGGCCCAAGAACCACAAGCACCCCTCAAACTCGGGCAATTATTGCAATTACCCGAACGAATTAAACAATCGCATAATTAATTAGCTACGGAGTTTGTGGAATGCGGCTGATGACCACAGACTTTCAAAATATGTGGCCATTTACCAAAAGGCTCAGGATCTCTACTGTGCATCGGATTTTACAACATTTATTATAGTCTAATACAGTACATTTAAATTAAGTTTTTATTCTCTTAATCTGGCATAAAACAAAACAGTAATTTTAATCATTAGGAATATTTCAATAAATTTTTCAAGGATAACTAAATAATTTATTTTTGGTAGACTTTTTAATTAGAAAACAACTTGCCAACTTACAATAATTTAGGTAAATTTAACAGAAAAACACCTGCCTCGACCTAAAACTGAAAGTGCAGCCGTTCATATATGAACTATAGTTGTTCGTAACTATTTAACGTTCCGAAATAAAAATAATCCCTGCACTAGCCGAGCTTACTTGACAGCAATCAAATCTGTTTACATATTGAAATTCCTTTTGCATAACGGATTAGACACGATTACACGGGTGGTAATGCAAGACGATTGTCATGACTTAATCCCAATTGCAGTCGGCGAACTCCATTGATCCAATCGATCTTAACCGATCTGAATGCAGGCCGAAGAAAGCTATCTCCGATTCGCGCTCAACCAGTTTGCCAATTCCACCTGCAGCAAGACTCTGGAAACGAATTTGCCTCGATTTCGGTGTCGGTTTCAAAGTCAAGGTCTCCGTCCCCGAAAACAACGCTGTTGCAACGGTCAACGGCAGCAACTGGCATCGTGGTCCGTCCATAATTGGCCCCCATTACCACTTCAGTCGGTCCGTAACCGCTCGTCGGTTAGCTGATTCACGGGGCTTCTGTCGTAGTTGGTGGCACGACTTGTCGGCGAGGCCCGAGATAAGCTTTCCTCGCTTTCCGATTTCCTCCGCCGCAGACACAGACACCATTATAATCCTACAGATATCATAATCTTAATCCCAGGCAAGAAGGTCGCGAACGATTAATGGTGCTGGGAATGCGATTAAATAAGGGCGGCGGTCTTTGCAAAGATTGCGTGAAAGCACATCCAGAAAAACGAGCCGACATTGCAGTAACACATTTGCGAGTGCGATATAATGAAGCAATTGCACATATCTCGCGTGCCCCACGACGAATTGTCTTTGGTAGCTTCCGTTTTCGTATGCCTCAAGCTTATTGCAAGACTTTTCCCTGCTCTGGTTGGCATTGTCACTGCCGTACTTTGCGTGTTAACCGGACCATTGTAATTACATTAGATTTAATTGCAGCCAGTCAATACAATATTCAACCAGGTAGCGGATCATAAAACGCTGTCTTGTCTCTGGTGTATTTCTTTGTTTTACATGGCGCGACACTGAGCTTAATTAGTCGAAGTGCTTGTCTCACATCGTTCGCACAAGTGCAGCTCACGTTCGGCTCATCATTTCATAGCCATCAGTCCGACCAAAAAGGAAACTTGAAGCCGGTTGTCGTCAGGTTGATTAAAATGTTATGGCCACCAATGGCAGAGAAGCAAATCTATTAACAGCTAATAAACTATTAATTTAAAGTTTGTTTGATTCGAGCTGATATAAATATTGGTTAATAGTTTTTTAAATACATTTTTTATTATCATTGAAAATTCACAATAAATGTATAGATTTTATATTAAAAATCAATTGGGAAATATAAACATTTTAAACAAATTTCAAACTCTCTCTCATATCAGTTCCCATTTTTACACGGTGAATAACCCCATGCGATCTTAGTTGATTTGAATGCCGTCATTAGATGTGATAATCCATTTGGCAACAGCAAAAAGCGAGACTTTTTAGATTACCTTATATTCGTTGCACATTTACTTTTATACGGTCGTATACTTTTATTATTATATTACATTTGATGTCACTTTAAAAAAATGTTAATAAGGGGAAAAGATCATAAGCATAAGATAGTTGCCAGCTTAGAAACAGTAGCAACTGTTTAAGAAATGCGACTCCCAACAGAATTCTCAGCACTTGGATATGTTTTATGTTTATATGTTGTATAATTAAAAGTAAAGCAACAGCATGGGACCCAGAGACCTACTGTGGTGGCAGCATTGGAGTCGTGATATGTCAGTCCGAGTGGCGAAAGGCAAAGCCTGAGTCAAAGGCACAGGCGGCAAATATGTTTACTCAGATCAAGAACGTCGGCTCGAGTTCGATTCGAGGCTTGTGGTTTTTTTTTTAATTGTGAATAAGCTGGCAAAACAAAAACAGAAAGACAAATCACGACGGGGGTCTGACTGCCATCGACCCATTGAGTCTATTGCGATAATGTTGACTGCACCAGTGGCTGACGCAGTTGATTAGGTGCGAATGTACGTGTAATTTACGAAATCAAACTCTCTGGGATTAAAACAGGGCAACATAATAGGCGTCTAGATGTTCAGCTTGACGTCTTGAACGCTCTTCAGGGCTTCCGAGTAGCGTGCCAGCACGGGCTCCACCTCCTCCTTGACGAACTCGCCCACCTGGTCGCTAGCTCGTCCAGTGAAGGTCTTGGCATCCAGTATGGTGTCCAGTTGCTCCAGAATGGGAGAAAAGTACGGGTCCTTGCGAACTCGGTCCACCAGATCGTTGTCCTTGCCGTGCTGCTTCACCTGGGCTCCAGCCTCCTGAGACAGCACGCGAATCTTCTCGTGACACACCTGCCGATCTCCGCCCGCCTTTACCATGGCCATGATAATGTTCTCCGTGGACATGAAAGGCAGTTCCTGGGCAATGTGCCTTTCAATCACCTTCGGGTAGACCACCAGTCCCTGCGAGATGTTCAGCAGAGTGAGCAGAGCGGCATCGGCAGCCAGGAAGGACTCGGAAAGGGTCAACCTCCGGTTGGCCGAGTCATCCAGGGTGCGCTCCAGCCACTGAGTGGCATGGGTGTTTGCGGCACTGCTGAACAAGGTGATAAGGTGACGGGCCAGGGCGCAGCAGCGCTCCGAGCGCATGGGATTCCGCTTATACGGCATGGCCGAAGATCCAATTTGGGTGCTCTCGAAGGGCTCCTCCAGTTCCTTGCGAGAGGCCAGGATGCGCAGATCGGAGCACATTTTGTGGATGGTGGTGCCCAGGCTGGAAAGAGCGGCCACGATCTCCACATCCACTTTCCGGGAGTATGTTTGCCCGGTCACAGCGTAGGCCTTCTTAAAACCGGCCAGCTCGGTGACCAACTGATCTAGCTGCTTCACCTTCTCTCCATCGCCGTTGAAGAGTTGCAGAAACGAGGCCTGGGTACCAGTGGTTCCCTTGACTCCCCGGAAGCGCAGATCTTCCAGACAGCGTGACAGCGCCCGCTCGTCCATGATCAAGTCCTGGATCCACAGGCACGCTCGCTTGCCCACCGTGGTCAGCTGGGCCGGCTGGAGATGGGTGAATCCCAGTGTGGGCTGATCTTTGTAGCTCTGGGCGAACTGGCTGAGTCGTGCTATCACGCTGGCCACCCGCGGCAGCAGCAGTTTGAGGGCATCTCGCAGCACAATCAGGTCCGTGTTGTCGCCCACGTAGCACGAGGTGGCCCCCAGATGGATCACCGGAGCGGCGGATGGACACTGTTTGGCGAAGACATGGACATGGGCCATCACGTCGTGGCGCGTGAGGCGCTCCTCGGCGGCTGCCGCCTCGAAATCAATGTTGCTGATCTGGAGCTCCATCTCGGCGATCTGGGAGTCGCTGATCTCCAGTCCCAGGCTGCTCTCCGCCCTCGCCAGCCACACCCACAGCCGCCGCCAGGTGGAGAACTTGTTTTGGTCGCTGAACAGGAACTGCATCTCCTTGCTGGCGTACCGGGTGCTCAGCGGCGACTTGTAGCCCTCGTAGTTGCTGGCCATCTTTGGGGTATAATTCTCTGTCTAATCACAAAAAACCGGAGGGTAATTAAACGTAATTGCAAGAGAAGCCTCGAAAAACAACTGTTGCTTAATGAGCGGTTCTCACATGTGGCGCAGTAGTGTGACCGCTGGCAGGGCGCTCAAAGATACCGCCCTGTTCACATACCGAAATATACCAATATGGGTTTGAATTTAGACCGTTAAAGTACTATTTAATAATATAGATATCAGGGGGTTGTTCAAGAAAAAATTCACTTTTTATAGTTTTGAGCTGTCTTTTATTGTCCCAATTTGTAAGATGAATTTGTTAGAAATATGTACCTTTGCCAACCGACTCGCTATATCAATTTGACGTAGGCAATTGGACCGTTGCTTAATCAAATCGTTTACAGTACATAAACTAAAAACATGTCAATTTTTTAAAACAACTATTATAAAAACGAAACTTTTTGCTCTTAAACTAACGCTTTGGAAAATTAATTGTAAAATGGGATAATGTTAATATTTATACTTCGTTTACTCAGTTAAAACCAGACAATTAATAATTAAAGCTTAAGTTAATCAAGTTAATTCAAGGTATTGGCTTAAATTGTTTTTGAAACCTTGCTAAGTTATTATATCGTCTTAGTTCATTCAAAAATTAAGTAAATCCGCTTAAAATCAGTTCAGGTTTATTAGGTATAAAAATAATGACGGTGTAAACTAGTCATAAAATCAAAAATGAAAAGAGAAGACTGAATTTTATAACCGAAAAAAGAAACATCATTTAAAACTTGTTATAAGAAATTCAAAAAAATAAACAACAAATATAAGCGGCAACCATTAAGAAACTGTATAAAACTGCTGACATCGAGTAAAATAAATTTTGCTACAGATGTAAACTAGTTTTCAATAGTTAAAATGATAAAGTGTTAATCTCTTTACCGAAATTGAAAAATATGTTGCGCCACAAGATAAAAATCAGCATTCAGAGTTTGTCGTTAAGATCACCAAGATAAATTAATGGGAAGCCGTAAAAAGTCGATAAAATCGCAAAAATCCGAAGCACTTGACGGACAATTTTAATTTGCATCAGGCCAAAACGTAAAAATAATAACCATCCAAAAATAGTAACCACTTGGAACAGAACTGGTCCACCGAAATGGACGCAAGACAGTAAAGAATCAATTAGTGCATCGCATCTAAGGCGATTGCAAATTGCATTTGGCATGTGTGAAAACATCCAAATGGCTGCCAAATTCAGCAGACACAAATATTCGCCGGCAGTGGCCAAGTGGCCAAGAGACCAGGTGACCAGGCGGAGTTTCAAGACCGTGGGCCTGGGCACGAGATCTCGATCCCCCGGAGATCATGTGATCTAACTGGTTACGTAAATCACATGAGGCTATTGGCTATGAAATTGCATATTGACGGCCTTTTGACAAAAAGCTGGCATAGCCTTGCATAAATTTTTGATTTGAAACAGCTCACACACATTTTGTAATTAACGCGCGGATTTCGAGTGTTACGACAGCCGGGGACCCGTAAAACAAAAATTCCAGGCCACTGACAGCTTCTGATGGGCCACCAATTCAATCCATGGGCGCCACTTTTAGGTGCCCCATGCTTGGGACACTTTCCTTTTAAATGGCCATTTCAATTAGTGCTTGTTACTGTATCGGTCGGACAAATCGGAATGTCCTCGATTTGTGTGCACGCCACGTAGCCCCGGCGCGTTTTTCATGCCTCCTTCGTGCTCCGATTGCAATGATGTTGTCGCTCTCCGGTTATAGTGGTCTTGTAGGTCTTATATGGACATGGGCTTATATTTATATATGGACCATAGTCAGCCAATAAATCAATCACGGCAGCACGGCGTCCCGTGCACTATTTTACACTTTAATGATCACCAAATAGCTCGGGATATGAATTCGTTTTTAATTAGAAGTCGTTAAAGTCGTAAAAAATTTGCTCGAGTTTGCCACTTTCGGCTCTGGATCTGGCCAAGTTAAACGCGCCTTTGATGGAAGCCCACTTTTCTGATGAAGTTTGGGTTTGGGTGCACCTGCACATGTAAGTGCATGGCTCTATTACGTATGGTCTATGTCAATCGTGAAATTATCAAAAGATAAAGAGTGCAAAAAAATATGGACATGGCCGAAACCAATTGAGCCCTTTCCGCAAACATGACGCAACGGTTTTATTTCCATCAATCGATCTATTGTTGCCAAGTAGTTTAAAAACCCATTACTCACTTTTTGGTATACGCTCTTAATTTAGGGAAAGTCAATCAAAACCAATCATAAATCAAAGTTTGCAGACTTTGGAGTTGTACATTATTTATGGTTTCAACCAAAAATTCAGTTGTACTAAAAGTATTTTAATGGTTAGCTCTGAAGAGATCATTGGGTTAGTCTTGCCGATTCTTTAAGCCAAACTTTCGGGCTACAATTTAAGCCAGCAGGTAATAGTTGCAATAAAATATGCAGAGATTGTGGTGAAATTTAGGTCTAAGGGATTGAAACTATTTATTTAATGAAGTTGGAGTTAGAAAAGTTCAAAAAAGTTAGGGTTCAAAGGCACAATAAGTTTCTTTGAAAAATTATTGAAGAAGCCAAGCTTTTTTAACATTTCTGATTTGGATTATTATAACTTCTTCTTCTTAAGTACTTACAATTTATATTTTGTGTGCAAGTAATTTTTTTTAGGTAATTGTATTTTGGTTTCTAGTTATAAAGTCTGCTCAAAAGGTTCTGATGTTCTTAAAAATTACATTTTTAACAGTCTTAAAACGTATGGATTGTTCAATTATTGATTTAAATTGGATTTTTTTTCAAGTAGACTAAAGTTCTTGCAGTCAAGTCTTAGCTTGAAGAATTTGTGGCTATTGTGGTCGATAAAAATAAATGCATGCATTAATTTTTTAGAAAGGGACTGCATGGTAAGTTAGATCATAGCCATGCCATATCTGTCGGCATTATTCTTGTGTCCGTTATAACCCAGACATGTGCATCTAAACGATTCAAATATCGCCTAGATCTTTGAGCGCGTTCTTGTGTTCTGTTACAGATTTCAGCGATAGCAATATCAAATATTTTTATGTCCCAGTCATTCGTGCTTAGTTGCTGCTCATTAAGATCAACAATGTGGATGACGGCCGTGACCAACGGCTGCTGTTTTCTGTGCTAACTTGCAAATGGATTGCCTTGGCGTGTCCGCCTGAGACTGCAATTCAAATTCAAATTGAGACCCGAGTACCCGGCGCTCTTTCCTATTGACAAGCGGCGACGTTGGCGTTGTGGTTTTAAAATCCAGCCAATCATCGGCTCCAATCACTCGCTGACCCCATTCGAATTTAGAAACCCCAGAGATGCACTCAGCAAAACATTATAAATGAGTTAGTAAGCTAGTTCACTTACCCAAATTACAAATGTAAAGTAAAATTATTTAGAAAAAACTCCATTGCCAATTAAGAACAGATAATTAACATAAGGTTAAATGTAACACTTCCGGGTAATGTTAACAGGCTTTTTATATATCCGTATTAGTATATGAAACAAAGAAGTTAATAAAAGGTAGTTGGGTAAGGTAATTAAGATTTCGTTACACCAATTGCAACATTTTTTAAAATTGATTTAAAAATTAAGTAATTAAGAAATTAAGTAATTAAGGGCTTCTCGATAGCATTATTTATTAGAAGTGTAGGCGTGGGTTTCCTGGAGAGGGCCACTTCCAATCGACCGATCTATTTGAGACCCAGGGTCCAGGAAAGTGTAAGACTCATGGCACGAACTCGAATTGTTGTCTGGCCCATTGTTCTGCACGGCAGGCAATTAAAACATTGACAGAGGCTGGCTTTGTTTTATTTTGTGTGGTTTCTGCCACGGCTGCCGATGGATGCGGATTTGCATGCGACTGCAGCTGGCCTTTTGTGGAAAAGGTTGGGAATGGCTTGGCTTAGTCGGCAGAACGGGGCCGCAGACAAATTCATTATGTAAAGCTAACCATTACTGTCGATTCGGTCTGTTTACATAAGTAGCTTGCAAATTGGTCAAATATGCCGTTGCCATAAAACAATTATGAGACTTTTCACGCTTGCACGCCGAGCACACGAATCTGAATCCGTTTCATTGTGCTCAGATTTAAGCTCGGGGTTTGGTTTGGGCCAATACCATATAGTACACATAATAGCCAGATAGCATGGCCTGAGCAATGAACATGTTCGTACTAAAATGTCGCAATAAATAATAATGAATGCGCACCAAAACGGTGATGAAACCTGTTGTGACCATATGTGAGCCAAAGGAGCCGGAGTCCAGATCGATCGGCTGCCGCAAAAAAATGCAAAACGATCCAGTTGTAGTTCACTTGCCGTCTGCAGCCGGCGAACATGAAATGTGTCCAATGTGTCCAGCGTGTCCAAGTCGGTAGTGTTGGCTTCAACCAGCCGATGGGATACATACAAAGTATGCTCTTTTGGCCAAAAGCAGGTACCTCTGCAAAAAGTTTGGTTTTTATGTGGGTTACCATACCAGCAACACGTAAATTGCTGAATGTGTTAGGTGTGCTAACAACTTTTTCCCATGTAGTTCAGGATGCCATATCGAAAGATTGTCGGTGGCCGTAAATGGCGCAGACCTTGGACTACAATATTCATGATTAATATGTCTTGCTCCGCACAGGAAAGGAAAATACCTCGCAAAAAAATACTCAAGAATTTCTGTAAGCAGAATTCTTTCCTTTTCATTGCTTTGAATCGAATTGTTGATCAATAATCTTGTCTTAGGGGCAAGTATATAGCATATTGAGGATTTATGCTCGGCGTTTATCGTTTTATAACAATTTTATTATTTTATTTATTTAATTCTAACCTTGACTGTTGATATTTAAATGGCAATAGGTAAGAAAGTCTAGATAACAATAAGTAAAATAAAAAATAAGCGTTGATTTCGTTGTATTTTATGGTATTTAGCACTAACTGAAGATAAATTCTAATGTAAAAACAATTTATAATTTCAGATGATCAGGGCACGAGATCTTCTGCTCTTGGCCCTTTTGGGATTCGTCTCGAGTGCATTCGGCCTAAAAGTTTCCTCGGGCTACCAAATAGTCCACAATCATCCTCAGCCATCTTTTCCCAATTATCATGGATTTAGTTACCTCCAAGGCTCAGCTCCTTATGTGATTGGGTAAGCTTGGGGAACTTTCTTTCATTTGTCCTGTAATTACACTGTTTAAATTTCTCTTAGGAATAGCCTTCCCACATCACCAGCTCCTCAGCATCCATTTTCATCACCTGCAAGTCCTCCAGTTTCAGCCTACGGTTACAGTTTTCCCACTGCTGGTCAAGTGTCATGTGCTGCTCCACCTGCAGTTTGCGAGAAGACTTCCTACCGCACGCTGGACGGATCCTGCAATCACCTCGAGCGTCCTGGCTTGGGAGTGGCCAACTCCAGGTAACTACTTGAAAGTAACCTCCCGTTCAGCATGTTATTATAACTAATATTCGCTTCAGGTATGGTCGCCTGCTGACACCAAAGTATGCTGACGGTATATCGGCACCCACAAGATCTGTGACAGGAGACGAACTGCCCAGTGCCCGACTCGTCTCACTGGTGGCTTTCGGGGAGCAGGATGTACCCGATCCAGAGTACACGCTCCATAACATGCAGTGGGGCCAGATCATGACCCACGACATGAGCATGCAGGCGGGAGGCACGCAGTCGAGTGAGTAGATACGATCTGTATCCCTAATCCTACTATATCACAATCTACACTATTCCCAGAAAAACATCCCACGCGTTGCTGCACTGACGATGGACGATTGATTGGCTTGGACACCGCCCACAAGACCTGCTTCGCCATTATTGTGCCGCCCCACGATCCAGCCTACTCCCAAGTGGGCACCGAGTGCCTCAATTTTGTGCGCACCCTGACGGATCGGGACAGCAATTGTCAGTATCGCGGCGGTCCGGCGGAGCAGATCACGGTGGTCACCTCCTACTTGGATCTCTCGCTGGTCTACGGCAATTCCATTCAGCAGAACAGCGATATCCGCGAGTTCCAGGGCGGTCGGATGATCGTGGAGGAGCGTAATGGCGCCAAGTGGATGCCCCTTTCCCGAAATGTCACCGGCGATTGTGATGCCGTGGATGCCAGCGAGGTGTGCTACCGCTCCGGAGATGTGAGGGTCAACCAGAACCCGGGGTTGGCCATCCTCCAGACGATCCTACTGCGTGAGCACAACCGCATTGCGGACCACTTGTCGGCTTTGAATCCGCACTACGATGATCGCACGCTGTTCCAGGAGGCGCGCAAGATCAACATTGCCCAGTACCAACAAATCAGTTACTACGAATGGCTGCCCATCTTCTTAGGGGGCGAAAACATGCTCAAGAACCGACTGATCTACAAGGCTCCGTCTGGAAGCTATATCAACGACTTCGATCATAACATCGATCCGTCCGTGCTGAATGAACATGCTACGGCCGCTTTCAGATACTTCCACTCCCAGATTGAAGGTCGTTTAGAGTAAGCATAGATTTTCTTTACATTAAAGGCTAAAGCGATTAGAATTCTAACCCGACTCTTTAAATATTTAAAAATATGGTTTAATAACGACAGCCAAAATTAAGATTAAAAAGATTTGACTTTTAATATGTGTTTATGTAAGCACCTTAACATTCATAAATAACTACCTGAATAACTAATCCGAATTAAAAAACTTTTTTCAAAAGATTTGTTGAAATTGCTAATAATATGAAATGTAATAAATAAATAATAAATAAATGTAATGTAATATGATGTAAGCTATCTGAATAATTGCCACAGAAAGGTCCTGAATTATAATTAAAATAATTTTAATCTTTTATTAAAATGTAAAATATTTCACATTTTATTTTAAAAATATCATTGCAGTCTGCTGTCTGAGCTGCGACAAGTTCTCGGATCCCTGACCCTCAGCGACTGGTTCAACCGTCCCGGCATTATCGAGGTGGGAGATAACTTCGATTCCCTGACCAGAGGACATGCCACACAGCCTGAGGAGCTGACGGATATCAACTTTGATAGACAGGTGGGGATCACAATTGTCAAATCCACATAACTTATCTCACCAACGAAATGTCTTTACGCAGATCAAGCACTTCCTGTTCAGAAGGAACATGCCTTTCGGCTCGGATCTGCGTTCTCTGGACATTCAGCGCAATCGCGATCACGGCTTGGCCTCCTACAACGACATGAGGGAATTCTGCGGACTTAGGCGAGCCCATTCGTGGGAGGAGTACGGTGACCTGATCAGCCCCCCCATTCTGGAGAAACTGAAGTCGCTGTACTTAAGTCACGAAGACGTGGACCTGACTGTGGGCGCCTCGTTGGAGGCCCACGTGGCCGGAGCGTTGGCAGGACCCACCTTCCTTTGCATCCTGACCGAACAATTCTACCGAACCCGTGTGGGCGATCGGTTCTTCTTCGAGAATGGAGACAAACTCACCGGATTCACTCCCGGTAATTGAAAACAAATAACCTGTTTAACTTCAAAGTTGATTAACCTATTCCTCCTTAGATCAACTGGAAGAACTGCGAAAGGCGAGTATGGCTCGTTTACTGTGCGACAATGGCAACCACATTTCATCTATGCAGCCCGAGGCTTTCAGGACTGTCTCCCATTCGTAAGTAGACCTTAAATAAATTGAATTGGATGACTTTAAAACTACCCATTTGTTCTAGGAATCCCATCATGCCGTGCTCGAATATTCCACAAGTCGACCTCACCAAGTGGATTGATCAAAAGCCATATGCCGCGGTAGATCCGTCCGTTCATTACGGAAAGAAGTGATTCCCGGCACTTTGATCGGCGATCTATTATTAACTAGTTGAATACAAAATACCTTTAGCTTAATCAGTAACATAATCATAAATGCAATCGCCCCTACCCTTTGTATAATAATTTCCCAAACTGATGTACAGAAATAAAGACCTTACCATTTAAAAATTGATGTTTAAATATAATGCCCCTTTAAGACTTTATTCAAAAGTTTTCCCATATGTGACCTATTAAGTTCCGAACTACTTATAATCGACCATTGTCATTTGCCCATCGAACCCATCGTCACCACAAGGGTAATTTTTGTTTTGACAGGATAAAAAAGTTAACCGATAATAATTTTGTTGCCCCTACGCTAATACAATGTTATAGTTACATCAAGTTTTTAAGAAGCATCGAATTACCCTTAAAACTATATTATAGCTTCGTTGCCTTGAGGCTTTCCCCATAATCCCCTACGTTCAAGGGTCTAAGACCATAATGGTCGAGTATGGGCGATACTGGTGGTCGCATTTTACCAAACAGGCCCAGTGCCTTTTTGTTACGCCTCTTTATTTCCCAATTAGCTTTATAAAACTTTACTTTTATCACCAAAAGCGTTTCTAAAAATACTTAAAGTCAGAATTCGCGCTTTTAATAACACAATTATCAACACTGCACTTGTGAGTTCATGTTTGTTAGTAACGACACAACGCAGGGGCATAAACCATCGGATTAACGTCGAAGTTCAAGAACAATATCCAGGCATGCCCTCTTCTTACGCAATATGGGAAGATAAAGAATAGCCGATTCCGAAAACCTTTACACTTTCGATGACTTTGGGTTCGCTTCGATTGATCGGGGTTAATCATATGTAGGCGCGCGACCAAGGTGTGAACAACTTGATAGAAACGGCCAATTAAGAGACAAAACGCTTTTTGTCTGGCATCTTTGACTCATTGTTGATTCGAATCGTAAAGCTAAACAATCTACAACAAAAAATTTGTTCTTTTTTGGATACTGTCTTCTGTATTCATATGCGAGTTTACATATTAATACATCAGAGGCGGTCCATTTTTTGAATGCTCATAAATTTACATAAGTTAAGGGAGAACATCGACCAGGTTTGCATATTTGCCGAGAGATTTGGCGAGCAGATTTCTGAATGGACATGATATAACGGTTCTATGGAATCTAGATTAATGAAAGTGATTTAAACAAAGTGTGCATACGAGATTAACAGTTCATAGTGCGGTATAAAAGTGATCTATCCGCTGGCGAAAGGCAGCAGATGCCATTTCGCCATGAGACTGTTCGCAGTGATTTTCTGGCTCGGTAAAGGATTCCCCCGATGGATCTAGTGTTGGCTGGATTGAGATGATGTCTAAATGGACTTTTTGTTTTATTTCCAGGCTTGGCTTTTAGCCTGGCGATTGCCAAGAACCCAAGTCCCGAGACGGGCAGGCTGATAGCCGCTCTCCAACCAGCTCCGGCTCCGGCACCAGCACAAAGTGTGATCTACAAACTGCCACCGCAGCACTATTACCCGCCACCACCGGCTCCCCCGCCTCCTCCACCGCAGCACTGCAGCTGTCCACCGGGACCACCAGGACCTCCGGGCCCTCCTGGCCTACCAGGAATACCTGGACAGCAGGGTTCCAAGGGGCACAGTGGGGCTAAGGGTGAACGGGGCGAGAAGGGCGAGCGAGGTCATTACGGATTACCAGGGCTCCCGGGACCTGTCGGACCACCAGGAATACCCGGACCACCTGGTCACAAATCTAGAAATGATCACCACGATCACGATCATGGTCATCATCACCACCACCACTCACCCACACCTCCGCCTCCACCACCACCACCGCCACCTCCACCGCCACCAGCGCACCCATCGCATCATCACCACCACCCACAACCACCCATTATTCCTCCTCCAATTATATTTCCCATTCCTGTCCCAACCCCTGAAAAGGGTGGTCACCACAAAGGATCCAAGGGCCCTCCTGGACCGCCAGGTCCACCGGGTAAGTGAATTTTAAACCTTCAACTTCTAATTTTGACTATGGATATTAGTTTAAATGTCATTATACAAACAAATCCTTAGATCAAGAATGTAATTATTGATTTAAACGATCAATACATCTTTGGAACAAAACAATTAAAAATTCATTTTTTTATAATGCTCTAATACTAATAGTAATAGCAATATTAAAAGTTTTACTCTTCATTTGTTATTTGCTTCGATTGCAGGTTCGGGACCTCCTGGACCACCTGGACCCCCAGGCAGCACATATCCCCCTCCACCTCCCCCGCCACCAGCATCGTACCCACCGTACCCACCATATCCGTACCCCCCACCAGGACCATATCCAGGACCCTATCCAGGACCATATCCAGGACCAGGATCTCAATTTCCTTGGATTCCCGTGCCAATACCATGGCCAACAGGACACAAGGGAGACAAGGGTCATAAAGGCGGAGACAAGGGAGACAAGGGCGGACACCATCATCACTACTATCCACCAGGACACGATAAGGGCGGTCATTATCCGTATCCACCCCACAATGGCGGGCATGGAGGCCACAATCAACCAGGGCCTTATCCGCCGCCTTACCCACCACACTATCCGCACGATGGCTGGGACAAGGGACATCATCACCATCACCATCCCTCCCACAACAACGGTGGGCATGAGCACCACCATCATCCCTCGCACAATAACGGAGGCCATAACCACAATCATCCCTCCCATCATCACGGCGGTGGAGATGACGGGCACAACCATCATCCTCCCCCGCACAATCACGGAGGCCATAGCCACCACCATTCCTCCCATCACAGCGGAGACGGAGGACACAGTTCACCGTCCCATCATCACCCCTGGCATAATGGAACTCATCATTCACCAAAACCCCACAAACCAGAGGGCGGTGGAGAGCAAGTCCCCCGCGTTGATCTGGACTTCCTGGATGAAGAGGTAGAGATCGTCGCGAACATTATCGATGATAATGACTTCATGGAGGGCGAGGAAGAAACACCCTATGAGTCTTCTGATTCGGAAACGGAACCCGATAATGCAGGCTATATTGGCTATATAGACAACACCGTGGACAATATGTCATCTCTCGATTCCGCTGAAGAAGCTAATGAGGAGAATACAAATTTTGCTGCTGAAAACTATGTAGGACAAGGCGTTGATGAAGAAGCCATAGAAGAACAGCCTGATACGGAGGATCAGGTGGGAACTTTCATGGAGGATAACGCTTTCGATGGCGATGCAATCGAGGAGCGATCCAATAAAAGTCCCATTATCCTGGCCATTGGAACTCCTAGAAACCCGTTTCACATTTATGCCTATGAACAGTAAACACGTAAACCAACCAATGATTCACGAGAATAAAAAAAATTAATTATGTAACTTTTGCTGTGTTTTTCCTTGCAATAAGCTGAGTTTTCAATACCAGTGAAAGGTGTGAAGAATGTGAGCTTTTTCTGTGTATATAGAGTCCTGTTTTTAATTTATTTTGGCTTAAAAAACATTTTAAGGGAATAAGTTCTATGTTTTAGATGAATTTAATCGACATTTCACTTTGGGTAAATGCAATCTTATTATTTGATACGCCAAGAGTTGTAAAATTTTTTGGAGTTTATTCTGCTATAAGATCATTATCGAAACTGTATGGCATACAAATTTTAATAAATTCGCAATAAACTAGCTTTTTGTTTACTGGCGAAATAGTTCCGTTGTTCCAAGAAATTTATTTGGCTTTGTGGGCTTTTATATAAATTAACAATGGGCAAAGACATGTGAAAAGTGAAATCACAAAGAAATAAAATAGTTAAATCAATGACGAACGAATGAGTTTGACAATACAATAGGATATTGTTTAAGCTTATCAGCCGGACAAGTAAAAGTGTTTGTCGCCTTTTTTAAGATCTTAAATACAAATTAGCAATTACTACATAAACTCATGGTAACCTGAAGGAAGTTTTTTATTTTAAGTAACATAAAAACATGACATCGGGCCACAAAACATCAAAATAGAAAAAATAGGTTATCCCAACATTAAAATTAACATTATTAGATCATAAATAACATAAATTTCACAGACAGATTGTTTAACGATTCCATGCATCTAATTGATCCACTACTTTATTGTCATCAAGAATTTTTCGTCTGTCATCTCGAATTTCGCTACTTAAAATCAATTTGTATGACTACCAAAAAAAACAAACCTTAATATCTATAAAAGCAAATAAGGCAAAACATTCTATTTTGGCGGTATCTCTTTTTATTGATCTATAAAAAATAATACAATGGGTGCAGAAATAGAGCAGAGTCCAGATAGAAAACCAAAGTGTTCATTTACATAACTAAATAAATAAATTACTAAATAAAAATAAGTAAGATCACAGTAATACACTTAGATTTTGTGTTGTATTGAAATTTTAAAAAAATCTACAACTTCTCCAATAAAAACTATTTTTTCTGACATCAACGTACCAAGCCTATAAAATTGGACCACTCTGGTGTTAAAAATATGCTAAATCATTGAGATCTGAGATCTGCGATTTGAATTTTACGTCTTTCCAATTAACCCGTTATAGTCTCACCGAACTTTTAGGAGTCTATATAAGATGAGTTCTGAGACAAACAGGTGTTCATTCTCGAATGTAGGGCCTCATCATGAGGTTGCTCGCGGTTCTGCTGTTATCAGGTGAGCCAAGCGAAAATCTGAGTTTAAGAAACTAGCCAGCTTTTATTTTATTTTCATTGTATTATAGCCATATCTACTTACTGCGATGGATCTTGGTCTTTAAGCCCAGTTCAGCCAGTTAGAACAGATTCTCGACCAAAAGCGAAGAAACCACATTACAAAAACTATGACCTGTACTATTACAGTCCTGAAACGATAGGTTCTTCTATTTACTTTGGATCTCAGTCAAATTGTCAGTGCCGTCCAGGACCTCCAGGACCTCCGGGTCCACCAGGAGTACCTGGCCTTTCAGGTGAGGAAGGTGCGCCGGGTGAAAAAGGAGATCGTGGAGAAAGTGGCGAACGTGGAAGAAGGGGCAGACCGGGTTATCCTGGCTTTCCCGGGCCCATTGGCCCACCAGGTTCTCCAGGAAAGTACTCTGAACATCGCCAGAAGCAACGTCCAACAATCATTTACCTACCAGCAATTACTGAGGTCAAACCGCCCAAAAATGAAACCACAACGGGCAGTTCAAGCAATGAAAACCCACCATCAAAACCCGATAACAGAAAGGCCATTAAAAAAGCAACCAAACCTAAGGCACCGCAGCCTTTTCGGGCAAATTCCAATCAAATTAAGGTTCTAAAAACTAGTTCGCAACTGACCCAAAACCACAAAAACCCTAACCGCAAAAAAACAATTGCTTCCCCTTTTTCCAATCGCAAAAGAATCAATCTGAACAACAGAATAAACACATCAAATAAGAACAGAAGAACAGTGACTAATTCCCAAAAACACAGACCAAATGTGTTAGTTGATCAACAGATAAGTAAACGAAAGGTAATTAAAACTACAAGTACAACAAACAAAACTAACTCGAGCACTTTAAATCGTCGGCCATTTACTTCCAAAAACAAGGGAACAGCGATAATCGAGAAACCCAGTTTAGCAAATGCAAATACTATCATGAATTTGAACATCAGCCAAGTCGCACCGCAGCAAAAGAAAAACGTAAGCAATAGTGATGTAAAAATAAGTAAAATAAACTCCACAGTAAATCAGACAATACTAAATGATGAACCAGTCCACGATGAAAAAACAACAGTAGCGAATTTAATTCATAAAGATGTTACTTCTATTGAATCAGAAATAGTTCAAGCCAATTCAGAGAAAGCCAATACTACTGCAGTTGATGGTTCCTTGCAGAAGACCATAATTTATACTGACAATAACAAAATAGAACCGGAAAGTCAAGATCTTAAGGTATTAACCACAGTTCCCGAAGATATGGATACAACAACTATTCAAATAGAAACCGGAAAGATTGAGAAAATGGAGGAATTCGAAACAAGAGAAAAAGCAATACCGGAGTTAGAAAAAAAATTAACTACAATGGAAGCAGAGATATTTCAAACAAATTCGGAGAATGCCAGTATTACTACAGATGAAGATTCCTCAGTAAAAAACATAACTTTTCCTGACAATAACAAAACAGAACAGGAAAGTCAAGATCGTAACGTATTAACCACAGTACCTGAAGAGACAACTGTTGATATGGATACTACAACAATTCAAATAGAAACCGGAAAGATTGAGAAAATTAAAGAAGTCGAAACAACGGAAAAATCAATACCGGAGTTGGAAAAAATTTCAACGCAAATTTTAGAACAAGGAACCACAGATTATACCTTCAAGGTGGATGAGAGTACCAAAAATGTCATTACATTGAAACCTTTATTAAGCACCGATGATTCGGGGACCACTTTAACAGAGAAAACAGAAATTACAACACTTTTACCAATCGAAATATCAACAAATGATTTAGAAAACCAAGAAGCAGACTCAACAACCGATGAACCAGTAACTTTCAACCCAGAAACGACAGAAACACCAACCACAGTGGGCGACAATGTCGTTCAACAAGATCGCATGTTATCTTCCACTTCAGAAGAATCCGAATTCGGTATTCCGGTATCTATACTAATTCAAACTAGGTCCGAGTCGATGGAAACTACTACACAAACAAATGTAAATGTGGTTTAAGTTAAAGAGTCTGATTAAATTATGTTTAATAAAAATAATAAACGAAAACTTACATTTTTTTATTTTATTTGTGATTAGAAAGCAAATTATACTATTTATGTCAGATCTTTTGATAGATAAATAAATAAATAAACAAGAAAGGAAAGCTAACTTCGGGCGGAGCCGAAGTTGATATACCCTTGCAGAATTCTCTATAATAATATTCTCCAAAATTATTCCTATGATGCATTCTTAATACTCATAAAAAATCCAAACTTCCTAACTTTAAAAACACCAAAGTTATGGCATTTCGAATCGTTCAGTTATATGGCAGCTATAGGATATAGTCGGCCGATCCTTATGAAATTTGGTAGGTCGGATTGATTGGCCAAATATAAAACCCATAGAAAATCCCAACTTTCTAACTTTACAAACACCAAAGTTATGGCATTTCCGATCAATCAGTTATATGGCAGCTATAGGATATAGTCGGCCGATCCTTATGAAATTTTGTACGTCGGATTGATTGGCCAAATATAATACCCATAGAGAGTCCCAACTTCCTAACTTAACAAACAGCAGAGTTATGGCATTTCCGATCAATCAGTTATATGGCAGCTATAGGATATAGTCGGCCGATCCCGGCCGTTCCGACTTATATACTGCGTGCAAAGGAAAGAAGGGTGTGTGCAAAGTTTCAATTCGATAGCTTTAAAACTGAGAGACTAGTTTGCGTAGAAACAGACAGACGGACAGACAGACGGACAGACGGACGGTGGTCCTGATCAAGAATATATATACTTTATAGGGTCGGAGATGCCTCCTTCACTGCGTTGCACACTTTTGACCAAAATTATAATACCCTCTGCAAGGGTATAAAAAGGAACTTTTACATTTTTAACAATCCTTTTTATTTTCATGAAACTATTTGCTTATAAGTTTATATTGAATAAATACTAGCATTTTAACAGTAAATAAGAAAGTCCAAAAAGTCCATTTTGTTATGACGTTGTGTAAAATAGTTGATGAAAAAAAAGGATGAGAGAAACAAACAAATTGGGCCATGTTCAAGTTAAGGCCTTGGATCCTGCCATTTGCTAAGATCAATTTGCCGGATAAAATTGCAGTTTAGTAGTAAATTACTATAAAAAGAGTGGTGTTTAAAAATATATAAAGTTTAAAATTTTACTGGACTTACTGGGAATTCGGGAACACAAAAACGTTGGGCTGGACCAAGTGCAGGTAGTTGGCGTTGTTGCAGAACAGGCTGGCCAGACTCACCTTACGGATCTCCGCCAGTTGAGCTGTGGACAAGGGATTTGAAAATGGTTCTATCATATTATGCTTTCCAACTTACCACGTGAAAACCCTCCAGCGTTCTCCCGCTCAAAGAAAAATCTATCGCCACGTCGCGTGTTCAGGAATTGTTTTCCAATTACACACAATAGAGTTGGTCCGAATAGAGCATCAGGGACATGGTACTCCAGTGTGCCACCTACACTCAGCTCCACATCATCCGGAGTCGCGTACAGCCGGCGTAATAGCGATATTTTCTACAGAAACCCACATTACAGTGATTTGAATTGGAATAACTATTTTGATCCCATACCTCTGCCGGAATCTCGTGAGCAAAATCAGCCCAATCCACAGCTCGTTGCAGCCCGCAGTACTCTCGCACATCATTGTAGGAGGCCAGTCCAAAGTCTCGTGCCCTCTGAATGTCTATAGACTTCAGATCTGATCCGTACTCCTCAAATTCCTTGCGGTTGAAATAGTGTTTTATCTCACGATCAATATTCCCATCCGATCGCTTGTGCAACTGAGTAGCCAATCCCCTCAACATTGCGGCGAAGTTGTCGGATGTGTCCAGTAAGCGGATGGTCTCGGATCGATCGAGGTAGTCACTCAGGCGCATAGTCTGGTTGGAACTGCGATTTGGAGCCACCAACCTGTGAAAAGTATAAATTAAAGTCAATCCCTCCATAATTTGTATCAGGAAAAACGTACGAGAACCATCCAGGGATCTGGGTGTGGGCATATCGGAAGGCTGCGGCGGAAAACTCCGCATAGGCAGCGGGATTCACCGTCTCGTCATAGTCGTTCACGTACTCAGTTGGCTCCACTGGATAAATGAGACCGTTCAGATAGGTGTAGGTGCGACCCACGAACAGGGGCAGCCAGTCGTAGTAGGTGATCTTCTGAAACTGGGCAATGTTAATCTTGCGCGCTTCCTGGTAAATACGCTCGTCATCGTGATGAGGGTTAATCAGCGCCAGATTCTCGGCCAGACGATTGTGCTCCCGGACCAGCAGAGTCTGCAGCACGGCAATGGTGGGCGAGAACCTATTCCTCCTATCCGGCACGCTGTAGCACTCACTCCTAAGCCCGCACTCGCCGTCCTCATTTTGGCTCACCGGAAGCCAGTGCTGGCCATTCGTGTAGCTTGTCTTTAGAAGGCCGCCCTTAAACAGGCGTACTTTGCTGTTTTGCGATTGGGTGTTTCCATAGACCGAGGACAGATCCAGGTAGGCAGTGGCCACCGTCAACTTCTCGGGGTACGGTGCTCCATTCCTTGGGCAAATGGCATCCGCTTCAGACACACTGCGTGCGAAGTGAAGGCAGGTCTTGCCCGCATGATAGGCGATGGGTCCTCCACGCGGCAGGTTTATGGCCATACAGCGGGGATTACGCGGCTCGGCACAGCAATCATGAGGAGCTCCCTGCGTGCTTAACTGGCTGATGTCGTGGGCCACAAACTGTCCAAATTGCATGGCCGCCATGGTGCGGAATCTATCGTTGCTCGTCTGCTCTCCGTACAAGGACAAGGAGATCAATCGTGCATTCGGGGCCTGCTCCACTTGCCGTGGAGGTAAAAGCCTCCTATACGGGGAAACAGCAATTCCAAACTCTGGATACAACAGGTTATTGCAGGATCCATCGATACTCCGATATTGAAGATTCCGTGTACCGTTTAGACAGTAGCGAGGTGGTACACCACACCTTAAAGCCTGATGAGGACCAGATGGCGTAGGCTCAGCCCAACTGGTGTGCACATTGTTGGCGTTGTACTTGGGCATAAAGTCCTTGATCAGAGCATCCAAACTTCCATCACTGACGCTTGGACGAATGTCAAAACCGCTCCGTTTGAACCTGGCCAAGGGTTCAATTGCCGAAAACGGACACTTGGTGGCGACCGTCACGGCCAGCACACTCAAAACCACCAAAAACACTCTCATAGCACTGACGACACCACAAAACTCAATGCAGCTCCATCGACTGGGCGCTCATTTATAGACCTACGCCAGTAGCTAGCCCGCACGATCTCCGTGCTCCGGAGACGTGACAATGGTACGCCGAATTCTTGGTAAGATTGCCAAGATTCAAGAACGTGCAAAAATATGTGAACATAATTTCCAAAATTCGGAAGTCCCAAACTGTGGGCGAATATTCATAAACATATAAAACCGACCGGAACGTGTTTACGGTTCAAAAAAAAAGAACAATGGTTGAGTTCGTATTAAATAAACTTATCATGCAGCCGATATAAAAAGATAAGGTATTACTAGATTTATTTTTGCCAGCAGCATAAACAATGAATGCAGATACAGCTAATCATAAAGTAGTGCATTAAGCAAAGAGTTCTGACTCATATTTCTTTTTTTATTTGTTAAATAACTCGAGAAAACTAGTTTAGAAATATTTAACATTAGTTTAACGTAAACTTAATCAAAATCAAATATTCAGTTTGGCTTTATTTAACATAAATCTAAATTACTGGAATGTGTTTTTAATCATATTATATCAACAAAAAAAATCATTTATTTTCTATTGGTTCCGCGTGTGAGAATTAACAGAATTGAAAGAAAAAACAATGTTTCTTTAACATAAACCAAAATTCCATCCGCATGGAAATAGTTAGCACAAATTACCTTAGTTTTTAGAGTCCACCAAAAAGTTTCTTAAACCTGGTGGCATGAGAATGTAAGAGTTAAGTATTGTTTTCCATTTGTAATGGTAGGTACTATATTCCATGTATAAAGATGAAGCCTCTTCGTTATCAATTAAAGCTTCCGTATGAAGCTGAAGTCTTCTTAATATCAATGAACAGCTTACAAGCACCATTTTGGGATAGTCTGCACTCACATCCGAGCAATCAATCCTGCATAAAGTAGAAAGTAATTAACAATCATAATTAATTAATATATAACATTTTCAATTCACATGATGTCAATATATTTTTCCATAATACGCCTGATTACACAAAAGGTTTGTCGGTAAATTTCGATATCTTTTAAATAGATATCATCCAATTCAATCAACTCAATCACGTGCAAAATATTTTCGCTGGCATGTTGCAAAAAGCCTGTATTAAAGGGGTAAACAAATTAGCCTGAACATAAACACATAGGTTGACAAGTACAAACCATTCATTGCCAAAAACATGGAAAATTTAAGGACTCCCAGTAAACGAATCTCATCCTTTTCTGGGCAATGCAAGGCAAGAAAGCTATTGTAGGTGCCGTACAAAATGGACAATTTAACTTGAATCTTTACATCTAAAACATAAAGTAATAGTACATTAAAATACGTTTTTCCTAAACTCAATCATATCAATCAAACCTTGACTAGACTGTATCCAAGTTGAAATGTTATTGTTAATTGTAAATATGAATGCTTTATTATGTCGTAAAAATTCGGGAGAAGGGTGAAGGCTTTTTTCGAACTAAAAATAATAATATTCGTAAATATTAAAAACACGATTTAATAATAAAACCAATTACTTACACTTGATTTTCCATGATTTGTATTTGAAAGAAAATTAAAATCTCGGCACTGCACCAAATCCAATATAAAGTTCTGATCATGATGCCTGACAAATTCGGAGCATATCACTAATTCTTCGCCGTCAACGACATTTTTAGCAGTAACTCCAACACATTTTCCCCTCGGTAGCGATCTGAAAAAAAATACAATAATTAAAAAAAAGGAATTCAGATTAAAAGAATTAACTTACATGACTTTTACATTTTCGGACGCACAACAATTCTGTTTAAAAGCCTTTAAGGTAGCGCGGAGCGTACATTTAATTTGAAATGTATTTTCAACTTTATTAAAATATTGATGAATGAACTGATGAAAATATTTTGCAATACTTGTCAGCAACTGACAACGTTTTGAAGTGTTAAAGATTTCTAGGACTTCCTCTACTTGTTGTGTGGGCAAGGTTTTCGCATTCATAAGATCTTCAATAGTGTCAATTTCATATTTTTGTATGCATATGGAATATAGCCGATCAACAAACAAAAAAACTGGACTATTATTAGAAGAGTTCTCCTGCAATTCATTTTCGACCTCATCTAGACTGTCATGTACTTTATTATAACAATCTACGAAATCTGATATCGCATTTATTTCGTAGTAATTAAAGGCATTTGCGCTTATGCGGTCAATTGGCGTCGGCAGAGCACCACACTTTACGAATTCTTCATGAGTTTCATTCATGTCTTCTCCGGTTTTTGGATAGCAGAGTTCATCTCGTTGAGAATTCAACAGAACGTGGCCACCAAGCCGTAAAAGAATCGCGGCCATCACATTTATCATGTCGATTTTCTCTAAAGCCAGCAAATAAAAGTATTTATCTGTGAGGTCAGTGTCATTGTAAATAAAAACCGACAGACGGAATGCGGTTGATACAACTTCGAGATACTTCTCCTTGGCCAGCAGTTTGTAATCTGGCGAAGTGGCTAAAAATTCCCCGACAATATTGTATTTCTTATCCTCTTCCTGGGCATGCTCAAGTATAAAAATCCACGCGTCACGAGGGTCATTTACTACTCTGCTTGGGGGTAATAAGACTGTGATTATAAGTACTTCGATAATTTGTGCTTTACATACCCGCCTTCCATCGCAAAATCGACTAAAGCCGGAAGTATATATTCGCCTGATTCAAGAAACAATCGAAACAGTATCGAAGCCTCAAGCATAGGTATTACACCAATTCGATATCCATAACACTCATATTGGTGGACTTCCGAATCAGATTCCATGCACAACTTCGAACAGTAGGTTTTAAAACGACACTTATCACAGGTGTAGAGCAGTTCCTGATGCAATCCACACATTTCGCAGTTTATGAATGGAGAACTGAATTGAAAGTATATAGGATTCTCCACCAAAACTATTTCTCCTTTGGGGATGTCACTCGAAGCGAACACTCCGGCAGATTTTTCAATGGTTTTTTCGCTATAAAATAACATGTACTTAAAACTTTATAACAGAAAACTTTCTTTACTTACAAGTATTTACATGCTTTGCTGGCGAATGGTATTTTCCTGATAAGCTTATAGCCCTCAAAAGGCATTAGTGGGTTGCATTGAACTTTCTGGCTAAACTCAACATTTTTCCTAGCTTGGTTAATTTTCTCATCATATTGTTGTAATAGAGTCAGGAACATGGAAATTTCTATGAAATATGAATAGTTGCATTTAAAGCCTGTTACTTTGATGATATTATTTATGGCTCATATATTAACAAATTAATAATGAAAGTGCAGGTTTTATTAACAACAACAATTTTAGTTTCACTCACCACTTTTATCAGCTAATGGTGTTCGTTCTAGAAAATTCATGAATTAGTGAATTTACAAAAAAAAACCTAAAATATAGTAAATATTACCAATCATGTCCTTTAAGTAACTCAATTTAACCTGCGATGCTTTATATTCACGCTCCATATAGAGACATATGCAAAGAAGGATTTGTGAGACTATAGTTCCCTCTACTGTCTTGAGAGCTGGATCCAAAGACTCGTAATATAACAAGTCATTGCAAGCAATCTAGCAATAGGATTGTTAACAATATTCATCCAAGCTATTTAAAGATTACCTACGCCGTGCTGGTTACTTTTCATATACATCACAGCTCGGGCCAAAACCGCGTCTACGAATGTTGTAGTTCCACTGGGTGCACGGCAGATGATTTCGTCCAGGCTTTGGAAAGTCTGTATAAAAAGATTACAATACGAATAATCACTAAAAACAGGGTGCAAATACCTTCATCAACACATCAGAATTTTTCATATTCATACATTCCTTGGAAACATTAAGGGACATTTGAGCATTCTCCGAGAAGTCGTGAAAAACTGCATCGGTTTCCTTTCGCAAAACCTTCAAGAACAGCTCGCATTCTCTATTATTAGAATAAATGCAAATATTATATGTGATTGGATTGGTAAGTAGATGTCCTTATCCAGGATAATCAACATTTCGCAATATTGGCAACCCGGTAGACCAAATGGTGTTGATACTTACATCAGGTTGCGCGGACACATGACCCTGGACATCGTGACATATTCAGAGGCCTCGGGGCAAGGTCCTGACACCATATGCAATGGAATTCTATGCATATTTAGCAATTAATTAGCCGAAACCTCCAATAAATGCGTGTTTTTAAAGCTCTCGCGGTAAGAAGTGTGGCCGCATTGCGTAGTGACTGAAATCCATTCCCCTTCTGAGTGACGTTTAATTATTATTTTTTACTGTGGAAAAATATAAATATAATAATATAAATATAATTAATATAAATTTTAATAAAACTTGTTGGAACGTAAATATTCAATTTTTTAAGAAAGATAAGGGTTTATTATTTATTATAGTATTCCCTATTTCTTTAAACTGTAACTAATAAGGAAACCACCAAGCTTGTTAATAAACAATTTTAGTCACAAATTTGACAGTTACTGGTTTGTTCAGTTCAAAAATTGTCTGAAAATTTCATTAAAGTGTTTAAAGGTACAAAAGAGATTAAAAACATCTGCGATTTAGCATTTAAAGGCATTAGCATTTAATACGCTTATCTATTTGTTTTGATTTATTTAGTATTTTCTGCACTTTGCTAAATAAGGAACCAGTTCCACAATTGACCATCCCTAATATTTTAGCCAAGCATGGGAGATACCTTATTACTGGCTTGAAAGAATTGAAAATGGGTAAAACCTCGAAGGATAAACGTGATATATATTATCGGCAGGCCAAGGAGGAGGGCTGGAGGGCCAGGAGTGCTTTCAAGTTGCTCCACGTCGACGAAGCGTACGGCATACTGAAAGGTGCGAACTAAACGATTTTCAGTTTCCAACGTCTAAGTAAATGTATGTAATATCCTTTGAACCAGGAGTGCAGCGGGCCGTGGATCTTTGTGCCGCTCCTGGCAGCTGGTCCCAAGTGCTCTCACGGAAATTGTACGATCCTTGCCAAACGGATGACGAAAAGGCCGCCGTTAAGATCATTGCCGTGGATCTACAAGCCATGGCTCCTATCCGTGGTATAATCCAGCTCCAGGGAGACATCACAAAGCAGTCTACCGCGGAAGCCATCATCGGTCATTTCGGCGGAGATGAGAAGGCACAGCTGGTGGTCTGCGATGGAGCACCTGATGTCACTGGCGTCCACGAGATGGACGAGTACATGCAACACCAGTTGCTGGTGGCTGCGCTCAGTATTGCCACCTGTGTGCTGGAAACTGGCGGCACTTTTGTGGCCAAGATCTTTAAGGGCAACGCCACCTGGTTGCTCAGCTCCCAGATGCAGATATTCTTCAAGAAATTTGACATCTACAAGCCGCCGAGTTCCCGTCCCTCGAGCATCGAAGCGTTTGTGGTGTGTTCAGACTTCTGCCTGCCGGTCGGTTACATTCCGCAAGTGATCAATCCGGCACGAGATGATATCCGTCTGCTGGCGGAGAAAACAGGATCCGATGTCAACCGCCGGCTGGTTCCATTTATTGCTTGCGGAGATTTGGGCGGACTAAGTGATCCTGATGAGGTAAAATCTACCTCTTCAGAAGAACCAAACTCGGTAAGCTATTTGATCATAATCTTCTGCCATCATTTCTTTTAATACTCGTATCTTGCAGGACGTGCAATATGTTTACGATGCTGTTATGAACGATGCATCATATCCATTGGAATTCAAGGAAATCTTAAAGGAAGTCTATGATGAACAATTGCAAATCAGCTAAATGTCTCTGAAATAAAACTTAAGGAAACTATTTAATTTTATGTTTTGGGAGCATGAAGAATTGAAAGAAAGAAGTGATAATATTAGGCAACATTTTAATGGAATACTTAGTTTATTTAATGATAAGGGTATTAAGACTACCTTTGTTATTAGTTTATTGTGTGTGAATCCCGTCATTTCAGCGACAACTTCCGCTGCTCGATTTCCAAGAGTTTCTTTTTTATTTCTATTTTTTCGGCCATCAGTTGTTCCATGGCGAGGTGGTGGCGCTTGTCCTCGTACAGCTTCTGTTTGTACAGGACGAAAAACTCATTAAGAGCGAGATGAGCGCTGTTGGCTGCATCATGGACCATGCCAATGTTATTGCTGATCTTCTCCAGCAACGTGGTGTCCTCATCCGCCACTCGACTGCTGGCCAATGCGGCCCTCTTGCTTGACTGCAGGTAAAGGGGGTCTATGTCTACTTTGCTCTCATCCGGCTCGTAAACGTACTCGGTGGAGGTCTGAAGGGCGCCACTATCGTCCTCTGGGACTACGTCTTCCACATCGTCCACGTCGAACTCGTTTGTGGAATTCTCATGCATTTCGTCGTCGGAAACCTTCATGATTATTTGACTAACATCTTCGTTGAGGCGGCACAATGTGGCTATCGTTTCCTCCGACGAACTGAGACTGGTGCCGAATGGTACGTTGTGCAACTCATTCTTCTCCACCTTCTTCAGGATAAACCTTTTCCAGTCCTTTAGCGCCTTTAATTACAAAATAACAAAATCCTATTAAATGAGAAATAGGAGGAAAGGTAATTTTACCTACCCTTTTCCAGGTGGCCACATCCTTTCGCGGCGGCCCATGACGATTAAGGTCGGAGGTCAACTGCTCCCACAGCGACTCAAGGTTGTTCCGGGTCTCCCACGTCGGATTCTGCAACAGGCGCGGATGCTTCTTAACAAAGTCCAGCATGATAACCTCCTGCGCCGAGTTTCGAGGCTTCCCCTTGTTCCTATCCATGGCACTACTGCCTTGGCTATGGATTTTGTACCTGTCATTTTGCAGCGCCGACGTTGGATGCATTCTGTTCATATGTTTGCTTAAATTTGTGGTGGTCGTCTTGTAGGACAGCTTCGCCTTGCAGATGTTGCAGAGCGCAAACGTGTCGTCCACGGCCCGGAAAAAGCACCAAATCTCGCTCGTCTTCCGTTTCATTTTGGAATTTAACTGGTTAAATAAGTTATTGTTGAAAAGAAACTCGGCGTTGCGTCCGAAGAGACAACTCAAGGAACCAGTAATTTAGAGATGCGCAGGCGGCAGCTGGTTCTCCACTCCGGAACTAGTTTAAAATATCGTTTGCGATTAAGAGGGGTATTAGCTAATTTTAATTGAAAATCAAACATATATAGAAATAAGAAAGGCAAATTAAACTAAGAAGATTTCTAGGGTGTCCTTTTATATTTAATTAAGTTAAGTTAGGATTCGTTTTATATCAAGGCCACCCATTTTCAACAGAACTTTTCAGGTTAGTAATACCCGTCGTACAATGAAACTGAAACTTAAAACGGAATCCGCCTGATCATTAAATAAGACGAGTGGAAAAATTTGAAGTCCCTAGCTTATAAAATGAGCTTGTAAAGTGCATCAGAAGGACTTTGAAAAATTTTCCAGTTCTGCGTTACAAACATAACAAAAAAATTTAATTTTCTCTGAAAAGAGAAATTCATTTATTTTTATTCACACAAAGTTGCAAATCGCGCCGATATTGGACTCCGATATTAGCGCATGAAGTGAATCGAGTAACAATCGATACCACATATCGATGCTTGGCTACCCAACCACCCACGCCGCCCTGGTCACACTGGTGAGGTGACAACTTGTCACTGACAAGTCATGATAATTTTTTGTAAAGCAATAGTTTTATCGCCATGGATGACTCGTTTTTCAGCTTTGACACAAATCTACCGGTAAGCAATGATCGTGGTTCCGCGGCATTAACATTCAGGAAAGCAGGGCCGCAGTCGGTGCGGCAAATGCGCAACGCACACTTTATCTTTTCACTCGGCAAAGAAGGGGGCATCGAAGGCCACCGGGGGCAGCAAAATGTACGGATGTCTAATTTACGTGCATTGATTGTTTTCCCAGGACGATGAAGGTGGCGATGGACGTATCGGAGAGGCGGAGTACGATGCCCTCAATGACGAAACCTTCGGATCGGCGATAAATGGCGACTGGGAGGAGGCCCACGAGACGATGGTGCGGCTGGGCGGGAATGGCGAGAGGGTGCGCAAGCGGCCAGCGGAATCCACCGGTGGCACGGACTTTGCCGAACACGGCAACGGTGCCTTCTTGCGACACGGAAATCCGCTCTCCTCGGCGCCCTCGTCCAGCGGCTCCACTCCGGCCCCGTTTAATGCCCCATTCCGGCAGTCGCGACACATCGGCGACTCGGACTTAGAGCTGAACCTCTCCTCGATGAAGCTGGACGACATGGACCTGTCTACGTTTGCAGACAGTGAGGCCGGCGGCCTGACGAACCGAATCAACTTGGACTCGGGCGTCTGGGGCTCGCAGCCGTTCCCCAACAACCAACCCCTGTTCCGCGAACCAATGCGCAGCGCATTCAAACCGCAGCAGCAGCAACCACAGCACCACCACCAGATGAAGCCCCCGCCGGAGGCAAATGCCAACTTTCCACTGCATCACATGCCTCCACAGGCTGGCCCAAAGATCACCACCCTCGAGGACATAGAACGCAATATGATCATCCAGCAATCAATGCCCAAACAGCAGCAGCAAAATCAGCAGCAGGCAGAGCGAAAGATGTTCGACGACTTCACCCTGGGAAACAGGCAGCATGTGGCCACACCAACCATGTTGCACCAACAGCAGTTGCAACAGCAGCAACTCCAGCAACTTCAGCTACAGCAGAAACAACAATCGCAGCACCAGCCGCAGCAACAAGCGCAGCACAAGGGTAAGCATATCCATCTGAAAGTAAGGTTTTTTTTTAAATTTTGAAACAAATTTAGTGAGTGATATTTATTTTATGAACCACCTTTCTTTATTAATACCCTAATATATACTTGTACAAAAACCATTTTGTTTTATGTTGATTAACACTGCTTAGAATTTTAAGCTTCGAAATCAGCTGAACCAAGATTAAAATACTTTAAATAGAAAGCTGTAAGATAACATAAAAGTCAACCGTTAATTGAGTTAAAGATAATAGAGATTACGTTATCTCAAAGTCAAGTGTCTAATCAAAGTTTTCAAAGGTTTACATTTCGGTAGGTGTCTTTAAGAAAACGTAAGAAGTTCAAACCTAACTAAAAGAGATTTCCAATACAATAGAAACTGACACTATGACACCACTCATTACAGCACCCCCTGGTTTTATGGGAACGCCGCAGACCTCTCCACCCAGGCCAAATTTGGGTTTTCCCGGTCCCCATCCTCTGCCCGAGCTACTGCCCACACCGCCGTCGCAGCAACAACTGAACGGCATGGGTGGCAACAGAGTGCCGCCGGGGTTTATTTACCCGCCAGGTCTGGCGGGGAATATGCCACCACTGCCGCAGCACCCGCTCATGCCGCAGCACATGCCGCCTAACTTTCCACTGGCCGGCGGTAATCAGCGCCCACTACCCAATCCTCACGCCCTGCCCACGGCTCTGAACAACTTTGCCATGCATCCTAGTTTTAATGCGATGCGCGCCGCTGGCCTGCATCCGGCTGCCTTTATGCAACCGCCCCATCCGCACCAGATGCAGCCACCTCGAATGCCACCGCATCCCTTGCAATCGGCCACAAGTCTACTCGGCCAGCAGCCGAACTCCATGTACAACATGTTCAACATGCGGCTTGTGCAGGAGATCCAGCAAAACCATCCGCTGCTCCAGCAAGCTGCTGTGGCGCGCCAGATGCAGCAAAGCAGGGCGGGTTCGGTGGCCAGCGATCGTCAGAAGTCGCAGATGCAACAGCAGCAGCAGCAAATAGGACGACGTCCGGACGGCACAGGGAATTACCCATTAGATGAATACGACGAGTATGCCAACCTGATGAGCACGCGCGATAAGCACTGGCTAATCGGAATCCAGCTGTCGCAGCTAAACACGGACACTCCGTACATCGACGACTACTATTACACAGTGTTCAGGGAGCGCAAGGCCCAGCAAAACGGGCAGATGCGCAACAGCCAGGCGCACAAGGACAACCAGCTGAACCATCCGCTCACGCAGCCCCGCGGCCATGCGCAGCTCATTCTCGTGCAGTTGGGCAACAAAAATGGCACTCGAAATGGCCACGGACGAGAGCGCCGCAATTCGGAGAACGCCAACAGCACGGCAGGCAGCACAAACAATGGATCGAGTGGAATCGGTGGCAACAATAACAACCTGACGGGCTATATATTCTCGCCTCTGAAGTTCGAGAACTCGCTGGGAAAGCTGCAGTACGGCAGTGTGACAGCGCCGCGGAAAATCATCGATGCTGACATTATGAGCGGCGAGTCGAATTCCGGGGCAGATGCCAACGCGACTTCCTCCTCCACGAGTTCGACTCCGTTGCCTCCATCAGCTAGCCATGATGTCAATCCCAGCAGCATGCGCAAGTCCCGTCATATTCTGCTTCTGATCGAGACGCTGTACCGCTATCTTCTGAAGTTGGAGGATCTGGAGAGCCCCGATGTCATGGCCACTATCGAGCTTAAAAAGAAGAAAGAGGCCGAGCGCATCGCGGCCCTCGAACAGCTGGAGATGGCCAACAAAACGCCCGAGGAGCGGGCCGCCGAAGCCGCCAATCCGCAGACCATGAATCCGCAGCTGAAGAACAAGTTTAACTATGAGGTCGAGACGAACGCCGCACTGGTGAATAAGTTGAAAGCGGGACTGGCATTTGACAAGGTCGTGTCCATGATGAATGTACGCAAGGGAAAGGTGAGTTGAATGCCGTACATATATATTTTTAAATACAAATAATGGTGAAGAAACTCTATATGCTAACTTGGCAAAAACAGGAAATAGTTTTGATTTTATAAATTTTAATAAACCTACTAATATATCATGAACTGAAGGTCGTTTAAAATCTATTCTATACTTTTGTAAATGAATGGAACTACTTTGATTTTTGTGAAAACCCGGTATATAATTACAGATGAAACTAAAAGATTTTTTTTCACTTGCAGATTCTCCTACGCCGCATTATGCCCTTTATTGAGAATCAAAGCATTCGGTGGACTGTTTGGAGTGGAGTTTTCTGTTCCCTGCAGACTGTGGTGAAGAAGGACAAGGACGATGTTGAAGGAGTCTTGTATGCGCTTTACCCAGAGTTCAAGAAACACTTAAACAAAGCTAGTTTCGATATCCTAGTGAGCATTTCAGCTGGCATTACGCTGAACGACAAAAAACTGACTGGAATTTTCTGCAGTCGCGTATGTACTCCTTTATTCCAAGTAATAGGCCAACCCACTAATAATAACACTTACAGTTTGGCATCCTATCCCTGGTTGCTCTGATACTTCGCGCCGAGGAAATATACGTTTCACGAACTGACGCAACTCTTAGCGAGGAAAACAGGCAAAAGTGGCGTGAGTTTCTGGCACAGGTTGCATCCTGCCTAAACCGCACTATTCAGAACCAGACCATCTCGGCCGCCATTGAGTCGGATGCGATTCATCCGCTTATGGACCACTTCGAACGGTTTAAAGATCTTAAACTGGATGCGCTTTTAGCATTAATAACTGAGGCCAGGCATCAAATTGACTAGGTTGCTTTGCAAGACTTTCATTTCACTTGATCAAGGCGTTTCAGATAAATGTGAAATTATGTAGCAGAGTTCATTGCTTTACTCAATTACGCATATGTTTGTATAAATTATGTATCCAATACTTACATATGTACGACCGTGTTTACTTTTACGCATACTACACAAAAAATATTGCTACAGGGTATACAAATCTCACACTTAATTGAGAAGTACTCAACCGTCAATAAATTTTGATAATAGTTTGTTAGAAACGTTCTTTTATCCAAATTATGTGCACTGTACAAGAGAGATAGAGAAAGAGAGGAGAACATGTTTTATAAATAAAATATCGAATGGTAGGTTTTGCTCATTGTACATACTTATATCATTTCGTATTTGATAAGGAGTACTTCTTCGGCATTTTCTGTAGAGATTTAAACAAATAATCCACCCTATAATGTGTAAATGAACATTTTGGTCATTTTCATTTTTTTTTTCTCATTGAATTGGGCTTTCACTGTAACTTGTACCCCTATTAGAAAGGAAATATAATATCTACGTTTACAATTTTAAAGCACCGATATATATGCGCGATTATTGCATACTCATTTAAACGTGCAACCATAAATAGCTACTTATTTTCTGGTATTTGTAAATATCGGTTTTATGAAATTTCTACTATAATACATTTTGGGTTTTATTAAATCAAATTTGTGCAAGACCCATTAAATATAATCGAGACATTCAGCATAAATGTGTACTAAATAATTAGCATTGTGAAAAGTTCAGCCGAAATCGTGTTTATTAAAACAGAATGATCAAAATTGTGATACATTTTGACTTTTAAACATAAACAAAAATACGAAGTTTGGAAAGAATATGTTAAACACACAAACAAATTTGAAATTAGAAAAACTGTAACTTTCATAATACTTCTGTAACACAACGGAGAGATATTTGTTGTAAGAATCCGTTGTGATGCATTTTAATTTTATTTCGTTTTTAATTTTATCGACACTATCATTTCAATTTTGTTTTAAGTGACTTTTTAATTAAATTCATGTTTTGTATCTAAAAGAAATTAGCACTTGGTTGCCAAATTTTTACATCCAATTCAAAAACTCGCTTTTTAAGCAAGCAAGAGTCAAAATACGATAGCTGTTTAAGAATGTAAACGCATATACAAAAATTATTGTAGACTAATTTGTATTTATCGCAAGAAAACACTTCAAACATTAAACAAAAATATGTTGGCAGATTAAAAAGAAAAATTTTAAAATTTATAATTTCAAGGAGTATAATAAATAAAACATACCATTTCACAGAACACACCGAAATAATATCAAAGTTTTTCTTTGGGCAGAAAATCTTTAAAAATCTTTTACAAAGAAAATGTATTTAAGCATACAAATCTTCAGACTACTATGAAAGCGGAATTTATTTTATATTTATTTTTTTATTTAAGCTGATTTATTCGTTAGATCTATAGACATTTGGCAATCTTAATATACAGTTAATCAATTTGAGTACAAATTCATTTTCTTGTGTGCCCCAATATTTATTTGTTTAAATGATTTTATATTTCATCTTTTGAATTTTCCGGATTATGACATGACATGGTACTGGGGAGATATATTAAAGATTCAATTGGATCAATTATATTTGTAATGACAATTATTTTTACATAAATATATATGAATGTACATCGCATTAACATCAATGGAGCGGTGACAGACCGTGTTTTGTGTCTGTCTGTCTGTTTTGTTTTTGGCGCAGAATCAAGCGTCGAAGTGTCGGCAGTTGCCTGTCCGTAAGGGACATTTTGTTGTGCGGAGGCGCCAAAGTGCGTAACAAGTGGCGGCGGCGCGCTCGGGAATTGTTGCAAATTTCTGAGTCGGCGACGCCAACCACTGGCGACGGTCACCAAGACGACAACTTGTCGGCAATAGTTCGCCCAGCGCGAAGGGATGCGAAGTGAAGCCCACGCATTCCCACCCCTCCGCCGCCAGTGAGCATTCAGTGCACTTGGAGAAATAATATATCTGAAATTCTTGAGATGCTTAAATATTTTATTATTATTATTTAGCGCAGGGTAGGAAAACCCGAAGACAAACAAACAATTTGGTGCTAAATATATTTTCCATTTAAAGTAAGATTAAGTGGAAGAATGGGGCTAACCCGACCCCACCTATTACTTTCTTAAATCATACAATTCTCGCACAGCCTATACAGGGACATATAAATAAATTACGTATTATCTATGATAATACTCTTATCTACCTGTGATTCAAATTTGTATTTTAAATTTCTTGGCTTTAAAAGAAAAGTTGAATTTTTTTATTTTATATTATTTTATTTCTAATATGCTAAATAAATATGATAAGCCATGTCTTAATTGTGTTAGTTTAAAATCGAATATAACATCTCCGAATCACAAATATATTTCAAAGTAGATGTATATCCAACAAAACAGTAGGGTTACGAAATAATGGATTTCAAAGTGTAAAAACGATACCTCTCAAAAAAATATATCATTTGGAAATATATGTTTATAATCTCTTATTCGTAGATTATGAGGTTAATATTTGACTGTTTACAAGACCTTAAAACCTCTACCGTATACGGGGACAATATGGTTTTTCGATTTCTACAAATTTTATTTTAATTAAGGAAGCAACATATTTTTAACATGTAAGTAATTAAAGGGAATAACAAGGCAATGGACCAAAGCGTCCCTTGGCGCCAAAAGTACAGACTTTCCCCAAATTTCAATCATTTTTCCGAGTGCACCCAAAGGCTAGACTTAGACAGACGATTGTGGCGACCAGTCGCCGTCGTTGCTTCTTCGGCGACAGCGAGAATGGCACGACGACAGCCGCGACAGGACTCTGCCGCTGCCGTGGAGCGGAGCAGACAGTGCCGCAGTTCTGGGCAGGACCAGGACACAGCGGATGCGGATACGCAGAACTTTGATTTGCGAACGGGCCAAGTGTGCGCCACTGGGCGCCGCTATTATTGCCACTGCCACTATTGGCGCCCCAAACGCCGCTGCTCTCACAATTAGATGCGAAAATAGCCGGCGCGTCGATGATGACGAGTTATTGTCGCGTCTATCTGGTCGTTGTTTTTGTTGACGACACCACGATTGGTTCGGGGGAAGGGGGTTTGAGGGGATCTTTTTTACACTATTACCAATGAACCCGAATAATTGGTGGTGAATGTGGAATTAACTGATCCTGTTAGATTTTCATCTGTTTTCTGCAAAATGTTGAGTTAGCTTCACTCTTAATATTAACAGTCATTTGAGGTAAGCTACATTGTATTTAGGTAAATCACTCATACGTAGTGTTGTCAGTGGTCGCCTTTTTGTTACGATTTTTCTCTACCTACCTCTATGCTGCAATAGCATTCACATTAAAATAATTGCATTTAAATACTTACCATATAACATTACAAAAATATTTTCTAAGTCGGTTCATACATATTCCTTTTAGGGAATATGTAATGTTGCAAGCTTAGACGATCACTAAGTTACAATTTCTTTTAATTCAATTTGCTAAGAAATGAAATTTTAATTTTAAAAGTAAATTAATGTATTTTAAACATTTCTTGACGGATTTGGTTATCATCATACATTTCCATGATCAGCTTTTTCCAACTAACTCAGGCTCCGACCTCGTTACATATAATTTAACTACTTAATTACCGGTTAATGAGTGTCGGTGCTTTGATTTCTCCTCTGGTTGCCAATGGGTCGACGGGGTCGTGCAAACTTTCCCATCGGAGTGTCTGCGTCTAGGGCTCGCTGTGCGGTTTAGGCCAACTTGGGCCGCCAGTCGCCATCGTCGCCGTCGCTGGCAGCCAACATTTGAAAAACGAAATGACGCGCAGATAGGTTTCAGCTTAGACACCATTGCGACTAGACCAGAAGCCTAGTGACGCCAACTAAAAATTTATGTACTTACTCCGTCGTGTTTTTTTGCAGTCCCTCAATTTCTTTCAATTTAATAGGATTTCTTATTCTTGTTAATAATGGACATGTTCATGGATTATTCAAGATAAGAATGAGTAGATTGCTAAGATCTTAATTAATTTTTGACATATTGTGGCTAATTATTCTGTTATTTAGACATTTTTAGATTAGTTTGTTTTTATTTAGATTATATTAAAACCTGATTATAAATGTGAAGTCATTTGCTACTCTAATAATATTAATTACAAAATTATTTTAATGAGTGGAAATTGAAGTTCTTTAAATATGAGGTTAAAAAATTCGAATTAGCTAATACAAAATAAATGAATAATTACAAAAATATTTGAACTTATGAAAGAACTCCATGTCAAATAGCCGTTGGATCTGGTAGCCAAAAACCAAAACAAACAAAAACCAAAACATCTAATGTGCCCGCCACAAAAAAAAGGACGGAAAAGACAATAAACTCGAATATCCACAGCGACATACATCTGCATACAAGTGCCAGTTTGGTGCATGAATGGCTGGCGAGGGTCTGACAATGAGTCAGAAGGGCGAAGGATGAAGGACGAGTGGCGTCGGCGTCCAAGGAGGACTCGTAAGCTCGATTCAGTTTCAGACGGCGGCGGCGACGGCGCCTTGTCCAATGAGTCTTCCTTGCCGGGCGGCGCAGGAGTCCCCAGTGCGCACCATACGCGTGGACCCGAGTCCTCGCCTATAAAAGCGCGAGTCCTGCTACCGCCGGCGCTTAGTTGGCTTAGAAATGTGCCACAGGACACGTCCGCCCAAATCGCGTCTGTCAAATGTAAACGCGCGCCATCCAAAACAAACTTTCAAAAATAACCCTTTACATACAGTTGCAAATAAGCCAGGATATGCACAAAAATCCAGGAGGTAAGCTGCAGAACACCAGCCAACCAATCAAATTAGTCAAAAGGATATAGTAAAAAAGTGAATTTTAATTTTTGTTAAAACTGCATCAAGTGCAAAGTTCTCCAAGGATTGAGTGACAACATTTAAATTGAATTTAAAAGTTTTACTATTAATTAATTTAAATTGGATAAGCCATTAATGAAAGATTGAGAAAGAGAAATAAAATAGTAATAAAATGTCATTAAAATAACATTTTCTAAACACTTTCCTTTTTCGAGCTTTAATAAAAAATGTAACGTTCAGAAAAGAAACAAGAAAAAAAGTTTAAAAAATGTTTGTTTAAAAATAAAACCAATAAGAGATATACCCTAATTAAATTTATCTGGAACATCAAGACTCTTGGAACTTAAACCTTAATAATTAAAACTGGAAGTAGGTTACTAGAGAATTTCTGATTTATTCGACATGAAGTTTTATAGTCATAATTTTAAGTACGTATTTTTAAGAAAATATGTTGTATATAATATGTTGTATTTATGTTTATGTCTTTATTTACATTAAAACAAAGACCGCTGATCAAAATTAACAGGTAAGTCGATTTGACTTCCAAGAGCACAAGGGCCAAACAAATTCTTCCAACTTCAAAGGACACACGCTACTCAGATTTATCTTCTTTGAATGAACTCTCGAAAATTAGCTTATGAAACTCAAAACCAAGGGTAAAAGAGATGACAGTGGGAATATCAATGAATAAAAAAAGACAGGAACTCGTTAAGGGGCAAACAAATCTCAAAGAATTGCACAGGATAAGAAGATGATGGAACGATGCTAAACTGGTTTTCAGCTCAGCCAGGAATTTCGTCAGCTTCAGGGTTTCAGAAGAAGTCTGCTGCTGATAGCGGATTGCAGCAGATTCGCAAAGAATGCGAGTGAAGAGTTCTCAAGGATGAATGACCACCCAAGTGGGCTCCTGTCAACTGAACAATCATTCAGACATAACAGATGGGCAGAAGATCAAGTACTATTACAGCTTATTAACTTAATCTGAGAAGAATGTGGGAAATTTTTAAATGAAGTATAAAAGGTCTTGACCTTCTTTTTAGATCAACTGCTTTTTAGAGATGATGTTTCGCTAGCAGCCACCCAACTTCCGAGAATTCTTCAGATAGCGAATTAGGAAAACATTTTGAATGGACCAAATTCCACATTTTTTGTCGGCATTTAAAAAGGCAGAATCGGAAACCCGATACTTTCCCAACATGCCAACGCGTAAACAGCCGAGCGAGTTAAGATTTCATAGATGACCATCTACTATATCACTGAAACTATATACCATACCTCTTCCCACACACAATACACATATTTATGCAAATCCAAATTGTGCATTTGTTCATAGGAGATGACGTCAGTTTTATACAGGTACATTTTTGTTATACGCACGTGTAAATCAATACCACATCTGCGAAAAAGGAGATAGATTTAAGTTCAATCAGAGTAATCAGGATGTTTACTTATCTATATCGTAAAATAATTAGTTCAACAATTCACATTCGGCGTCACTTTGGAGGTATTTAAACGAGATTAATCGACGATCGTATTTCAAGTCGCTCACTAAAAAGATAAAACTAGTTTCTTAGTATTGGGTTTATATTCGTATAAGTCTGATTATTTATTTATAAAGAGAAGGTCAAATTATAAAGCCCAATTAATTAACAAAGCTATCCTTAAAATTCTTTCATATAAGATTTAAGATCTCTCTTCGTAGTTTTTATTTTCTAAGGAAGAAGTTAAGTATAACAAAGGGACTGCTTAATAATTGAGGCTCCTTAAATAAGATGCGTTTTGGGACGACACTGGTTGCTGTCTTATTATTTGTTTAGCATTTGCGGAATGTCTTCTGCCGCATCCGAAAATAATGTATTCAAACCCCTGCTGTCCTTTCCCGGCGTAATACCCCTCCACAAGTCAGGGCCCGACTCTCGCTTATTTAACGCTCACGACGCGATCAAATTCCTCCTGCCAACATCGGCATCGGCGGTTGCCGGTTCCACTCCACAAGTGGCCTGTGTTCCCTGTTCCCGACCTGTTATTATCGTAATGACGGGAGCCTATTTGCTTTTGTGTTTTCGAGTCGTCCAAACGAGAGACAATTATGTATTTCTGCTGGAACTGACGAGCCTGGGTTCCTGCTGGAGCGTCTGCTCGGCACTGAAGGAAATAATGCTCTCGTTCTTTAGACAGATTACCTATTTTTGGACAGGTGAATTTTATCAAAAAGAAACCAAGAACCGTTAATAACTTTTGTTTATTCATACCAGCTGCTTTCCTCACAGGATAATACAACACAATTGCCTATTAATAACTGTAACCTTACAAAAATAATTTTGTTAACCCGAATTTATAAAATCTTACTTTAAAAAGTTTTGCTTCGGAAAAGTAATTCTGTACTATGTATAATAATTAATATTAATACAAAAACGACTTTTCTCTTAGTGTGGGCCTCGATCCTCGCTGCGCCGTTTCGAGAGTGTCTGTGTGTGTAGGCACGCTGCAGGGGCGCCAGTTCTTATGGGTGTGTGTTTGTCCGTATGTTTGGGCAGACATGGGCAAGGCAATTGCAACTGATATGCCCTTGATCACAACCATTCATCACATTTTGCGGCAACGAAGACCAGACCGCGCTAAATGTCGATGTCGATGTTGCTTCCTCAGGTTCTCCGCTCTCGATTGCATCGAGGGAGTTACGTTTTTTTAGCAACATAAACTGACGTATTATTGTAGTTAAAGAAAATTTAAGTTGGGCCAAAAAATTTAGAATTTTTGCCCTCAAGTAATTTTGTAAAAAAATGTATTTATAACCAAAGAAATTAAACAATTTTGTATCTACAGCGCTAAAAAAAAAAGTTTGTCAATTTCAGTGAATTTAAATTATCTGTTGTATTATGTTCAAAAACTACAAAATATTTAGTTTGTTTGAGAGTATTCAGTGTTGTTATACTTTCAACAACTAAAAACCCAGGCTTATCAAATTTGAATGGCTTTGAAAATGACCGCGTTTGTCAACACTAATTCCAACGGCACTGCCAGCTACAAAAGAAAGAGAGGTAGAGAATGCGAGTGTGGGTGTGCGTGCGCAGGTTGTATCTGTGTGACAGAGAGGCACTAAACTCACCACGCCATTCATCGGATTACTCTCCGCTCAGTGCGGATTATTTGGTTCTGCGCTCGAAATAGGGATGCCAATATTTTGAAGATATCGTAACGTTGAATTCTCATTTTTTTTTAATATTCTTTAAATGTTTAATTTTTTTGGTGAAAATTTAAGTTGAACCAAATAATTATTTCCAAATCCTGTTACTGGATATTCCTTATATAGAGCATGCCTCTCAGTCTGTCTCTTTTTGCGCTCGCTCTCTCCACCTATTGACAGTATGTTGGTAACCCAACGTCCAAGTTATTCCCCACAGCTCCAAAGGCTGGCAATCCATACAGTTCCGAGCGCTGCGCTTCGCTCATTGCCCCACAATTTTTCATCCGCGCCGCTTGTGTTTCGTTCGCCGTTCGAAAAATCCGAAAGATATCAACAAAAAGATGGATACTTGACGTATGGCTACAAGAAATATTCCGAAATAATGATATTTGTGCTCGGGACTGCTAAGCGATTTATTGGATAATCGAATGACAACACTACGCAGTGCAGGAAACTCGGACTTTGTCGCCCTTTGCGTTTCTTTTCGCAACGGCTACGGGCATTTTGTTGTAAACGCGGGCGTAAACAAAAAAGCAAGTGCAGTGGGAGTTGTTGTACGCTCCAGAACTCAAAAGTGAAGGAGGAAATAGAAAAAGTGTGAGTGCGGGGCGAATCATACGAAGTGAAAATCGAAGGGGATTGGAAATCGTTAGCGAAAATCTATTTTTTTGCTGTTATGAATTCTATGCATATGCCTGTGTTTGTGTGCGAAGAAAGAGCGAGAATTCTGCGCCCGGCTTTTCCTTCGGATAACGGATCTTCGATCTCGATTGGAGATTGTGCGCGGGTGCTTGCGCAAATTAAAAATCAATAAAAATCTGGGGAAAGGCAGGGAAAATAATAAAACCATATGCGAGTGTATTTAAACTTTAACTAGGCAAGGCTAGTAACCGAAAGAAATGCAATTGTTTGCCAGCCACGTACACACATTGTACCTGCACTCAACCATACAATCAAACATATGTATATGTATATAGCTGCGGCAGCGACGCCGACAGAATCGAAGCAAAGCGCAAATCGCCAGCCAACAAAAAACACCTTTTCCACCACGTTGAATTGTTATTGTTTTTCGGCTACTTCAACATAATATTCAACCGAAATCAACACATTACTCGCACCTTATTAAATCCGCACAAACGTACATATGCATAGCGAAAAGTGACTGACCAAGAAAAAGAGAAAAAGACGACTGCGATTACCAATCCAATACCAAAAACCCGTCGGCACGTGTTAAACAAATTAAATTTCGTTGTGCAATATTAATGATTTATTTCTTCTGCAGTTAATGTAATATACAAAATACAAAGTGAACTTCTAAACATATCAAATACAAATTTCACATATCATCTACAATTATTACTATAAAAGGAAAGGATAAAACGGATACCGCTTGTAAAATATTATTGAAGCAGTAAGTACTCACATAAACATTTTACAATTTTTAAAGTCAGTCATTTTTAAAGCGTTGTGCTCGTGATTATGCAAAAATGGGTCAGATAGTTAAAAAAATATATCTTAGCAAACAAATGTTTGGTAGTGAAGTATATTTGTTTGGAGACAAGATTTTCTAATTTTCTAAAGTACCTTTAATATTATTATTTAAAAATTATATTCAATTTCACTAATATCGAAAAAAATTAATCATTCAATTCATGCTTAAAGAACTCATAAACTCTTAGGATGTAAGATACCAATCAGTCGTTAGATTTTTTTCTTTATTTTAAATTTCAAAATAAGTTGGTTTTTGTAAAATGAAAAGATTATAAATTGAAATTGGGAAATATGTTTATCTGCTAAGTGTACAATCCTATTATTATAGAGCGTGCTGTACAACTCAGTTATCAATTTCGCTAGTTTTTAAAGTTCCCCTCATAAATTTTATTTAGTTAGTTTAATACATATCTTATAATCGAGGTGCAAGTATATGTATGTTACCAAATCGTGAACTTTATCTATCTATTGTTTCCAATTGGACTTCCAATTAGTCATTCGTTATCAGAATGTTCATAGGTACATATGTAATGCTTAAATTTGTTAATGGGAATTTGCACAAGAACAATAATTTAGCGGTATAGAATAAGAAATGTTGAATATGGATATGTCATCTATGGCGTTCAAATTGTCCCCTAAGCAATGACTTTTATTTTTGGTTTTCGACGCTTTAAATACAAAGAAAAAATATTTTTTGAAAAAAAAAACTTGTAAGATTTACAAATTTTATCTTTTGGTAATTGTAATGAATTCTACTGAAGCATTCATGTTCTAATTAATTAAAACTTTCAAAAATTCTCGGAAATTTTAAAATATGTTGGTTATATATTTGGCATGAGGAGATTAAAGAAAGTCTTTGAGATCTTTTGAAAATCAAAAGTTGCCGACTTTCTGAGTTTTTCATATTTCATTTCCTATTCCCACCACACACCAACACATGGCGGTGAGTTCTCTCGCTCGGGGCCTCTCTTCTGACCACGGCTACGGTAGATTATTCCATACTCACCTCAACCTTAAATTGTTGATTCTTCAACTTGTCAAACCGGCTGACAAACCGACCGTCGCTCGTCCGTGTCTGTCTGATGTGAGCTTATATTGGTGTGGCGCCATTCCGACGACGCCTCTGCCGCCGACATCGTTACTATTATTTCTTTTATTACGTCAGTGGCGCCAAGCGCTTCCGTCTCGCTCGCACGCCCGCCGCCCTGCCTTTTTTTACTCTGCACGCAAGCATTCTGTAAGCATGTGTGAGTGAGTGAGCGCGTGTGTTGGTGAGCGTGTTTGTGGGGCTGACTCGTAATTTTGTTGCTGTTCGCTGGTGCCGTTGTTGTTCCTGTTGTTTTTGTTGTTGCCGTCATGCCGGCGGCGCCACTTTTGTCGTCGATAAGAGGAGCGCAAGAAATGCCAGCAACAAAATGGAAATGCTCGCATGGGCCACACACACAGACACATTTGGGCTGTTAATTTGCGGCGCTCCTCGCTCTGTACCCCTTCCCCTGCAGCCGCTGTCTCTTGCCCCAACTCTCGCCGTCTCCTTCCCACCGACAGCTGATGCTGCCGCACAGATCTTTTGCATATGCACTGGCGTCGTCTGTCCGTCCGTGGAAGGGGCAGGGGCGACGTGGAGCGGGGGCATTACTCACTCAAGCGATCAGCAAGCAGATTCCTTGTCTGCCACCAAGGGCGTTGTCTGGAAAGCGAAGAAGGGGGCAACGTAGTACTAACCAAAAATATGTTTCATATAGTAAAAAAAAAAACTTAGACTAAACATTTTCTTTCGTATAATCTCAACCCATATAGCATATTTTTAAAAGGATTCGACCAGTTAAAAACACCTTCAAAAAGTAGGCAATGATTTTTACAGGGGAAAGTGTGTTATTTTTGGTAGGACACACGTCCAAAAGATCTCACTACATATTCACAAATAAATATTTTTTAAGGATACCAATATTTCATTAAAGAAATGCTTGTAATATTTTTTTATTTTGGTATGTCTAAATTATTCATCACTTTAGCAAAAATGTTTACCATATCTGACAGTTAAATAATGGTTTACTCAAGTAAAGAGTTGCATTCATTAAACCTCAAGAAACAATACTTCAAGCAGCAATTTCCAGAGCTGTTTAAATACGTAAATTATGGTATTTATCATTTCAATATATTTTTTAAACAAAAATAGAATTTGGCACATATGTACATATCTTTAGGAAGGCTAGTATTTTTTTCATTTAAAATCTTTTATTGGTAAAAAAATATTGCAAATGTTTACAATTTAAAAGATCGTATGTTTTTCTCTTGTTATTTAAAGTACTTCTTTGTAAAATACAAATAATTAATTTGAACCCTTGGCCCCCTCTTAGCTCCAACTCTGCTTGGCATAAACACGAGTGCATTTAACGATGCTGGAAAGTCCAATTAGGCCAGTGACTAATCAACATACTTCTCTTTTATTGCAGAGTGTTCACCACTGGACAATACATATCAAAAACGTCGAAAACATATCAAAGCCAACGAGTGATACGAGGAGTTATAAACAGTTTAACACGTTCTTAAGTCCCCTCTCCCCCCGAGAAACCCAAGTTCCCAGACCCACCCGTGTAACCGAACAGAAACAAAGTAAACTTAAACGTAAGCTACCGTGACTAGCCGGCCCTGTCGAGTCCGCGAACCAAGTTAGTCAACTACAAATAATGCGCATACAATAGGATCGATGTTACCGCAAAACTGTATGTCCCTCCATGATATTCCCAAGAGAAAAGAAGAAAGATCTATGGCGTTATGCGTCCAGAAACAATCCGGGTCCGTGCGATGGGGTGCCAGCAGCACCGCCCGTCCAGCCACCACGGCCGCCGCCCCCTCCACATCGACCCCGCCCTCATCCGGCGCCTCCCTGCTCTGGCTACTCCTGCGACGAGGACTCCTCTGCAATGCGCCAGACGCCGCCGCCGCCCTACAGCTCGATGTCCTGCGCCATGGACTGCTCCGGCTCCGGTTCCTATTGCAAGAATCTGACTCAGGTGCAGAACAACAACAACAGCCACCCGTACCGCCTCCTGCCAAAACACAAAGATCTTATGTCGCCACCGTCAGCGTCCGACCGCTGCTTTACCGCTCCTGGATGCAGTTGCGCAAGCTCCTGCGACGATATGTTGATCGACGGAAGCGATCAGGATCAAGATCAGGATCGGGGGCAAGTTCAGCAGGTGGATCGCCGGATGTTAAGTGCCACCACAATTGCTACTATGTTTCGGAAGTGCTGCGGGGGCACCTCGGAGTCCACCAGCGGATCCACACCCACGATTCCTGTCACCACGAACCGAGCCGTCCACCATCTCCAAAACCAAACCCACAATGCGAGAAGGATTCGCGAGGATTTCGATGCGCTGATGAAACTGTTGAAGCGCAAGCAGATGGCGGAGCTTTTGCTGGCGGTCAAGAGTCGCGTGGATCCGCCGACCAGGACACATCGCGATGCCGTTACCACAACCGCCTCCCCCGCACCCACCTACTTGCAGTGCATACTGATCCACTGTACGACGCCAGCGGATTGGGAGCAGCATGTGACCGCCAGCCGGCTGTTCTTCTGGCCGGGATTAAGGAGCGGCGAGGAGTTGAAGCGACTTCCCGCCTGCCCTGCTGCCCGCGACTGCGTTTACATGTGCTGCAATCCGCTGCACTGGTTTCGCATCCTGCATCAGCCCGAAACAGGTAGGAATCGGGTGTCGGGTATCAAAGGGGTTACATGTTTAAATCTTCTTAGCCTAAAAATCTACAGGACTTTTCGTGAAAGCCGTTTTTTTTATAATTTTATATTGGTAAAACTTCGTAAAATATTTCTGAAAAACATACGGGACGGTTTACGAACTTAGTAATACTAAAATAAAGCTAAAAAAAACAAGCCCTCTTAACAATGATTTCTAGTGTATTATCTTCTGAGATATTACGACTTAGAACGTTTTTCTCAAGACTTTTGGTCCCTGGTCTTTTTGAGGTTTTACGGAATTTTAATAAAAAGTGACGAAGAGTAAAACCCAAAAAAATCATTCAAAGATACATTTTTAATGAACTTAAACATACAAAAAAAATTTTTAACTGGAAAACAAAATTTTGTTTATTGATTTTTATTTTTATAATTTTAAAACTTGAATTTTAGAGGATTACAATTTATTACAAAGCTGTCCGTTTCCCATTGGATATTTTTAGTCGGATATAATATAATCAAATTTCTCCAGAAGGCTAGACAGTGGTCTTTATTGTGGTACCTTTATGGGTAAATAGAATTATGGTTAGGGTTCTCAGAAAACTTAATTTTATCAATTCCAGTTCAGAAATAGAAAAATGGATAAGTGCGTGTTTATTTACCTGATTTAGATCGAATGAAATTCATTTGCAATGGTTTTCCCCCGCAATAAATTCGTACCTTATCCAAATCTTTATGGCAGGGCAGGGGAAAAAGGTTATGACAATCTAAGCGCCAGCTGTGCCAATACATGTGCCCACCACTGTAGGTGTAAACACTCAGACGCACACAAGTGCACTTGGTTTGCGGTGTGCTTGTAGTTGGTGGCGCCAGGGCACACAGACAGGCACTCAAACTAGTGCACTAGCGCTGCGGCATGCGAAATCCATACGAAAATGCCGCCGCTTGCCAATTTTGTTTTTTCGCAAGCGAGCATGGGTTGCACTCTGCCGTGGTGTGGGTTTGTGTTTATGAGTTTGTGTTTTTTTTGTTCTGGAGAGCAGAAGCGAAGCCAAAGAGCCAGAGACAAGGTGCAACCGGTCTGTATCTGTATTAGGCATTAAATTGCTCCCGCAGAAGACTGAATTTCAAGTTCCTGCACAGAAAAAAAGAAACATGTCGATTTTAATACAAATTTTACATTTCTGCACGTACCAATATATATTTTTATATATTTTTGATATTCTACTATTAAATTGGAGTGATTAAAAATATTGGTTACATATTTATACATGTGTAAAAGGTCTCGTATTCAGTGCAATATGATAAATAAAATTATCGTATTAAATATCACATAAAATAATTATTTATTTCTGTGTATACTCACGGTGCGCCGCCGCCTTGACTTTTGCCCAGACACGGGCACCGCAAACGCACTCACACACCCACCGATTCCAATGCTCTCCGGCTCATTTATTCCGCTTTATCACGGCCCGCACACACAAACAATAACACATACACACGTGGGGGAGCAGAGAGAGCGGCGGAGAATGTGCGTGAAAGCGCCACGCAAACGGTCGGCCCAACATGACGGCGACTAAATTCTTTTCAAAATAATTTGCGTAAATTTAGAAACTGGCGCCAGGAAATAATCAGGCGTCGTCGCCAACGCAAACGCAAAAGCTAAAGCAAAGTTAGGCGGCGGAGTCCGTTACCCATTGCCCATACCCATTACCAGCACTCGTCCGAGTACTCGAATCATTCGAAATACAGTATAACTCCTATAACTCAAACGATCGCACACAAACACAACCTTGTGGAGCTGTTAAAATTTTTAAAAAACTTGTCACAGAAATAATTAATTAGAATTAAAAAAACCAATTTGAATCCAATATAAATCTTATGACAAGAAACAAATTTTAAATTATTTTTAATGTTATAGTTATGATATTAGATCGGCGGTCGCCACTCCCCAATGAATGTCAGCAAAGGGGTCTCTTTACGCGACAGCGGTCTTTTTGTTTAAAAACACAACCTTTAAATGCGAAAATTGAGTAAATACAATTAAGATCCGTTTACTTGTCTTCATGGAAAGCTAAAAAACTAGTCCTAGACGAAGAACGAGCCTAAAACGTAAAATCGAGTAATATATAAAAGTATAGCATACTTCTTGGCGTCTGCCTTGATCGAATGTACTATTCAATATTTCTTGTGGCTGAAAAGCTTAACCAATTAACATGAAACGGTTGATAAATACAAAAACTGTAAGTATTGAGGCTTTTTTTAAATTTAAAGATTATATTTATGATTTTTTGTTTAAAAGCGAGTTGTAAGAGTTTAAAGCTAAGACAGCGATAATTAGTCTGGTTGGCTTATATTCATCATAAGGTGTCTTGACTGTAGCTGGGGCCGCGGCATATCCGTCGCCACCAGCTAGTTGGCGCATCGTTTAGAGATCCCATTCGCACTATGTACATTCGGGCAAACATCAGAGCATGTACATGTACATATGTACATTGTATGCACATACATGTGCGCTTTTCGATTTGTTTGTTTTTATTTTTAGCACGCGCATGCACACCACTCTGCTGTCGTATAAAAAATACGTAGAGATACCATTTGTATTTGTGGGCATTATACATCGTATGCAGATTGAAAGATGCACCATGTAATTGCAACGTAGCATTAACTCTTCATCACAGTTGATAATGAGTGCGATTTATTAATAACCCATTTTCCCGGACGGCAGTTCTACTGGGCACAATGAACGTTATCTAGAACGTGCGTATCGCTCGGCCGAGCTTACAACTGTATGGGCACATGGATCGCCGTTCTAGTGTTAATCTAATCGGACTATTATATCAGCACTAAACTGCATGCATGTAATACATCATCTGTGGGCGTGTGGGTGTCGGTTGTTTTCATCAATCGGCAGTGGTTTTTATACGGGTAGCTGGGCTAACCTCAAATTGAAACAAAACCCCACTTGTGAGCGCCATGTGCAGAAAGAAAAGTAGTGGGTTTCCACGAAAACCTATAACAATTTTACTTATCAAACTCTGAAATATATACTTAGTGTTGGAGTGCCTATAATCCCAGAAATCAATTCGTTGAACGACATCTTCCTGAACAACATTTAAAATGTTAAAAAACACTGAATTACAAACCGATAACTGGAATCCGTACCATCAAATTTTTACTTACTTTTGCTAAATGCGATACGGTTCTTGTAACGACATAAGTATATTTATCCGCTAGAAAACAAAAATGAACCTCTAATTTAAGTAATCCAACAAAAAAAGTAATCTGAGAGATTGTAAGATTGCAAACAAATTAATTAGGAAATTGCATACGTTTACTTGGCGATGTTTAACTTAATAGCGACCAAGATTAAGATCACATTTCTTGCCAGCGTTTCCAGAGTCCCCCTTAACCGATAATCACTGTAGATGTGTCGGAAAAAAGGCATGTCTATACCGACATTCCTGTGCACAAAACACAATCTTTTGGGAAACATGAAGACTCTGTTCGTGCCGGTCCGCAGATACAGATACAGATACAGCCTCCCTGGCTGGTCGCTTACCTGTGCCACTTACCTGGGCAACAGGCAACTGGCAAAAGGCACAGGCAACAGGCACCGGCAACAGGCTGGCTCTGTTCTGGCCGCTTTCTGCTTTCTGGCTGCCTTCTGCTGGCTGTGTCATCGTCTGGCCGGCGGATGGACGTCCCGACAGTGACTGGTTTTTTAATGATGGCGCCGAACACATTAAACAAGTCGATAATGTTATTCCATCCGCATCGGCCGGGGAACACAATTCCAGGAATTGTAACGACGAGAGGTCCGCCGACTGGTGCCAGTCTTTGGACATCGCGGCTCCAACGTCCCTTCGTCGCAGCGAGCACCCATAAAAAGGATCATTTTGCGTGCCTCAGCCCCATCCATCCCATCCCATTCAGAGGTGCGGTTCTTGGCCGACCGCCGTTGGCCATAAAGCTTTGCTTTCGGCCTGTGCGGTTGACGGTTTGCTGTGTTCCTGTGGATCGGCTGCAGATACATATTTATGTAGTCATATTTGCGCTGGCCGAAATTGTTTCGGGCCTATTCAATGAAACTGAAGGGGAACTTGACTAATTACATTGTAGGCTTTGTACTCTTGGTACTCTTTCGTTAACTATTATGTCAGGTGTGCTTAAAGGGTCCTTATGAAATAGCAATCACAAAAGCCACATTATAATTCTAAATTAATGATAAATACTAAATACTAAAATATCACTTCATTATAAATTGTAATTCAATTTGAACTAGATTTCTATAATAAATTTCAAATCAGAACCAGAATCTGGAGCATAACCAAAATGGACACTGTGTGGAATTGCCATGCTTAAATTTCAATTACTGGAATCTGACTCAATAGACTCGCACTCTTTTGCCAGAACCCAGAACCGTGAATATTCAGTTGCCTATTTCGCCGACTGGTCATACGATCCATCCATCAGTTTGTTGACGGCGTGCTGGAATGGTTGGCCTCCCTTAGGTTTCAGTTTCGGTTTCGCTGCGGCGATCGTGTTTTTTTTGTCAGAATTGTTAGATTTTCGACGTTGGCGTCGATGACGCGGCCGCTCGTAATCAGGTTTAACTGGTACATTGGAGCTTGGGACCCGGGTTTCTGGGTATATTTGAGTCGCCGGGCGCCGTCGACAAGGCACATCAAGCGATTTATGCGCCGTCAGAATACCAAAGCATTACTACTAATCGTCTATCCTTGTTGCTCGCCAGTTGCACTTCGATGGATACTTTTGGGCCTTAATTAGCCCTTCTTTTATTGTCTTTTTTTGCTAAATTTTATATTGTTTTGCATTCAATTAAGCTAATCAATACTATTTAGATGCAAAGCCCATAGCGTTTATATCAAGATGGTTTTACATATTTGCCGTGCCCCTTTTAGTCCATTAAAAATAATTTATTTTCTTTGGTGTGCAACACTGACGAAATATTTTTAATCGAACTTAAATAAAAAAAACTTAAAAACTACTACTTTGAGTATATTCTTTATTCTACCACAGTGGACCATATTTAAAGTACCTCTTCCGCAGGTGTTTTATAGCCGCATTTTAGATTTCGAATTAGCATCTAATCATATTATTCTGAATCTTAAACATATTTTTAAAATTTTTTTATGACCCTCTTGTCTGACAGTCTAAATCTTAAAGTAATACTTTAATTCAATCTATTAAATACAAATGCGACGTTAAATAAATTATTGAATTTATAGAATTGAATGAGAAATATCTTGGGATCTGGCAGGTAATTCATTGAGGCTTTTGTTTGCCCGAATCTTCGAAACCAAATACGACCTGTTCCGTTTGCTTTTTTGGGAGTGAAATGAGAGAATGAAAACGGAGTAGAATGTAAGCGAGATTAAACACAGCGCCAGCGGAGATCGCCGCACATCAAACGATTTTTGCGCCAATAAAATGTCCCCCAGTGCTGCTGCCTGATATGCAAAGATTATTTATTTTTATATCGCCGCGCTGATGTTTGGCTTGCTTACGCTTACGCCTGGGTTTGATTCGCCTTCCTTTTCTTTTCTTCTTGTTGTGGCCTTTGTTTTTGTTTGGCTTTGTTGCTCTCTCTGTTTTTGTTTCGCTTTGATTTGCTGCTCAAATATTCGAACACTAGTATGTATTAGTTTTGCGAACCATGATCTCATCCTATGTGCGCCCGACTAGAAGACGCGCATTTATAACTCGAACTTTTGATTAACTCAAAATTATTTGTAATCATCCAAAGTCCGGGGCTTACCGGGTCTGCAACTGCACGAATTGTGTACCCGAATTATATTGATTTACGATACTGTTGATAAAGTTCAAATTAGGGTTTTATACAACGACAATGGCCTTGAAGATCAATAATTTGGTGTATTTATTTCAGTATGTTTTTAGTTTAAGATAAAGTGTCTATAAGATTGCAGAGTTAGTTAATATCTTAAAGATATAACCTTATGACGATTTGAAACATTATTAGAGAATTAATGTCAAATTGAAAAAAAAAGTCGATATAAATAAGATTGGAAGTGTTGGTAAAACATAACTACATAATAGAGAGTAATTCATTAGTGTAATACATTGGAAAGTAATCGCTTCATTATAAAATAACAATACTTTTTTGTTCTCAAAAGAAAATTACCATTACACGTATTAATAAACAGACTAGTTCCAGAAAGCCTAAAAAAGTCTAACAATAAATGGTTTACTAGTACTAAATTCTGAAATCAGTTGTTATCATTAAACGAATAATGACAACAAATAATGATGAAATAGTATAACATATACGATTTTTAAACTGTTAACACCTATTTATGCAAGTGACCCAACCCAAATGTGTATCTGCAAGATATCTAAAGCAATACCGTCCATCATTGTGCCATTTCAGAAGCTCAACCGCCGCCATACCAACGCTCAAAAATGCAGAGACTGAGAGATGCAGGTAAGCCGGCTCTGCTATATAGAGTTTCGATCCGGTGATACTTACCCTCCCCCATTTTTGCAGATTCCGAAGAAGACTCGCAGAACGATGCAAAGTCGGCAGCGCTGAGCACGTGGAGTGCGCAGAGCAGCAGCATTTCGAGCATCTTCAAGCCGCCTCTCTTCGAGTCGTTCACCACTGATGGAAAAGGTGAGTTTTGCGCCTAACACCCCTCTCTTTTCGCGCTCCCCTGCTTATCAGGCGATTAGAAGAGTGCACATAAAAAAATATGTACATGCGATAATTTTATATACAATTTGAAAACAAATACCAATTTGAAAAATTACTAAATTTAAAAGGACATTTTAAAATTGAATTTAAAGTTAAAATTAAATTTATTAAGTTATAAAATTTACACTTAAGTAAGCAAATACAGAATACATATAATTAAAGTGATATGATAAACATGCCATTATAAAACTTTTAAATGTCACTTCGATTTTACAGTATGGCTTATTGTTTTCAGTGTGGGAGAAGTGTTGCGATTATTTTGCCATGTATGTAGGTGTGTTGTTTGTGGGCCCCTGATTTAGTGTGTGTGAGCGGGCGCTCTCTCTCGCTGGCCAGTTGTTGTTGTATCGTGGCGCCAGCTTGCCGCGTCAGGTCGTCACTTTCTATATTGATATTAACTTTTAAGCGAAAACAGCAAAAACGAAATGAAAATAAATAATGAGCGAAAAACAAACACGGGCGGCGGCATACTGAGCGAAAGAGTGCGAGGAGAGCGAGGAGCGAGGTGAGTTGGCGCTCTCGATGGCGCCACAATCTTAGCGCTAACTTACAAGAGTGTTCCCAAGGGGGCTGAAAGGGGTACGGATACGGGTCCTACGGGGGCTATGATATCATTCACGGCATTACCATTACCCGGCAACTGAGACGGCACCGTGAAACTGGCCAGAACTCACACACACCATACTGATTTTGGCTTTTTTATGGCATTGTACTGGCGACAAAACGACGGAAAACTATTACATTTAAATGGACCGTTAAGTTGCGGCTTTACGACGATTGGGTGACAGGCCAGTTAAAAATAGATTGAAATTCCAAATTGATTGATTCCCATCAGAGTTTCGACAAATGCCCGTTGTTAGCATATTCTATGAATTCGGAATTTATGAATAAGGTGGTCATTACCTTTATTAGTTACTTACTTGTAATCTTCAATAATAAGAATTATGTTTGCATTAAATATTGTGGATAACACCACATTAGAATCACAATTTTTTTGGCTTTCGTAATGCAGTATTTTCTGCATGCTCAATATTAAATTACGTAACCCTTTAAGCACTAATCAGGATATTGAATTGGATTTTTAATTGAATTTTTAAAATTACATGGAAAAATACTTGCAACATTTGTTTTGACGTTTGGCTACATTGAGTTTTTAAAATCCAGAATAAGACTAATCAGAATACTGCAATGCCTTTGTATAAGAGTTTTTAAGGTTCAAGCACAAAGTCCATCAATACCTTCTATCAAATTTCTTCAGCAATCGATTTAAATTACATAATTACCTTAATGCAACTTCATCGCCGGTGGGACTCCAACAAATGGAGCACGCACAAGTCGAACATCCGCGTTTCCCCAAAGGCCCCACATGTGTGCCACCAACAAACTTACAGGCCACTGCCTCGACCCACACATGCACACAAATTGAAGATAAAATATTCTAAATTTAAAGATGATGTAGCAGCCCGTGGATTCGGGCATCTAACACAAATGTATGTACATTTATGTACCTACTTACATAAATATTAGCAAGGGGAATCAACAGCCATGAAGCGGCGCTACGAATTTACAAATATGTATATAGTACAGAAAAAATGCAGTAGGTAGATCTCTCAAGCAGAAACTTCCAAGAATGCCAAACGTTTCAAAGTTGAGTGCTTCTCGCATTACACAAATTTTTCAAAAATTCCCTGTCATTAAAGACTTTAGCTTAAAGGCCGTAGATTTTAAAAATGGTATAGGGAAATTAAAAAGTATAACACAAACTCCTGAAATACTTGAAAAACGGCACAAGTTAATTTACAAAGTATCTCTTCCAATACAAACCCCAAATATAAACGCACTTATTTGAAGTTCTCCTTAGAATGGACAACACATTCCTTTTAATTATCTGATACCAAATATAGTAAAGATTTTATAAATTAAATATAGGTAATTAGATTAACCTGCCTAAATTCCGAAGTAAATATTCAGTTTCCACATGTTTGAGGTTTCGCAAAGGGGCCAATTTGATTCCCCACTTTTCCAAATCACCTTTCGCTCGGATCAACTTCACTGCCCCACAATCTTGGCGAGTTCTCGCCCAGTTGAGCGCGACGCCAGCTTGGTGGGGTAAACAATTTTTCGTGGCCATGGCGAGACGCGGCGGAATCGCCGCCGTCGACCTAATTAGGTAAACATCGGACAGGCGCCACTTGCAGCGTCCAACGCCCCCGCTGCCCCCGCTTTCGGCACATTCTTTGCCATGCAAAATTTTAAAAGCCGTCTACGGATTTATTGCGATATATTTTTACTTGGCGCCACTGCCGCCCGCCTGGGCTTGGCCTTTGCGCCTTTCGGCCTTTTCGTTCCGATTTATTCTCGGCGAGCGCGTGCTGGCCATTGTTGGCCGTTTTCCCTGCGATTTTCCCTGAGCTGAGCGATTGTGTTTTGTGTGTGCCGTCAATGCGCGCACATTTCTCGAATCGGCTCTTGCCGTTCTGGCCAACTGCACCAATCGACTATCGACCCGCTGGCATTGTTGCAACTGGCAGCTCGGCCGCCATGGCGTATGCGCGATATTTGCACTTTGTTGTCTTACAATGCAGTTTATGCCATTGGTGATTGATAAATTCCCAAGACAAGGGTGTGTTTATGCTGACAATGGTGTCATCTGAAATGGGTATTAAGAAATAAAAATGATAAAATATGAATTCGGTGGCGTATACGCAATGTTGATATTATCAGATTTTACGACTTTCAAATTTAAATTCAGCACATTTTGTTTACTAATTCTGAAAAATGCATATATATGTATATATATGCACCTATATACCTATATTATTTTAATTAAATATGAATTTTAAAATTTATGAATGGTTTAATGTGGTCATAAATATTAAATAATTTGTTCTCAAAGCCCACACACTCGGAATACTCTCGTTAGCAAGGATTTCAAATAAAGAGTTGCACTTGTTTCACACTTTGTTATTGGCCCGACACGCGTTCGGAATCGGAATATACAAATGAACCCATAAACAGACTCTGTGGGTTTGCTTACTATACACACAGCCGCACAGGCCGATATATGCGCGAATGAATACCACACACATACGCGACGCCGGTCTGTTTACGTAATGCCCTGGCGCCAAAATTATTACCATTTAAATGTCTGAGCACACAAGTGAGTAAAAGCGTAATGTGTATGCGCCTGTTTGAATGTGCGACTCGCTGAATTCGCCAACGTCTCTTCGTTCTCATTCTTATTTTCAACCGATATAGTGGAGCTATACTCCCCCGATTTTGCTTCAGCACCTTCGGGTTGAATGTTATGCCAATTTTAAATCACATTTTATTGGCCGACGAAAGAGTTATTATCGCTTTAGCGCACAATTTGTATGCGGGTTACAAGATTGCGATTTAAATAATTGTTATTGATGGGAATTACTTTAACACTGGCACATTTAAGACTTTATTAGTCTCCTATCTGATTAATAAGTTAGCAAGTTAACCTGACATCGTTATCTTTAAGCGTTTAATTAGGTGCCCTGTGAAGTGCGAAAGATATGATTTTTATATAAAATTCCTCAGTGGTTGTAAATATGTAAAAATATGATTACATGTTTGACAACTTTAGATAACAATAAAAAATAACTTTATATCGCCAAATTATAAAATAAAAAATATTTTATAATAAATTGTACGCATAACGTTTATTTTCTGTGAAAATTGAGGCTGAGACAGTTAAAGTTTAACTTAAATATAAGTATTTGTAATTAATGTAATGTGAAATGGTTATTTAAATAATTTGGTTTTTCTTGTGTATTGCAGATCATAACATCAATAGCAACGCCTGGTGCCAAATAGCCTACTGGGAGATGGCCGACCGAGTCGGGGAGTTCTTTCACGCCAGAACAAAAGCAGTCAATATCTACACCGATGGGATCGTGGGCAGTAATGGCGACAGCATGTGCCTACGTGACCTTAATCCCGCAGGCAAGCAGGTCCACTCGGAGGTGGTGCAAACTACGCGACAGAAGGTCGGATTGGGTAAGAAATTAGCCTTTTTAGCTCGGAAGCACTTTTAACCGGAGTACGAATTGCAGGTGTGACATTAAGCCTGGAGAGCGGCGATGTTTGGATTTACAACCGTGGGAATACACCCGTATTTGTGGATTCTCCCACCCTGGCCGAAAATCTGGACCGTGTGTGTAAAGTGATGCCCGGTGTCTGCCTGAAGGCCTTTGAAACAAGCAGGTTAGATCCCTCTTTCAATTCAATTTCAACCAATTGCTTAAAACAATAGTCGCTTAATGTATTTTAAAGTGCAAAAAACCCGTTTAGAATATAAAATAGTTAGTTAAAAAGTATTTTATAAGTAAATTATATTACTTTAAAAGAAGAATAATTTATATTGATTTCCTTAAATTTGTATAAAATCATTTACATTGAACCAATGTCGAAAACTTATTTTTTGTTTGGTGTTTATTTTGTGTTTGGTTAGATATTTTTAAGGTTATTTTACAATTTAATAAATTGGTTTCCTTTTTTATACATTTATACAGGGCTCAACTGCTAAGCATGAAACAGCAAGAACATCACCACATGGGGCCCGTCGACTACTTCAGCATAAAGATCAGCTTCGTAAAGGGGTGGGGGCCCGCCTACAAAAGACAGAACATCATGGGCTGCCCCTGCTGGCTGGAGGTCCACTTTAGCCATCTGCGGTGACAGTACCTGCTGCAGGCCCGTTCGGCAGGACCCCATCCGACATCCCAGCACCAGCTCGAACCTCTGGGCTACGGATACGGTTGCGATCCGGTGAGCAGCTGTCGGAGGGAAGGAAATCGGCGATCGCCCCAACTGCTGCGAAAGGTAAAAAAGCTGCTGACCAGACTATGCAGGCAAATGTGCGCACTGACGGATCCGGCGTCGAGGACGAGATGGAGGTGTCTGGCGGGCAGGAGATCGAGCCGCCAGCTTACCATTAAACAACCAATAATTTGGAACAACAAAGGACTGCAAAAGAAATCATTTTAAATGTTAATATACATAATTACGAAACAAGTTTCAATTACTGATAGTAGACACATCGAAATTAATTTTAATGCATCTGAGTCGCATTAAGTGAGAGAAGTCGAGGAGTCGGACGAGTTAAATTGAAATACATAGTAATTGATTGTTAAACATACATAGAAAAAATTGAAATCCTGTGATTCACTCTATATATACACATGTAGTATGTACCGACGCGTGGGGCTAGAGCTCCATTGCCAGTAGCTATATGATATGTATAAATATTTAACTTATATATACATACACACTTAACAGAAGGCACATCAGGGTTAACAGTTTCGAGAATGGCAGATAGTCTAGTTACGACAAAACATTCAGAAGCCCCTACCTTTTCTATGCGACTTTTTTAAATGAACATAAACCCATAATTTATACCCCACCCAATTGAAACCAAACATCACTGAAATACAAATCTGTTCAGTAGAATCTGCATAGATGCTAGGTTTAATAAAAACAACACAATTAACAAAATTCTATACGGCTTTAGACTCTAGCGCATAGCGATCCAATTGGCTTTAAGAAAGCATACGTCATGTTCGAACATTATTTGTTTTATGTTGATATTTTGACTGTTTTCGTTGTCATGTCATTCATTCATATTAAAAACAACATTCATATAAAATGTATAAAAGAATATCGCACTACGATGCTTACAGCATAGAATACTTTTATTTAAATCTGAAACCATCCATCGTCAGTTCATGTTTCACAAGCCCCAACTTCGGTTGCATTTCCACCTGTAGGAAATGACAATTCGAGAATTTGGAGTAGTAGTAAAATCCATGCGCTAGAGCTTTTAACCTCTGTACCAAACAATACCGTATGTAGGCCTAGAATCCCAGCCTTGTATGTATTTCGTTTTAAGAATAAATGCGATCCACGTAAAACTATTGTTACCATTTTCTCACTGTTAAAAGATGACCGTGTTCAGTAAATACATAAAGAATGTAGGTACGTGATTATTGTATGTATATTTTAATTCCAAAAAAGCACTATACAAAATAGTAACAAACCTAATGAGCAAAGATATTGGGCTGATTTAAAAAGTTCTGCCTATGTAAAATTAAATCGTAAAGTCTGGTGGACAGACATGTATACATACAATAGCTTCAATATGATCAAATATTTAATCAGTGCAGTTATACTGTTAAGTTTAAAAACTTGTAATAAAATTTCAATATATTTACAAAAACAATTGGAATTCTGAATACAACTTCACTTTAAAAGCTATAATCATCAAAAATAATAAAGCGGCATTTACATTTTTCGGAGACATTACACTTCTCTATATTTTAGTGTATTATCAACAGATTTATTTAATGATTAAAACTAAGGCAGAATTTATTCAATCACATAATCCTTATCGAAATCGTATTTTTCTGCCTTTGAAGATGAACCTAAGCTAAAGTTATCCAAAACGTCTGTAATTTTTGAGATTTTCTTCTCGTTCCGAACATTTTGTTTCTTCTTTTGCTTCTGCAGTTGCTTGATGCCTTTATTCAGGGATTGGTTTTCTGGAATTAAAATGAAGTATGACATTAGTACGATTTCACGGGGAACATTTGTCATTGCATACCGTCCAAAAGCAGACTGGGATCTACCTTCTCCTTTTCTTCATCCAGTTTTCTTTTGCGACCCTTCGCTGGTTTTTCCTTCTCGTTTATGATCAGACTAGCAGCCGCTTTGGAAGCAGAATCCTCTTCCTCACGCGGCTGTCTGATTTCCAGAGGACCCGTAGACGTTATCTCCATAATGTCATCAGTTTTCACAGCGCAATGCTCTAGGATCTCTGTCTCCATAGACTCGAAGTTATCAACATCGAACTCGCGAGCCTCGGAGTGTACGATTGAGGCACTTATATGCACACTTTGGGCTTCCTGAACTTCCGGAGGCTGTGTACAGTATTTGATTTTGCCCGTATTCCAATCGTTAAGAACGCTCCTCGCGGCAGCCACAACATCAGGAACTCCCTTTTTCAGAAATTTTCCTAAGGGCATTGTAAAATAAACTTATTATTCTGCACTCTATCTTCTAGATTTAAATTCACTTACCCATTCTGGCTGCCTTTTTGGCGAAGAATTCCTCGAATGTTTCGTAGCTTGTAATGTCATACATGGTGCAGAAGTAATCCTTGCTGGCGCGTTTTAAAACGCTCTCAGCAATGGTGAAGGGATCTTTTACATCGCCCACGCGCTGTGCATTCTTCAATACCGCGTGTGAGTTCTCAGATCCACTGGTGAACACAATGCCGGGGCAATCAATCAGTTTTATTTTCGAATCCAACTCAACTTCCTGCATTGATCTGAAGAAAAGATTGCAAATGATCGAATTAACTTATAGTTTTAAAAACACATGCCAATAAAGGCACATGGCACTCACTTGGTCACTCCTGGCGTGCTGCCCACCATGCAAGACCTGCCGCGAGTCAGCGAGTTGATGATGGAGCTCTTGCCGACGTTGGGAATCCCCACGACGCCAACACGAATCGAAGTCTTGATTCCCTGGTTGCGACAGTAGTTGCCAAGCATGGACATGAGCAATTCGGCACCAATACAGACTGATCCCTGCATGGCCTTCTCCGTCTTCATCTCGCGCAACTTGCGACGTCCTAGTCGGTTGGCTTGATCCTGTGTGGAAGCTTTGAAAGCGGTGACGGGACCGCTGCGGCGGAAGTATTTGATCCAGTTGTTTAGGTTCTCCCGGGGCACCAAATCGGCCTTGTTGAGCACTAGGACCAGGCGCTTGTTTCCCGGAGCACCACGCACGGCGCGCTCCACCTCGTTGCAGCGGGTTCCCAGGGGATCTCGGGCATCTACCACCTCCAGGACAACGTCAGCATTTTCTATGACCTTTCGGAATTCCTTGAAGTACTGCTTCAAAGACTGCTCCTTGGTGACGGCATTCTTGTACTTCTTTTCATCCGCATCCTGAGCATCATTTTCATGCAATATACCGTGCACTGTGCTCCGCATGTCTGCATCTTCAGCCAGGGTCTCCAACGTCTTAAACTTGCTCTGCTCGCGCTCAACTTTGAAGGCTTCGCGGCGAGCCAGCCGCTCGGCCTCCTGGCGTTGCTTTGCCTCCTCCACCTCCTTAAGGATGTCATCCTTGAAGGGACATATGTTCGGGATCTGGATAAGCTTCTGTTTCTTGCTGCCCTTCTTGGGATTCTTCTTAGCAGCGCGACGTTCCTTTTTGTTGTGGTCACGCACCTTCTTCTCGATTTTGTGCTTCAGGCGTCCCGTCAACCTCTTGGATTTCTTTGCTGTGGGGTTGTCAGGAATAAGCATATCTCTAATAACTAAATAGGTGTAAGAAATACTTACTCTTCAACCTTTTCAGAGCCATTTTAAAAGACGTACCCGGGGACCAAAAGCGACTTAAAACAAGAACACGTGAAAATACTCTTCTTCTTTGTTGCTGCCAGTCACCACGAAGCGGCCACTTGTTGTGGCGCGTTAGACAACACTACTGGAGTTGCCAGACTGGCGTTGTGATGTAATTTGGTTTTTGTACACCGTTCGTCAATTAACTTAGAATGTCACTTAAAACTGCATTTTTAAGTGCTCTCAGGAGCTTCTCCCGGCCAGCTATTCTCCTCCAGACTTCAAAAATACATACGGGCGTCTGCTGGCGAAAGGCGGAGGATCGGAAGGAAATGCTGGCATCGCTGCCGGCCAAAGACGAAGGAACAGTGGGGGAAAAGACCGTGGACATAGACACACTTATCAACCGGTGGGAAATATTTAATATTTTCGCGTAGTAGACATTTATAAATTTCACTTTCCTTTACAGCAAGGCCAAGTTCTTTCCCGATGCCAGCACCGCTACCCAATTATTCAATGGAACTCCTTTTAACGAGCTGCCCATCTGCAACATTCGCGTGTCACCCAACAACACAATTATTTCCGTCACGGATCACAAAGGTTAGGCACCTGGAAGTTCATTCTTGGATTCTGAATATTTACTAACGCCATGACCTCCTATTTTCAGGAGTCCTTCGGCTGATACGATCCTGTGGAATTGAAGGATTCAAAAACACTCGGAAGGGAACAAACATTGCTGCTCAAGCTACTGCAGTGACCATTAGTGGCGTAAGTTGAAACTTTGATTTTACTAAATTAGAACAGTCAATATAATATGCCAAACAGGTCCTACATCCTGGATTTGAAATTCTCACATCTTAAGAAATAAATACGACAAATATTAACTATTTTTGACTGATTAAAGGTAATTTCGATAAAATTTTTTCTAGTTCTATCCAAAAGGTCTACATCTAACCTATTGGATAAAACTAGAATGATTATTATCGAAAGTACCACTAGTCAGTCAAAAATAGTTTATATTATTCGTATTTATTTCTTAAGATGAGAGAATTTCAAATACAGGATTTAGAACCTGTTTTTGAAAATAATATTAGACTCCATTAAATTAAAAAATTTACTTTTTGGTCTAATTATTGCTAAAATATCAAAAATAACGTAAAAACTCGATCTGTAAAAATCTGTAGCAAACTTAACTAAACAAATTAGACTATGAATGATAGATTTCAAACTAAGTTAGTATATATAATAAAAAAGTAAATAATATTAAGTCCGAGCCCTATTCTAACATAATTGCAGAAAGCCGTAGAACTGGGTTGGAAGACAGTGCGAGTCAAGGTCCGTGGTCTTGGCCCTGGAAGAATGGTACGTTCACACATTATTGTTCTTTGTATAAATTAAATTTAATTCAAATTTGTTGGTGTTTTCAGTCGGCTATCAAAGGACTGCAAATGGGTGGACTAAACATTGTTTCCATAACTGACAATACACCTGTTTCATTTAATCCCCCAAGACCCAGAAAACAGAGGAGTCTTTAATCTACAGCTTGTTAAGACATTTGTTTATTAACAAATTACATGAATAGTCGTTAAATTACAATAAAACAAATTTTTGAATTATAATAAACGACTTTTTCACGGTGAGTCAGTCTAATGGGCCTTAGTAGTTCAATTTTTTGTGCAAGAATAGTGATGTTTTTTATTTACCTTAATATACAATTGATAATTTTTTTCTAGACTATTTAATTATAATTTAATATTCCACATATCGTACCAGAAGTTCCAATTTAAATTACCTTTTTTGTTGAATTTTGTAAAGGTTTTTTTATTATTATTTTTCTTATACTTATTATGTTTCTTATAAATTATTATGGATGCACATAATTCCTTTGATAAACCTACTCTAAAAAGTACAATACGCAAGTTATAAGTATGGACCTACGAAATACATAAAATACGACACTTTTCTTCCACTAATCAACTATTAACCCTAATCACTCTTTTTAAAATGGGCTAACGAGCGCCAGTTAATGTTATGGATGCCATAAGAACTGTTTGACTAAATATCACCTAGCGAACACACTAGCATTATTTTTTATGGAATGATCCTTCTCAACATGGAATTCTAGGGGATGCGAACAAGTTTTGTACAATGAATGATGTTTTTGGTTGTGGCTAAACGTTAGGCTTAGATTCTTATTGTCATGTGGCTGCAGCGAGTTTTCGGAGTCGACCTTCGATGTGATTGTGGATAACTTTGGCTGCTGTACTTAGTATGCATGCCTTTCGCGCTTTATCGAATTTATGGATATTTAATGAGTTTCCCTCTTTCTCCGAGAAAGATAATGGTGGAGTTCTTCGCCATTTATCACTCATTTTGGACCAGGGGCAATTCGGATTGCTTAGCTCCTCTGATCTGATGGCGGGAATTTGAAAACTATGTCGTTCTGTTGAGGTTTCTGACTTCACGTCTACTTCGGAGTCACAATTGTTGCAGCCGCTCGTCCCGAATGAAGTGTGAAACTGCATATTAGGTGGGGTTCCGGGATAATGTGGACTTCCACTTCCGTAGGGATTTTGCGATGTATTACCTTCCCCCCCGCGGTCATTACTTCCATCTGGCTGCGGTGCCTCGCTCTCTTCGTAGTCCATTGAAGTAGTGGAACAAGCTGGCTGATAAATAACAGCCGACGCATGACCAGATCGTCCCGATTTTAGTGGCGTTCCTTTCGTCCAGGTGTTCGTTCGCGGATCGTAGACCTCAACGATGGACAGAAAATTATTGCCGTCGAATCCGCCAATTGCGTACAGCTTTCCGTCCAGCGGAGTCAGCGAGAGAGCACTGCGTGCGATTTGGATTGGCGCCACCATGTCCCAGGTATCGTTGTCGGTATCATAGCGCTCCACGGTGGCCAGTTGTCGAGTTCCATCAAAACCGCCAACCACGTAGATGTACTGATTAATTGCAGCCACACCTGATTGTAATTAAATCGGAATATAGTTGGAGTGGAGATAACAAGAGGGTATGTCATGCTTACCAGCTCCACTGCGACCTGTTTGCAAAGGTGGCAGGAAACTCCACTCATTGTTTTCCGGATGATAGCACTCCACGCTGCCCAAACGCTCATTTCCATCGAAACCTCCAATCGCATAAAGCAGGCGATTCACCACTACCACCCCGACACCCAAGCGTTTGGCGTGCATCGGCTGTACGAGAGTCCAGCGATCTCGTTCCGGGTCGTAGCTGTAAGCGATTGTAACATGTACATAATTAAATTAAAATGTAATAATTTCCAGAAGAAGTATTTTGGTTGTTTGTTTAAATAGTCAGACGAGCTAATTTTTAATTATAACTTGTTTTAATAATTTCCAGAAGAAGTATTTTGATGGTTTGTTTAAATAGTCTGACGAGCTAATTTTTAATTATAACTTGTTTTAAAACCATAAGATATTATAGTTATACAACACATAGCATTAAAGAATATTAAAAAATCGATTAAAAGAAACATTACTTTATTAATGGTCAATACTCACTATTCCACAGTGCTGTGGTACTCCATGCCAGCGGATCCACCCACGGCGTACATTAGCTCGTCCATAACGGCCACGCCCACTCGATGGCGTGGCACGGACATCGGGGAACAGGGTCGCCACGTCTCACTGACGGCACTATAACGATCAACCCAATCCGAGTCGTAGGAGGAGCCAATGTTGTTATTTCTGCCACCAACCGCGTAGAATTTTCCCTTGAGGAAGGCGGCACCAAGTCCGGACCTGGGAATGCGCAGATTTGGCAGTGTCGTCCACGTCATATCGTCCACATTGTAGGCCTCCAAAATGTCCAGTGAATGCCGGAAAAAGCCGCCAGCCACAAAAATCATGCGCGTTGTGTTCGGTGTCCGTTCCTTTACACCTGGACACTTGTGCAGCGTTAAGTCCTTAAAGATCTTGGCCAAATACTCCCGACAGGCGGGCACCTTTCGCAGTACGTCGCAGTTTTTCATCTGCTCCTTGAGGAAGTTTGGCGTAAGGAACTGGCAACGCACGGCGCCCAGTATGTGTTCCATTTTACAGTGCCGATTGTCCTCGTCGTATTTAACCCACTTAAGGACAGCATTATAGACCTCTCGCTCCTCCTGCACATTCAGTTCGTCTCTTCGGATCAGGGCTATCAACTGATAAGCCGAAAGCTGGAGGAACTCCTCCTCTTGGCACACCTAAGGAAACCCAACAATTGTAGTTTTCTAAAAACACTCAGAAGAATATAAGCAAACCTGTGTAAAATTCCGCTCAATAAAAACATTCGCCTTCTTTTGCAGCTCCACACATCCGTGCTGCTCGGCAAAGTTGGCGATGCCAATGGCATTCGTAGGGTCCAACTGGCGCTCCAGAAAGGCACAGCAGGCATCGATAACGTTTGGCACTTGGAACATAGTGGCCGCGGGCAGTAGTTGGCACACCGTTACTTCAGTCACACGTATCTGGCCGGTGTACATAAAGTACAGGATGCGGGACATAGCCGTGGGACACACCTGAAAGAGCGAAACGGACGAACTGTTCATCCATTAAACCAACCAATTGAGGGCCGCGCTTAAGCTTAACTTACCCCCTGGAGCTGGACACGCGACATCTCCGACTCCTTAAGTCCTCCCGTGAACATGGCCTTGAAGTAGGGTGATGCGGCGGACAGCACCACCTTGTGGGCAGGGAAAAGCTCCTTCTTCACCTCGAGGACAACGTCCGTCAGCATGCCGTGCGACCGCATCATGAACATCATTTTGAGGGCTTCCTTGGGGTAGTTGGACATGCAGAAGGTCATGTCGTCGTCCGTAGCATCGTGGTCATCTAACGTCGAGTGCACCGATCCGAACCGACCGCAGCATGTCGACGAGATGGAACAACTTTCCGTAGTGCTGTTCATCTCAGCCTCTGAAAATCCAAAAAAAAAATAACAATTATATTAATAATTATAATACTGTAAATAAACTAATGAGACAACTGTAATTGTTAAATGAGAAATTTTTAGTCCTAGAAAAGGTAGTTCATGTATAATAGGATATAGTTATATAGGATTGTGCTACTTCTATGCTACGCTCTAATACGTACAACCATGTATTGAATAAATTACTGTTTTCTTATTTTTAGTAATTAACACACACTTTACAGCTTAGCCCTATAACCCTTGTACCCATCCGTCGCAAATAGATCGCCAATCAGCTAAGGCTATATATTCTATTATGTTATCTAATCTGGTATGAATTGGCAAAAAAAAGTACAAGATGGCACCTTTGAAGAAATCCTCAAAGTCTGAAATGACGTATTATTTTATGCATATCTAAGATAGCTAAATGCTGAGATACGCCAAGCCTTTTATAAGTTCTAGAAGTTTAGGGCATTATTAAACTTAGTTTTAAAAAATTGTATCTTCAGATGTTATTAAATGTTGATAATAAAAGATTTATTATTTCTAAAAAAAAAGACCCGATAAGATTAAAGTAAATGTGCTATTTTCTATTGAGAAACTTAGCAAACCAACACTTTATTTACTGTTTCGAGTACACTCTTTCGAGCGGGGACTATAAAGTATTAAATAGCAACCGGATTTTGTATTGTCACCACAAACCAGTTTCTTCGTACTGATATCTTTTACGGTAATATTCAAAACGACATTCAAGTGTCTCTTGATATTCAAATTCACACACGCTCAAATCGGGCAACGCAAATGGAACTAATGCTGCTTTACTCCGTTATTGCAACATCACACGTCCGATATGGGGTGATTTCACTGTAAAGCAATCTATAAACGTTTCAAACATTTTCGCCAATCATTGTGGGCTGTTTTAGAGTGTGGGACCCGCCAGAGAACTTGATTCACAATGTTGCGCAGTCATGATCAGTGGTTTTTTCCTAAAAGTTCGAGTAACAAAATTATCTTGCAAACTGGTTGCGAATTGAACTGTAGACCCATCGTAAAATCCAAAACAAAGTAAAAACGAAGACGAACCTTCTGGTAGGCGGGCGTAAGTTTTGTGGGTGTCGGAGATGTGACTCTCATACTGCATTGGGGATTGCATTTGGGTTTGCATTTTGGCACAGATCAGGATCGTTTGGGAGATCCTTTAAGGTTTTTCACTTCACTTCAAGATATTGTATTTTTAATCAGGGGTATGTTAAACGCGTTTTATGGGCACACACTCCACTCGAGTCAGTGCGGATTCGCGAACAAAGACTGTGTGAAAATGAAAGCGCACGATCATCTGCTGCTCCGTAAATCCGCTCCGGCGATCATGCGTGCGCCGTGGAGAGAGCCCGTCAACTGACTGCCGGGCGGTGGTTCGCCATGGTGAATCGGGGCCCCAGAGACTTATCTCTCGGATGGAGGGGAGCGTTACAAAGAGCGCTATCATGCTTACATGTGACTCGGTTCTTTCCGACCCTTGTTTACAGGTGAATACTCCTTGTTATGGCGATAAAAACTATACCATGAATGAATGTGCGGCTTACGAGCGGTTTTGGTTCGTAACGATGATGTTCACAAATCTGTACTTTTGGTGAACAGTCGTCCGTCGTAATTTAAGGCAAAAAATGTCTAGCCTGCAAAGCAGGTTTTTAGGGGAACAAACGATCTATGCGCTTAGCTAATTAATTTTTAGGGTAGATGTGAGTCTACACAGCATATTTTAAAAACATTACGCGCGTCATTCAAAGATTTATGAATTTGTTTCGTAAAAATTATAGCTGAAAACTGTTCAAAGTCCGTACAACATCAATTACTCAATGCAATCAGAAAAACACATATTGCATCAAATCGGCATAATCTCATAATTCTAAAAAATACTTTAGAAGGAAGAGGTATTAATTATTTATCTAACGCTCTTTATGCTATTATTACGTTCTGATTTGATCATAATGGTAAATTATTTATGAAAGGATTTTCATAAATGTACTTTTAGAGATGAATAACCTTCAAATTTGAATGTATTTAATATCTGATTAATTGTTGTTACCAAGCTATCGAATCATGGCAATACATTTTAAAGTATCATGTCATGACGGTAATTTATATTTTTTTGTTCCAAAAATTGGCAAAAACTAGGTAAATATCGATTTTTAGTTGGGAAAAAAGTAGTTATATTCGGCGACTTTAAAATACCCTTCCCTACCCACGTAATTCTTTTAGCGATTAAACAATCTCCAAATTGCGGGGAAGCAACAAAACTAGTGAAATACAAAGGAATCTTAGTAAGGATATCAAGTCAAAAAACATTTACAACTCCTATAAAACAAATATCAATATATTCATTGCAAAATCATATTTATATTTGAGCGTTTTTATCTGAATCATCCAGGTAAACTATTTAGCCGACAAAGTGGCTTCCCCAAGAAATCTACTTTTTGTAATACACAAAATTACACGCAGTTAAGAACTGAATCTAAACTTTGATTATCAAAAGTGCGGTTTTAAAATGTTCGCGTAAAATGACGCTGGGATTGTTGGTAAGTGAATATGATAAACGAAAAAACTAGGCAATATACTGCCGAATCATGGTGAGAAGGCAAAACCTAATACACGTTCACACATCCGAACGGATTTGTGTAGGTGAAAACAAATAGCGTAATCAGCACGGCTGGTGAGAGTGTTTGTGTGGAGGTACCGTTGAACTTTGCTTCCACATAAACAAATATTACTCACTTACATTCCACTCCCTGTTCCCTTACCACGCACTCTATTTACTATTTTCCACACATACATACATACGCACAAACACTCGCACTGCCATGTGCCAAACAGCTGATGGAGACCATGGAAATAGAACGAATGGAAGGCCATTAATTGTGATTAAAAAGTCAACTTTGCTGTAAGAGATTACTGCAATGCCGGGCAAACATTTACACTGCATCACCAGGAAACTCGAGATCTTCGCGTTCGTAGAGGCGGTATATAACCACGTATGTATATAAGCTGGGAAAGTACACCGTAAATTTCTCCCTTTGTCTCATTGAAGTTTTCACCCGAAGATAAATTTACTGCCGTGGGTAATTAAAAGGCGTGCGTAGACTAACAAAATTATGCTTATGTTAGGCACACGATCTTAAATATTTGGTTTATCGTTTTTATCGTTTATTTACGGCTACTCACAACTTAATTTATTTATTTTGCCACTTCACTTGCCACTCCGATTTTTCTCCTCTTCCTCTTTGAGGTAAACAGATGAGTGTTGGAAAACGCTGGCCTGTTTACATGTGTGATAAAGAATTGCCAGATGGGCGAAAAATGCTTAAGTTGAAAGTTTGAGAACTTAGTTTAAATAATTGATGAATAATTGATAAATAAATGGAATTAACAAATTGTTTTGATTTTCTTATTAAATTTATAGTTTATGGAACATATTTCGAAGAGTCTATACAAAGTAACTATGTAACGGTCTTACTGCTCAGTCAGCTGTGTTTGTTTACAAGCAGAAGGTAAGTTAAACATAAAAAAAAATTTGAAAAAATATTTGAATAAATAAAATTCTACAAAATACTTAACTAAGGGCATTTATTGACCTCTAAGAAGAAAACAAGACAGAAAGAGAATTCAAAATTGTTGGCGACAGCTGTTCTTACACATGTTTTATGCTTTCACTTGCTTAGCTGGTCACACTGATACTGCTGCCCTTTGATTTTTTTTTGTCGTGGAATACTCATCCAAAGGTTAACTAAAGATGCAGCCGGCTTTGAAGACTGTCAACGCCACGGGAAAACACACCGCCTCCGTGATCTTTTTCCACGGATCCGGCGACACCGGTCCCAATGTACTGGAGTGGGTGCGCTTCCTGCTCGGTCGCAACTTAGAGTACCCGCACATAAAGATCCTCTATCCGACGGCTCCCCTGCAGAAGTACACCCCGATAGACGGGGAGCTGTCCAACGTTTGGTTTGACCGCAGGTCCGTGAACATTGCCGCCTCGGAGAGCAAGAAAAGCTTGTCACAGTGCTACGATGCGGTCAACCAGCTAATTGACGATGAGGTGTCCAGTGGAATCCCGCTGAACAGGATCATCGTGGGCGGGTTCTCCATGGGCGGAGCCGTCGCCCTGCACACGGCCTACCATTTGAGGCCCAGCTTAGCAGGTGTATTCGCGCACTCCTCGTTCCTGAATCGCGGTTCTGTTGTCTACGATTCTCTGGAGAGTGGTAAAGCTGGTGCCCTTCCAGAGCTGCGAATGTTCCACGGAGAACGGGATACTCTAGTGCCAAAAGACTGGGGCGTGGAAACCTTCGAAAACCTCAAAAAACTAGGCGTCAAGGGAACATTCCACCCACTAAGAAACACCCTGCACGAACTGAAAACCGCCTCCCTCAAGGATCTTGAGCAATGGATACAGGAAAAACTGCCACCGCTGGAAAACCCAGTGCAAAATAAACTCTGAGTGGCAAGTACTTAGATTAACTTATTCAACATTCGTAAATTTATTTATTGCCCAATTTCAGTGTTTGGCATAAAACCAGTGCAAGTTGGAGCAGCGCAGAGGCAAGTCTTTCCGTCATTTACCCTTTTGTACTGCCCCTCTCCGCCGTAATGAAAGCACAACTCTTCCCTGGCCGGAATATCTCGTGCTGCAAATATGCCTAGGTACATAGATACATCAATTCCAGGAATCGGAGTGCAACCAGCAATAAAACTCACCTATTTTCGGTATGGGACAGTCTATTCGTACAGCTGCTATGTGACAGTTGGGCTCGCAGCTGTGGTTTATGTAGCGTCCAATGTTCCCACGCGTAGACGGATCCACGATGGTCACCTGTTGCTTCTTTTCGCTGGTATATTCATTTAAAACTAAGACATAGTTCATGGAGCCTAGTTCTTCATTTATTATCAAGCGTCTTTTGGCTTCATGTGAGGTCAAAAGTTCTCCAGCATATTCACAGATAAAGGCGCCGCGTGGAATGTTTTCGCTAGTGCGGACTCCTTTGGATCCGTAAACTGGAGAATCGAATATCTCCAGATTTTTCCTTGGCCCATTCTGCACAAGGCGATTGGAGCATGTGTTTTTACTGCACTTGCATAAGTTGTGGCACTCGATGACGGGGTTTGATGATTTCTTAAGAAGTAATTCCCTGCCATCCGTTGAGTATTCGTAATGACCACCATGTGGACAGATTTCGCTTTTTTGGCAATCTCCATTGCAGAGGCATTGGTTTAGAAGCACAGAATTGTAGTCATCTGCCAAATGATTGAATTCTAAACTTTTATCGTTGCACATCAAAACAGATTCCAATATATATTCTAGACTATCTGGGTGCTCGTAGTCGTCATTAAAAGCCATCTCAAATCCATCTATTTAAAGGATTGTTTACATTTTATTCGGGGGAGTTTTACTGGATATTTTTCTCTATTCCTAACTTGTAAGATTTTAAAGCTTTTTATAAATCCGTCATATTGTTTTAAATGCAGTCGGTCACACTCGTAATTTAAAAATGTATGTCGATTCAAAAAGCAAACATTTTCTAAAAAAAAAATGTGTTTAATTGTTTGGTATCCTATATCCTTAGTATTTGACCGTTTTTTATTGCGCGTTGCCAGACTTTCAGACAAAGGGTTCCGTCCTTTTTGATGAGCTGCCATTTCCCCTGCATGGTGAGTTTCCACAGCTGCATCATGTTGGATTTCCCACTCCCCCGCCATGTTGGGTTTCCATTTCGGAGCGATGAAGGGGCTGATTTGGATCCAATCGAAGTTGTCGAACGATTGGCAGCACGTCTGTACTTTATGGGAGCCTGGTAGAAGTTCATCGAGTCGATGGCTTCAAAATGGTTCTGAATATATCGATTTTATTGGACATTGCCCGGTGGGCGGTGGGACAATTTTTGGATTGCAGGGCCTCGCGTATAAGCGTCTCAGACAGTCAACAAATTTATTCATTCGGCATCGTCCCCTTTGAGAATCTCCATGATTACAGATTACATTACATTACATACACATAGTAATTTTTGTGTAGGCTTCCGGTTGGTTTTAAACACAATTTCCGCTTTTTATCAGTACTCTTTCGAAATAGAAAACTGATTAAATCAGATGTTGTTTTGCTGTAAACTATACTCTTTCACTGCTTTACTGAGATTATAAATATATTGTTATTATTGTTTGCTCATGGTTTTCTTGAATTAAAATTAAAAAGTAGCGTGTTTTCTATTGTTATGTTGGGTTTCCCATTTCTATATTTTAGATGAATTTTTAAATCGGTATAAATAATAGCTAGGAAGATTGTTCAAATTTTGTCAAGTCAACTGACTATATTCTTTAGGGTGTGCAAAAACTATTAAAATTTGGTGGTGAAATATAAATTTTTCCTTTATTTTTTATTCCGTTACTTGAATATTCTCAATAAAATCTAGAAAGTAGAAACATTTATTTTCCAATGTAATTTGTTTGTCTTTTTATTTTAAAACATTTTAAGAAAGTATTTTCCCTTGTATTTAATAAGTATCAATAAAGATTTATAAAACTTTCTGTAAGGGGGAGATTCACAATAATGTTTGGAGTGTGTTTATTATATTTATTTGTACTGTTACTGAAAAAGTTTAACAATTATCCTCCTCTAAAGGCTCCGGCGGTGTTTGTTTGTGTAAATTGGTGGCAATTAATCTGAATCAATGGAAATTTGCAAGCATGGAACATTTTTGTGCGTTATCTGAAAGTAAACATTTTTGAAATTTCGGGTAGAGTATTATGCTAATTTATTAGTTACTCACCATTCTTAGTTTTATTTGCTTAGTGCGTCCTTGATTTTATCAAATCCTGACTGGATGTTATCAGTCACCTTATTAGTGAGTTTAGTAACATCATCCTCCTTTTCGTAGTAGTAAATAAAGTAGACGGCCAATCCAACCACAATGATAACCACCAAAAATGTACTGATGATTGAAATGAGCACACTTAGCGCACAGTTAAAGCAGCTAAAAAGATAAGGATTCAAAAATATGAAAACATTTTCGACAACTCCATCGAATGATGATTCACTAAAAGGGCGAAGTGAGATCACTATCAGCACAAAGTAATCTTAAATCGTGAAACATGTGTGGTTTTCTTTTTGTCTGAAGTGTTCACATTATATTTATATATATAATGTATGTTATTTTGCAGTAAATATTAAAAGCATTATAAAATGTATTTTTAAGTGGTCTTTGCATTTACAATTAGTCTCATTATACTTAATAGTTCAAAAGACCCGAACTTGAAATGATGCAATCCTTCTGAATTAATTACGCATGAAAAGTTGTGTCTAATAAAAATGCACCCCAAATAGCATTCGTAGATTAAATTTCCACCCCAGTAGCGAGGCACAACTACGTTTTGAGGGCCAAGAGCTGGCATTCCTACGGAAATGCGAAACCGGCGACGCGCTGCCGGTTGTTGGCCAAAACCACTGGGGCGGGGAGATTCCTGGGGGTAGATATGTATTAAAGGAATAATTCCGTCGCGCCTCGACGGAGCCAGGACTTTCTGGAGCCAGATGGTACATAAAGAAACTAATGCGACGCACAGTGAGACAGTAGTTTGGAATTCTCGACACTACCATGTTTTTGTTTGTATCTAATAAATACGCAAACACTGGGTTTTTCAATTGGCCAGTGTGCGCGAATATGACTACACATATACGCATCATACACATAAATGAGTGCCTTAGGGAAGCGTGAGCTGGAATAATAATAAGTAGTCTTCTGTGAATACCATGTTGCATGTCATGTACGTATATTTTTCCCAGCAACTATGCGTATGATACCATAGACAATTAAGTAATTTATTCTGCAGCTGTATGTATGCGATGATACACCATCGAAAGTGGAAATACTTTAGGTAGAATGGATCTGAGTTCGGATTCTCGTGCGGTTTGTTTACCTGCTCTCATTGTTTTCATTTGTGAAATGGAAACCTGTATAAGGGCAATCCGATATGTATAAGAGTTTCAAGTGAGAATTTGCACAGGGGATTTCCAGTTTTCTCTGAATTCTGTTTCCGCCTTAAAATTACATTGTTCTCTCAACGCGGGTTCATTTATATACTAATGGTAAAAGTAATGTAAACAGCTTCTTTTTTTGTGTGCAGATCTGTTAATAGGAGTCGAACAGTTATGTATGTAAATAGGAGGAAACTTAAATTATCAGGTGGTTGCACACTTTCTTATCTTATTTGCTGTCTTACTCACGAGTCCCGATCTATTTATAATTCTTGAGCCATTTCCGACCGTTTTAATAATGTTACTCTACATACACATACATATATGATTCTGTATATTCTTGAATATCTCTCCTATCTGCAGATTTCAAGCGGCCAGAGTTTTCTGACCCTAATCTAATTAATAGATCTTACCAGCAGGCTACGTTTTCGGTTAGGCACTTGCACATGTTGTTTGTTTTTCTTCTTATGCCTCAGTAAAATGAATACTTTCGAGTATCTGCAATTAAATAAAAAGTATTAAGAATTTTACACTGAGGAGGGATTAACAACTCACAGTCAACCGCTTTTGTCGACAAAGTTTGTTTTACTAAACCCAAAGAGAATGAGTTTATTTGGCGTCAGTTCGGTTTGAGAACTTCTCTGCCATACATGTTCGACGTCGCACAGTAGCACAACTTCGAGATGTTCGTAGAAAAATATGATTAATCCTTAGTAATACTACTTTTCTTACTATTCATGATTGGTAATTAATTTAATTTAAATAATTACTTGTTTTGAGATTAAAGTAGGAAATATTTTCAAAATGTTTCGTTATTTCTTAGATTTTGTTAAAACATTTAATTATTTTTGGTTGTCTAATATATAATTTTTATATTCAAAAAACAAAACAAAAAATTTGTATTTATTAGTAAGAGTTCGAAAAGGAATGAATAAATGAATAATATATCAAAAGATCTATATTTAATGCTATTAAAAGTTTAAAATTAAGCTGAATTACCTTTTGTTTTTGGTTCTTTGCACTTTATGACGTATAACGTGATAACTCTAATAACAACTTTTTTTCGTCGCGCTCCTCAGTTGTTCGAGCCAGTAGAAGAGACTTTTAACGTTGGCAAAGGTTCAAACCTCTTTCGTTTTTCTTTGTTTTTCTGGCCTTCGCAAATACGCACTTAATATGAAAAGCGTGAATGCTGTACCACTTCCTTTCCTCTCCACTTTTAGCTCTTATACAAACATTTAACGAGTCGGGGTGAGAAGTTGAAGGGAGCGTGAAGTTTTATTCAGGCAGTAAAATTAACCCCAGAGGTTGGTTTGTTGTCTTATAGCCGAAAACTGCCAATAAATGTAAAGAACAAAAACGGTGGCTTTTATGATGTAGATTTAGAAAGGGACTTACACATTTACATATGTATGAAAATATCAGGTGGATCAAATAAACTCTGAACCACTGTGTGTTCACTTGTTGTTTCTCTCGCAGATAAGGAAATTAGTTTGTAGAGAAAGAAATGCGTCACTTTCTGTAGATTTCAAAGAACCTATTTCAGAACCTCCAATACTCATGTTAAAATAAAAAAAACAATATTTGGGATTAATTTGATTTATTTGCATAAGCTTATCTTTAAAGTATTTACAATAACTTGCTTCCGATTTATTAGATTATATTTGCAAGTGTGTTCAATATGGCAGGCATCTGTTTATTCGACTGCATAATACATAGTACATTAGCTTACCTACATACACATCTACACAAGTTTCTGGTAGGAGAGCACTTGGTAATGACTTGTGGGATAAAACTACAAATGTATGTATATACAAAGATCCATTAAACATTATCCATATAAATATTCTTAACAATTTTGGTCATACAAAGTCCAGTACATTATGCATATAGGATAGAGTTGAATACGTTAGCGGCATGGCCCCAAGTTCGGGCGAATATCGTCTGAAAAGATCGAGTGATAGGCCCCGTAGATTTGAGAAGTATTAACCTTTCTGAACGTCGGTTCCACACCACACTTCTAATTATAACGCTAAATATAAAACTTTGAACTACATCTGTCGGCTTATGAGTAAAATGAAAGTGGCTAACCGATCCGGATCCTAACGTACTTTCGGTGCGCGGAAACGAGTTGAACATTTCTCAACATCCCGTAGACTACGAATGGGTAACATGCTGGCTTTTGGTGTATATTATACAGTATTGCAGATAGTGTTGGTTCGATGATTCGCAGGTAGGGAGCCTTTGAGGCTATCACATATGATTGTTCCTTTGCAGGGTTTGGAATGGATCGTCCTACGAGTACTGCGGCGACTCGCCGCCCGAGTTGATCTTCTTTACCCGGCTGACATCATCGTAGGCGATGGAGAAGACGCTCTTCTTCTCGGCAATTGGGTTCCTTCGTCCCAGGCTGTTGAGCAGAGAGTTCATGGCTATTCCGGAATCGTGATCATCCTCCAGTGTCGAGGCATTCAGCTGCTTCTGCGTGGGATTCCCCGCGCCGCGATTCTCCACGTAGATCTTCGAGTTGGACACTTTGACTTCGTTCTCCCGGATGGGTGATGGCTTGGGCTTGGTCTCCTTACTGGATTTTGGCTCCTTGCTGGCGGCAGCCGCACGTGGCGGAGTCTCCGGATACATGTAGTGGGGCAGCTTGGTGGGTGCAGCTGGCACCTCCAGGGCGTTCTCCCTTTCGAAGCGGTGCTCCGAGTGCTGGAGGAGTGGGTGATTCGTGTCAGTCTCGATTTTTGGTTTGTGCTGCTTGTTCAGAGCCCGGTCCTCCTTTAGCATCCGACTTCCCTTCGGGGGGGATTTCCGGGGAGCAGGCTCCGGCTTGTATCTGCCACCACCCTCCTCATCGTCATCGAATTCTTTGGGATGAACAGTGATTCTGGTTTTCGAAACCCGTTTCTCCGCTGCTCCCACCCTCTTTTTGCTGGATGGCTGCGACTTGGATGACTCCGTGGAGGTGCGTCCACTTACGGATGACTTCTTTTTGTTGTAGTACCACTCCATGTACTTCGGGACATTGCGCTCTTCCGGCTCAGGACCTAGCTCCGTTTCACTCTGATAACTACGATCGGTTAGGGAACGCTTGGAGCCAACTATTTCCGTGGAGGTGGACATGAGCTTCCTGCCATTCTCCGTGACAGTGGATTCATACTTGGAGATGGATACTCGGTTGTGCGGGGGTTCCGAGGACGTTTGCTTCCTGGAAGTCCTTTTAGAACTATCGCGTCGTGACAGTCGCGGCATGGCTTCTGGCTGGGAGTCCGTTGGCGAAGGCTTCCTCGGAGACCTTTTACGACCAGCTGCTTCCTCTGGCTCCGCATAGATCTTCTCTTCCCTCCGGTACCTTTCGTTCTCCTGGCTCCGAGTTGGATAATTGGTTCTGATCACGATCTCATCCCCATCCGAATCGATTGAGTACTCTGTGTCATCCTCGTCGAAATCGGCATCCGAGTGCTTGTAGTATTTCTCCACTTGTATCTTTCTTATGCTGTGCGATCCCGGACTGGCCAGCTCATCCATGGAGTCGGTTATCTCCATGAGCATCTCACGGTTTCGTGGCTCAGATTCGGACCTGTGACGATTGCCTGTTTGGCTTTCCCCGTTTCGGGATTGGCCCTTGCGGCTCTCGTCACTCAACTGCTTGCGCAGGATACTCGTTTTGGTCTCCCGCAGTGGTTTCTTGGGTGGCACTCTCTTTTTTCTCTCCTGGACTTCCTCCTCTTCCTTGATGGGCGTCCGGATCTTGCGCTTCACCTCCTCGACCATCACAATCCGCTTGCGGGGTTGACGTGGCCGTTTCTTCGTCCTCCGCCGCTTGATCCAGTAGACTCCCTCTGGACTATTTGGCGGATTGAAGCGCACGTACTCGTATCCATCCTCCGACATGGACTCGTCGTTTTCGCTGCGAGCTCTTCGGCGGGAGGGTTTCACCTGGGAGATCTCTGTGTCCAAGGCGCTGTCCAGTCCCTCCGTCTGAGTGCCGGCATCGCAGTCCGTCTGAGTTCCTATGGCCATCGACTGGCCGGGAAGACTCTGTGTTTCCAGGGCCACTTCATGTTGCGTGTATGCATTCTCCAGCTTTTCCTTCTCCATGAGAATCTGTCTCAGCAACGCATTCTGCTGCTTGAGAGAGTTCTCCAGTTCGTGGGTAAGTGATTGGTTGGAAACCGCTGGCTGCATCTGCTGCTCCAAGGAGACGCCCTCACCTGCTTGCACCGGCTGAGTGTGAATGACCTTCACCTCCGGTTCCAGTTGGGAGTAGACTATGCTATTTGGTCCCGATTTTCCCAACGGGAACGTGTCTCCTTTCAGGGTCGATCCCTGCTGCACTTCATTGGGCATGGACTGGATGTAGGTAGCTCCTGGAACTATCTGATAGTGCTCCCTGATGATCTGCTTGCCATCCGGCTGCTCTTCGATAAATCTGCGCATCAGGATCTCTTTGCCGGAGTTATCCACCATCAGTAGCTGTGGGTGGGAGAGATTACCCGCCGGTTTCAGTGGGACATTCACATAGATATTGTCATCGTCCAGATTCAAGCCATCTCTAGTCTTATCCCTGGTCATCAGCTGAAGGATCTCCACATTTCCGTCCTTAATGAACAGCTCCCGTTTGCTCTTAAGACTATTGTGGGCGGTGTTGAAGTCGATGTCGCTGCCTCGATCAATCTCATGCCTTCGCATGGAATCGTCGTCGATGTGCCGGACTTCCGGGTCGTACTGCTTCCTCCGGGCGTACTCCTGCCGATTCACCCGGGTCCGGGTGATGTGCTCCCTGTCTTCCGCCAGATCCCGGTTCTCAATCACGTCTTCCATGTATACGTCGCGGTCGTTGATCAGGTTAGTCCTAGAGTTATGGAAATTAAGATGAAGATCGTCTTTGGCTGTGCGGTTATTCCTGCAAAGTCAGAATGCGAGAGTTTACATTGCTTTCTACTAAACCCTGACTTGAGATCTCACTTGATGCGAACACGTCGCTGCTGCTCCTCGGCCGATTGGATGTGACGCCCCTCGCCGATGTCCTGGCCCCTTCCTACGTCTTCGTCAGGCTGCTCACGTCCATCGTGGAACTCCCAGCGGGTGGGCTTCGTTCGGGTATCTGGAGGTTTCTCCGCTGACCAGGCATCGCGTCTTCCCATCCACTCGGCGACCTGCAAGTCGGTTAAGGATTCGTTTTAACAAAATTTATCATCTTTTATACTAAGCCTAAACAAAGAAAGAGTACTAAAGGAATTTAACAATGCATATGAAGCAAATACATATGAGAAGTTTTCACAAAGCAGTTATTTCTTGAATTGGTTTAAATTTTGTTTAAGAATTACAAAGTTATTAAAAAGATCAAATTACATACATCTGGTTTGTGTTATGGTTTATTCTAAAGTAAATTAATACAAAATTGCCGATGTTGTATATATCAATCATTAAATATTTAACTTGTTTAGATATCAAAAATCAATCATTTTTAACAATAACTGCTTTATGAAATGTCCTCTCAGGTTAGTTAAACATGTTAGATAGACTTCCACATCCATTATGTTTCGTGCGCAAATTTCGCAAAGTGAAAAATTTCGTAGTCGATAAGGAAATCAAAAATGA